CCTGATCAACGCAGCTCCCGTTTCGTACCGGGGAACAAGAGCTGCGGATTAGTTTTCCGAATCCTCTTCAACAACCTCAATGGTTGCTTCGGGGGTTTCTTCAACCTCGGCAGCGCGGCCCTTCGATTCTCGGGCCTTTCGCTTATTGCAGTCAGCAATCTGATGCTTACCACCGCAGAAGAGACAAAGGTTGTTCTTCATCCTTCTTTCCCGTTCGGAGGGAAGTACTTTACCATCTGCTCCTAGATGGTTGAACGCGGGGCGCTGACCGCCGGATTGGCCGGAATTCGAAGAGTTCTGGGGCTTACCATTGTTATTAGGCTTACCACCAGAGAAGGGTTTAGGCTTCGGCGTGAGCGGCGCCGAAGATCCAGATGGCTGAGAGTTGTTTTGCTGGTTAGTAGAACCAGTCTTAAAGTCCGAGGAACCCTTCTTCGGGTTCCGAGCAACAAAAGGCTTACCAGCCTCGCGCTTCCTAGTTTCCTCGCGTTTCCAATAACGATTGTCAATGCGAAGAACCTCTTGACGGTAATCGGCGAGCGTCGCCGGCTCGGGCAAACGCGCCATTTCGTCCTTGATGCGCTCAGCTAAGCCTCGTCCATAAGCCCATTTCAGGGCAGCAGAATCCCAGTTGGTACTGGCAGCCAGGGTGTTGAACCGGATATTGTATCTCCGGATGTTCTCGGTTTCCTTCATCTTCAGATTACCGAGAGAATCTTCGGCCTCGCCTTGGGCGTCGTAAACGCCGAAATTGTCCTGAAGCTCCTTTACCAGGGCCTTGAAGGAGGACGTCCAGGCCGGCAGCGAGTCGAGATCCGGATCGAGGATATCAGGGACAAACCATTCTTTGGCTGACCCACTGAGATAGGAAAGGGTATAGTTCACCTTCCGTTGGTCGGTGAAGTACTTTGGACGGTCATTAAAGACCAGGGCGAGATTGACGAAGAACGTCTTGAGTTTTCGGGGGTCCGAACCGTCGAATACCTCGGGCTCCTTGACCTTGCTCTTAGATTCAGAGCTGTCAGAGGGACGGCCGAGAGCGGCGAGGACGGTACCAAGGGTCTCAATGGAGCCCTTGAATCCCGAGAGGAGTTCCAACATAGCACGTTGCTCGTTGGGGATGTCAGGAGATATGGGAGAACGAGGTCCACCAGGTCCACCAGGACCGCCGGGACCGCCGGGACCACCAGGACCACCAGGTCCACTGGGGTCACCAGGTTCACCACGCGGTAAACTGCCGGAATCGTCATCCAGATCGTTGTTGTTATTATCGGCGCCCGGATCGTCGGGGTCGACAGGAGGGCCTTGATCATCGTGATCACCAGTGTCCAAATCGAAGTGAGGAGGTGGGTCACGAGGAGATTCAGAAGCAGCGCGACGTTGGGGTTGTTTACCCGTACGGCGGGCTATGGCTTGGAGGATTGGGGAATCAATTCGAGTAGTAGACCGGCCCCGAGCCGGAACGACCACGGGGGGTTGTCCACGGCGAGGAGTCAGGACTTGGACAGGTTGTCCGTCACCAGTATACAAGGTGCTGTACTCAAATTGTTGTTCTTCTTCCATGGCTTCAGGAAGAGTCGACGTAGTAGGAACTGTGGCTGGACCGAAACCGCGATTACGGCGACGTGGTTGACCAATAGCAGAGATAGAGTCGGAGAATGGGGCAAATGATTGAGCTGTAGTGAAGAAAGTGTTTTCTTCGGAGTTAGCTCTAGATTGAGCTCGAGTTTTCGGAGGCATAAAAAATGATATGTCAGTACGACGTTAACGGATTGAGTTTAATTATACTGTTAAGATCATGTACACCGTGTAACCGTGCCAAGGCCACAGGGTGTCTAAGTGCGGAAGACGAATGGGACAGTAGTGAAGTTATTAACAACACCGCCGTTACGCCGTTAGTCCCCGGAGAGCGAGAGTAGAGAGAGAGGAGCTAAGTAGCAGCCAGGTCGGAGCGGCGGTATCGCCGATGACGAGGAGCGGACCAGAGAACGTCAAAGTCCTAAGGTCGAGGAGAACGTACTTCGAGGCGTTGAGCCTGAAGACTTAGAGAAGAGTTAAGTTGAGAAGGGAGATCTAAGTTGATCTAAGTTGATAATTAAACTGAGGAACTACAGTAGCGTACAGGCAGTATTTATATCTACGGATCGGCGCAGCGGTGCGGAGCGCCAGACTAACTACTAGGAGCTATACGAGTAGTACCTGCAGGGTAGAGTAAAAGACAATAAGAAGGGACTAGAACGAAAGGGTATGTGTAGCGAGAAAGAACAATAAGAGTGAGATAACAATAAGGAGCAGATCTTCGGAATCCCGAGCGGCGGAATGGAGGCCCGCGGCATGGACTTGACACCCGGAAGCATCGTAGATTGTTGATTATGATAAGGACTTCGAGTCTGATGGAGCATTGCAGATTGTTCAAGTGCATGATGAGGATGTACGTGGTAAGAGCTATAAGCTTGCTGAGGCCATGAACATTGAATTTGGAAGGATGATTGACCGACGGTCTGTGAACATTGACAGCACTCGAGATCACGGCTGCCACAAATCTCACAGACCGTCATCCTTCAACAAAAGGTGACAACGAGAGAAATATATCTGTCAAAAATGAATTTATACCCTCACGGATGCATGATCAATGCGTCGGGCGCGTCGTTGATTGCATTCAACAAAGTCTGAAAGCATGACCTTTCCCTGCAAAGTGGGGCGTTGTTGTGACAAATTAGAACAATTAGCTACCATCAGTTTCCAATCTGAGTGGTTGGTAGGTGCGGCAGCTGGTACCAAGTCTTGCAGAGAGTGATAGTAAATATTAAAAATCAAATCATATTTTCGTGGTGGTGGTACAAGTACAAGGAGTGTGGGTGTGAGTTCGTAATTAAGAGTGATCAAAACTCAGCTCTAGTCAGCTGAACTAAACAGGAAGTAAGGTTGAGGCAAGTACTCAAGCCCATCAGAGCTTGACAGCTTGCCTTCCTAATCTGTAACCAAGGCAAGGTGGGGCGAGTTCAGGGTCCAAGTTACCTCGACCTTGCGGCAGCACTACTGTAAAGTAAAAACAAAAATTTCCAGGGAAGTAAAAACATCCACCTCTTCTGATGCCTTTGGTGCAAAATCTAACTTGCTATGAGGATTATGCCTTGCCCTTGGAAGCCATTAGCTACTGGGACAGGTGGTGTAATAGTGGTGAATGGAAAATGAAAACTGAAGAGCATCTGCAAAACCTGGATTTTTGGCTATGGGCTTAGAGCAGATAGCCCTCAGATCTGCTCTCAACTGCTTTCAAATCCTTAACCAGAGTTACAGGTTTTGCAGATGGAGAAAGAGACATAGGAGCTTCATAACCTAGACTTATCACATGGAACAGCTAAGTTGAAACTACTTGAACTGAGCTGAAAGCTACAATACCATGACAAGTCACTTCTTGCAGCCTGCACTGTCTTCATTGCCACATTCTTGGTCCTCTTCAACTTGGGTCTCAATTCTTCTGACTCAGAAATGTCATTTTAATCTGAATGGCCATGTCATATGTGTTATGATCACTTCTTTTTCATCTTATCTTTCTCCTTATCCCTTGTCTTATTTTTTATCTTTTGTTTATCTTCTATCTCCCTTATCCTATATCTTGTCTTATCTTGTCACCTGACCTATTGTTCATGCTTACTGATACAACATGCACTTTTCATTTACTTATATTAAACACAGCAGTCTCACAACACATATACAGCATGGCAATCGAGCTTTCATTACTTACACATTGCTTTACTTATGTTCTACTCATGTTTACCACTAACCCAGGGCGTTGGGCATTACTAGGGCAGAGGGTTGTTTACTTGTATATAGGCTGTAGTTACTTGCTGTATTTCCTTAACTTTGATCTTGTCTATTCTACCTGGTTTAGCCCAGAACTTTGCTTACTTCCAGTATCGCTTCGCTGTCTGAGATTTTCTTGAGTGTGACACCTGGTAACACCCATTACTAGAACCAGTCGCTGACAATATGTAGACCTTTTAGTGAGCAAACACAAGAAAGTATCACATATGCACTTTGGACTGAATGGCAACATCTGCAAAACCTGGATATTCGGCTAAGCACCGAGAGCAGATCCCAGTGCTGAAAGCACTGAAAGCAGTACGCTTTGAGTGCTTTCACTGCTGGGAAGTGCTCTCAATTGCTTTCAGACCCTTAACCGAAAATACAGGTTTTGCAGATGAACTGTTAAAGTCTATGCAAGCTACATTCATTGAATGGCCTTAGGCATTATGTGAAGTAAAGGCAAAGACAGAAGATGGCTTTTGAATTGCTGGATAAAAGATTTCCAGAGTTTGGCAGACAAAATTCAAAGCTTTGAGTGATTGGGCTCAGGATGACACAATTTCAATGGGCTAGATCTTTGCCCTTGTGTCTGGAAAAATTTACAGTGGCTAACGCTGCATAATCTTTATCTTTATGAGTATTTTATGAGTATTTCATAGGTTTTGGGAACCAATGTGCCACATCTGCAAAACCTGTATGTTCGCCAGAGCAAGGGTACTGGCTGGAGAGCACTCTCCAGCACCCAAAGCACCGAGAGCAAAATTTCAACCTTGCTCTGGGTGCTTTGGCTGCTGGGAAGCGCTCTCAGCTGCTTTCGGAGAATTAGCCAAAAAAACAGGTTTTGCAGATGTGCCTAAAACACCATTTGGCAAACTCAGTCTAGTCACAATTTTTTTGTTCCCAAAACTGGGCTTCTATCACTCAAATTCTCCATACAAATGCAGATTCAGCAGCAATACCTTGAATGATGTTCTTGCCACCAACACAAAGTAATAATGATGTAATTGTTACTATCACATGACCGTGGGAGATGGCCAAGCTCAACTTCCCCCCTACAAAATGAACAGAAAGATTTTAGTAAGAAGCCTTACCTAAAGGTTCGGCAATAATCTTATAATCTCCCACGCAAACGGAATAGATGCCGACTCTACGCGCTTAATTCGGTCTTCCTTTGTCTCCAAATCTTTGCGATGAATCCTCGCCCTTCTCGCTCATTCCTCCTCTTCCTCATATGTGTTGTCCTGAACACTGTTCTATGTACAGCTGCTGATGAGCCAGCCTGGAATGGTCATACTCCTCCTGGATCAAACACACCGAAGCCTTTCACTCCCTACTACGTTGCTCCTGGTGCTAAAGGATACTCTTCTTCTTCTCCGTTCATCCAATATAAAGGCGACTGGCAAATAGTCTATTCTCCCAACTTCAATCACAAGGCAGTTCACTGTACATGTCAAAAGCAAGCTATTTTTTCGTTCTCCTTCAATGGTACTGGTGTGGAATGGTTCGGCAACTGCGATAAACGCCATGGGACCGCCTCGGTATATATAGACAAGAACCTCGCTGGCGTGGTCAATACTTACTGCAATACTACCTCTCTGAGACTTAACCAACGACAATTCTCTACGTTCAGTCTGCAACCTGGCTTCCACCGCTTAGTTATAGAAAATTCGGGAGAGGGTTGCATTGACTTGAACGATATTGTTGTTACTCGCGTTGAACAGCCCTCGCGTCATGCTCTCCGTCGCCAGTTTCACCGTCGTTCCTCAGCTTCTGATTGGACTCTTGAAGTGGATGGATCTACCGGAGTCAATGCCATGCAACTCGCTGTAATATCCGAAACGCACGCCATTGTTATCGACAAGGTTGAGCACAATCCTCTTACGATCAACGGTCACCCGGCTTGGGCGAGTCTTTTTGAACTCAAAACTCGACAAGTAACGCCCCTCGAAATGCAATCCAACTCTTTCTGCGCTGGAGGATCATTCCTTAGCAACGGGACTTTGATCAACGTTGGCGGAAACCCCGTCGTTGCAGACCATACTTCCGCCGCAGATTTTGGCGACAAGGATGGGTTGCAAGCGATTCGAATTATAGAGCCTTGCGACGACGATGGACATTGTTCAATACGTATCTCTGAATTCCATGATTCAGTGAGAATGGCAAGCCCTCGATGGTACAACACAGTTCTTCGGATTGATGACGGTAGCGCTATGATCATCGGTGGTTCTAAGAAGGGTGGATGGATTAACAACGATACGGTCAACAACCCTACCTACGAATATTATCCTCCAAAAGACATCCATGGATCCAACGGCATGCCTATTAATTCTCCTTTCCTCAAAGATACTTTGAACTCGAACCTCTTCCCAATCGCGTTCTCGCTACCCGACGGCCGAGTCTTCCTTGCTGCAAACAACGATGCAATGATTTATGATTGGAAGACTGATACTGAGGAAAGGCTGCCTCCCATCCCCAACGGCGTCCGTGTGACATATCCAATGACTGGAACTGGCCTGTTGCTCCCTCTTTCGTCTGGCAACAACTACACTCCAGAGGTTCTACTTTGCGGAGGCTCCACGGTGGACGATAAGAAACCAGGTTCCCAAATTTCCTCTCAAGATCCTGCCTCCTCTCAGTGCTCTCGTATGGTCTTGACTAAGGAAGGTATTCAAGCCGGATGGGAGGTCGATCACATGCCTGATGCGCGGCTCATGCCTGACGCAGTCCTTCTTCCAACTGGTCAAATTATCATCGTCAACGGTGCAGGTTCTGGCATCTCTGGTTATGGCAACGTCGTTAATCAAGTCGGGGTATCCAATGCTGCTAATCCTGTTTTGACTCCCGTTCTTTATAACCTTTCTGCTGATCTCGGTAGCCGATTCAATTCGCAGGGTATGCCCTCGAGCAGCATACCTCGCTTGTATCATAGCGTCGCTACACTTACTCCTGACGCAAGCATCATGATCGCGGGAAGTAATCCCAACCTTGATCGTAGTGAGATTGAATATGGGACTGAATATAGGGTGGAGTGGTTGAGTCCACCTTATATGCGTGGTGCGCGGCCAGAAATCAGGAAGCACAAGGGGAACGTTGGATTCAAGGAAACGTCAAGCATAGACGTGAACCGGTTAAAGTCGGATAGCGATTTGAAATGTGCGTTATTCGATAAGAGCACTTTTTACTTTTTGTCAAGTTCCTGATGCGGTTTTCCCTTCTTCAGTGGTTCTCATGGATCTAGGTTTCGTCACGCACTCAGTCCACTCGAATTCTCGAATGGTCTATCTCGATATACACCGCATATCAGGAAATACACTTTCTTTCGAAGGTCCACCCAGCGGCGGTGTGTACCCTCCTGGACCGGCATTCATGTTTCTTGTGGAAGATGGCGTTCCTAGCGAAGGAGTGAAGGTTATGGTTGGGGACGGTAATAGTCCAGAGGTCAATCAGAAGGCCATTGAAAAGTAAGTCATTTCTCAAAGCTGCCTCGGCTTGAAACTCACGGCACGAACACGTAGTGTGTTGAAATCTACTCAACCCGACCAATACGAAAAGTCCAAAGGAAACCAAGGCTCTAATGATGATGACTCAGAGTAGTTTTTTTGCCGTCGTTGACTTTTGTTCTGACAAATTCTTCTTTCATGTATTTGATTGACTCATCTTGTTTTGTTTTTCTCGTCGGCACAATTGCTAATCTGTATCCTCATTGCATTGCTACCCCTTGATATACTCAGATACCATTCGCATTACTATACCACCTGCTATACATATGTACACGTTCTAACAACTTGTCCTCCTAATGTTTCGAGCGGTATGAATTAGATATGAATCGGCCCTAACAGCTGCCTTAAAGAGCCGCAACTCCACAACTGCTCCTCTAATGACGGATGAGACGTCGGACTTGGTCTAGGAGGGAAGTTCTCGTTCGTAGTACAGATTCGTAATACGTCTTATAAACTCGCATCCATTTCAAGTGATATACGGGACGTACACTGTTGTAAGGCGTGATGGGACCTTGGTTCTATACTGGCCTATGATTCATGAAGGTTTATATCGGGATCAAAGGTCCTTTGATTGAACGATGACAATGAAGGACATTATACATAGCTTCGAGGTACACATTCGGAAGCTCAGTATGTAAGACGTGCTCTCATCTATACGGTCAATGTCGATTTCAAGCCATATCACGAGCGGGAGTGTGAGCCCTTCTGTAAAAAAATGAGGAAAGACGAAACCGTCGAGGGGTGTTTTTCCCGCTTCTTGTTTGAATTGGAACCATTACGAATTGCCACATTGAAATTGGGGATATTTGAGAATCGACGCCTCGACTACCGCCGACTGCCATGGACCGAAAAATACATCGTGTGAACGTTGAGGAACATTGGCAGTTCCACTCTTGTTCCACTGCCAAATTTGCACCTTCACCAAACTTTCCTTCCGGGACACTCTCTATGGATTACTACCTTTAAAGTCTTTGCCCACGAGGATTCGGACAACCGCGATCATGACGATGCCGAATAGATTTACGAGACACCAGTGACATCCATTTATATCCTCAGAGGACTCCCAAAGTTACAAGTAACCCCAGATACTTGAATGAACCAGAATGGGGACCCGCTACTAAATGTCTAGACTCAGTTGTTTCACTCTATGACTTGTCCTTCATTGGTGACTTTGGTCTCTCACACTCAGCCTACTCTAATTGTGTGCAGATGCAGTAACTCCTCTTTTCCGCTGTCAATACTTTTTATCAATAGATTACATCTACAGTACAGCTTGAGGCCTCCTGAGGCGGCTCAAACTTTCCGTACAACCCCTATGAAGCCTGAGGAGTCTTTCAGGTTTTCCGAAGTCTTCCGAGTCGTTCATCGTGCCCCGATGGTTCCTACAAAACGAGTGAATGCAACCAGTCAGCCCTCCACAGTAGTCATCATCGGCGACGATACGTCGCCGTTCCTATTACTCCACGCATCCTCAAGCAAGTACGTTACATCACAGTTAACCCTCTCACAATCACGGAAACTGATATGTATGTGTGATGTTCTACAGGATTACTAGAAAACACTGTGAATCACTTGAATTTGTAACTTGCATCTGAAACGTTGGAGACGGCTCCGTCGAGTATACATTCCTGCCAACTATCCTGATTCAATAACAGAGAAATACAGTATACTTTGGTCCAGTTCTGGTATACGAAGAAACCGACCGAAGGACGGATGAATCAAAGCAATCTTCTAAGCTACTAGTGATCATTTTATTCTAATCGCCGAGTCCGCTTCTTGTTGTATCACAGAGACATCCCATTGCAACGGGTTAGAGACTTAGATATAAAAAGCCTTGGAGCGCTTCCTGATATCGCCACTGGTCGGTCCCTATTCTCTTCTCTGCTCTCTTCTTCTCGGCCCCTGTGCTCCTGTGTGGAACTCTCTGACCAAAATGAAGCTTTCACTTGCTTCATTCCTCGTTGCGGCCGTTGCCCTCCAACCAGCGCTCTCCGTACGGACGAACTCGTTGCTGATTGGTGGGTTCTTTTCATCTCGGTTCTCCAGTACTGATTTAGAATGAATCTCCTCTTCCAGACCCTGCTGCTCTTCCCGCACTTCCTTCTGCTCAACAAGCAGCTAGTGCATCTGCTGATGTAGGGCTGAACCTTACTAACATCCAAGGTGATATCCTGTACGTTCATCTTCTTGTGACGGGAGGTCAAGTTCTCATAATATGGTGTGTTCATAACAGCATTGGGATGAAGAAGAACAAAGAGCTCTTCTTCTTCTTCACCATCGTCAATCCCACGTTGTTCAGATCCCAGCTTGGATCGGGTATCCTCCCTCTCATCACCCCAACCAGCCAACTGCTCGCTGTAGATACACAGCCTACGACTGCTGTCAACATTGCATTCTCCCAACGGGGTCTCAACGCCCTAGGCATTACAGATGATCTCGGTGATACTGCGTTTACTAATGGGCAAATCGACAACGTCGCGACGATACTTGGAGACGAGACCAGCAATTGGGAACCAGCGTTTGCTGGGACTGGTATCCACGGCGTCTTTTTGCTTGCATCAGATACTATCGACAATGTGAACGCTACGCTGTCGCAAGTCCAGAACATCTTGAATGGTTCGATTACGGAGGCTTACAGTCTCCAAGGTCAGGCTAGACCGGGAGATGAACAAGGCCATGAACGTAAGATGAAATTTGTTTCTTTCATTTATTTTTTTCATCAAATTAAACACTTCCTGTCACCTCTGCTTCACTTTGAAACAGATTTCGGATTCATGGACGGGATAAGTAATCCAGCAGTCACTGGATTTTCCACCCCATTACCAGGTCAACAGGTCCTTGATCCAGGACTCTTCCTTCTTGGTGAATCAGGCGATCTAGTATCCCGCCCTTCGTGGGCCAAAGATGGCTCGTTCCTGGCCTTCCGTCAGTTACAGCAACGTGTACCAGAGTTCAACGCGTTCTTGGTTGATAATGCACTTTCGAATCCGAACTTGACGGCTGACCAAAATGCTGAACTGTTGGGCGCGAGGATGATGGGCCGATGGAAGAGTGTAAGTTGATCCATTGAATCAATCAAATACTCTTTCCTTCCTTCTCGTCGTCGGCGCTTGTTTTGATATTTCTTCCTTTACAGGGAGCCCCAGTCGACCTAGCTCCCACCGTGGACGATCCTGTACTGGCGGCTGATCCACAACAAAACAACAACTTCAATTACACGCACCCTGGATTCGACGAGGCTACTGACCAGACACATTGTCCATTCTCAGCTCATGTCCGCAAGACGAATCCTCGGTCCGATCTCAATCCTGAAGATACCGCGAACCATATCATTCGTGCAGGGATCCCGTACGGGCCTGAGGGTACGTTGGAATATACACAGCCTTATCGATGCCTAATTAGGGCTTATTTTGCAGTTACCGACGCTGAGAACGCCTCGAACGTTTCTAATACAGATCCTAGCCTTGAACGTGGCTTAGCTTTTGGTATAGACATCTAGCTTCCTACATTTGCAGGCTGTCTAATAGCTTTTCATCCCTGTCAGTCGCCTACCAATCCGATATCAACAATGGTTTCGCCTTCCTCCAACAGAACTGGGCGAATAACGCAAAGTGAGCTCGAAACTTCCCTGAATCTTCAGCATGAACTAAGCGTTCTGTCTGTCTATTTACTCTAGCTTTATCTTTGGCAAAGCTAGTGAGTTATCTTCGAACTTTAGTAGAGAGGCTGTCTGGAATTTTGACTGTGATTCTCTCTTTTTACTCACGTAGCACCGTAAGTGATAACTTTAGACATTGCATACACTAGAACTTGGGTGCTGATAAAACCTTCAATTTATACTATCATGTTGAACAGACCTGTAAGTACATTTACTACGCTCCAAAAGTACGCGAAATTTGAAGCTCACTTGGAATTTTTCCCCCCTTTTCATGCAGGGAATCGACCCAATCATTGGAACTGGTGGGTTGGGCCAAGCTGACGTTCCACGGACCCCTTCTGGATTAGACCCTTCTGACCCGACGAGGATCATCACTATTAATCAGGGTATGCATAAATTTTGTGTGCGCGAAATATACTGACTCGGATGCCCGCCCCTTCTCCCTATCCGCCTCCTTTCAACTTCCCTCCCTGCTCCTTCCTACTCCTCCTACTGCACACCTCTTCATCTCCCGTAAACCTCAAAGATTTCGTCGTCTCCCGCGGCGGTGAATATTTCTTCTCCCCGTCTCTTTCTGCAATCCAGAATACGCTTTCGCTTGGGGCATAGATTAAGTATCGGACAAGCTTTTATAGCGTTGGGATCGTAGAGTCGTTTAATCGGGAGGAATTATGTATAAAATTATTGACTGGGCGACTATTTATCCAAGGACATTTTTCCGCTAACCCCACTCATTACATACGCAGTATGTACCGGACCATACTCATTACACATTTACATTTGGATATGTTGGTTCAACACTGTCAACTACATATTATATATCAATCTTTGAGTGGTTTAAAGAGTCCAGTCTGCTCAGGAGGTCCATAAACAAAATCCCCACAACGACATCCTCATTCATATCCGGTCGGATTCTTCTCCTGCCAATTCCACAAATCCCTACACATGGTCTCGAGATCGCGAGGAGCGTCGAATCCTAGTTCGGCGCGAGCCAGAGCGGGATCGGCGATTAGTTCTGGAACGTCCCCGCGGCTAAATGGCACACGAAACAGAAAAATTATTGGGAAAGAACGGCAAAAGGGAATGGATGAACGACTCACCGCCTCCCAACAACTTCCGTCTTGAAATCAAACTCCGTAGCTTCCCTCATAGCTCCTACGATCTGCATCACGCTCATACCATGGCCTTTGCCCAAATTATACGCCTTGAACCTTCCTTTGCTTCCTTTACCTGTCTCCGTAGTACTAGCGAATACCCTGTTATTCAACTCCGAACCTTCCTCGAGCGCCTGCAGTGCAATGACATGCCCCGCAGCAAGGTCAAGTATATGCAGGTAGTCCCGAACACAAGTTCCGTCTAGGGTGGGGTAGTCCTTACCGAATACCTATTTGAGATGCATGGATTCGTGAGTACACACTTGAGATGATATCATCGGATTTACCTTCAGCACAGGATCCTTGACAGTCCCTACAGCCATATGTGCTAACAAGGGCAACAGATTCTCTGGTCTTCCACGAGGATGTTCTCCGATGTACCCACTGGGATGTGCACCGGCAGGGTTGAAGTATCTGAGAGAGATGGCTTGGAAGGGGGTAGTCGAACCTATCCCGTTACTGTGAATATTGAATCCGGTGGGAACAAATGGCAACGCACCAGTCAAAACACTACTCTCACACAAATCCTCCACAATCAGCTCACACATCACCTTCGTCCTGCCATACACTGATCCTTCCTTGCCTTCTATTTGCCTTTTTGTTGTTTCTTTAATCGGTATTTCATCCACAACCCCATAGACCGTCGCGGAACTCGAATAAATCAGCCTATGACACCCAAAGTCCTGCATGATCTGGAGAAGCGATATCGTTGCAGAGACATTATTGGCGTAATACGTTAACGGGATAACAGAGGATTCCCCAACGGCTTTGTATGCAGAGAGATGGATGACGCCCCATATTCCAGTTCCGCCATTCTGAGAAGAATATTTGGAAAAGATGGAACGCACAAGGGAAGAATCGAGAAGATCGCATTTGTAGACGTCGATTGCGACTGAATCGAGGTCTTGGGGAGATGGTGAGGTGTCAGTTGGTAAGGAGGCTTTGAGTTCGGTCAAAGCGAGCTCGGATACACGAGTGAGAGCAGCAGGAAAAGAGTTGTGGTAGTTGTCAATGGAGATTACTTTGTATTTGTGGGTTTTGAGAAGGGTGTAGATTATGTGGGAGCCTTGGAGAATCGGTAAGATGAGTGAATTCGATTTCGAGAGTAGAGTAATTCAGAAGGACACGTCGATAAAAGAGGGCTCACCGATATAACCTGCACCCCCGGTGACTATTACATTCTGTGAAATGAGAATTCGGGTCAGTTCATGTTACCCATTGGAGGGCACAAGACTGACCCTAAGTGGCTCTTTGGCATTAGAATTAGTAAAAGTAGAGTTATTAGATAAAGTGGTTGTGGTCGACATCGCGATTCGATGTGGTTCTTATACTTAGCTTTTGGTGAAGAAGAGAGTCAGGAGTCAAAATATATGTTCCTTATAAACGATTTCCGGAGAAGATAAGCCAAGATCGATAATCTAGGCGGGGTTCCAGAATTTCCGTCGTCGAACTTGGCTCGACCTTACAACTCGGCGTGGCGTAAACGGTAAAGAGAACAAAGATGTTATTAGTTTGCTATCGAGCGTGAAAAAAAACCACATGTAGATATTCAAGAAAACCCGAGGTTCAGGCGACAACCGGATAAAATTCTCATCTAAACAACTTTTCTCGACGCGTTAAGAGAAATACAGATTGTCTATTTGGCATTCCTGCGATCACAGATAACCGTAAACCGCAATTAGACTAACTTTCAACACTGTACGGCTTTTTGTAAACCCCCTTTGGATCTTCATAGGTACCATCGAAATAGATATTCCGAGCCTCTTGAGGGTTGAGCGTAGGATTGTCCTTCTGAACAAGAAAGACTTCAGCAGTCACCCTATAATCGAAAGCAATATGTGGCATACCGGCCCCGGACCAATCTCAACCATGACTGTCCCACGTTGATCTTTGATCTTCATCGCGGCTTCTCTCCGGTCTAAAGCATCCCAAAAATCCCAATAAAGCACTCCTTTGCATGTTTTGGGGGCACAACGTGGTGAACTCGATTCAATTTCGAAAGCTATCCAATTCGCGTCGGAAATGTCGGTAGGAATGTCAATTTTGTCATCCCCAGAGGCATCCTCAAATCTGCCTCTCTCCTGCTACATCTCAAACTTAGCCAGGCTCTGGAAGAAGCTCACATTCTCCCGGCATCTCAAAACGGGTTTAGGGCTGGTTATCGTACTAACAACAATGTCTTCATCCTACGCACACTGATCGAAAAAGCAAAATCCTTAGGTGATCCCCTGTATGTCGCCTTTGTGGACATCTCAAACGCTTTCCCCTCAATGAACCAGAGCAGCTTATGGAACAAGCTCGCTGATCATCAGCTCACCGGCAAATACTTTGACTGGCTCCGTTCCCTCTACAGCCAGATGACATATGTGATCACCCACAACGGGGACATCTCCGATCGCTTCCAGGCCATGTGTGGGGTGCTGATGGGTGACCCTTCCTCTCCCACACTGTGGAACATCTTCCTCTCAACGTTCAACCTTGTTCATGACCCCAATGACCTCGACCTGCTAGGGATTGTGATATCCCATCTCGAACACGCTGACGACATCGCCCTGATCTCACGCTCTGCACACGGCCTACAGTCCCATTTGAGAGGCTTCGAGCTCTACTGTCACTCCAACAACCTCACCATCAGCGCTGGCAAATCCTGGGTTATGGTCTTCGGCCGCCTGCCTTCACCTCTGCCCATTCTCTTCCTGGGTGGTGAAGCCCTGTCGTTCCGTGACTCGGTACGCTACGTCGGTGCTCATCTCCAATCCACACACCGTCATCTACTCGCGGCACACTACACGGTCAAGCGAGATTCCGCATTCACCGCCGCGGGTGGCATCGCGGGATGTGACCTTCTCATTGGACACCAACGGCTCGACCCTCCAATAGCCAAGCAACTCTACTCTGCTCTCGTGGACTGCCATCTCATCAATGGCTGCGAAATTGCAATCGACACTGACACTCACTTATTATCCATGCTCGAGCAAATTCAACTGCTCTTTCTCCGCCGCATGCTGGGTCTATCCCGTCGTTCCATTCTCGCACCTCTCTTCACAGAGACTGGCATTATGCCCATACGTACCCGTCGTGTCATTCTTGCCCTTCGCTACCTCATTTACCTCCTAAAACTCGGACCGGAGCACTACGCTCACCTTGCACTGCAGGAGAACTTCAACCTTCGAAACTCCGGCATGAAATGCTGGCTTTCAGATGTCGACTGGGCAATTCGCCATCTGCCTTCTTCCACTCTCTCCCTCCCCGCATCAGCACTACTATCCGAACCATCACTCCTCGCACTCATCAATTCCATCTCCAAGGAGTCCGACACCTATCTCCAGACCCAAGTAGACTCCAGCCATCGTCTGGCGTTACTCCACGGCCGTCTCGAACCGCAGAAAGAGGGCCCATCCAAATATGTTGCTCGGATGCTCCGCCATTACCTGATCCACGTCCGAAACCATTCCCACCGCCGTTCTCTCACCAGACTACTGTGTGGAGACATGGTTCCCCTCACTTTCCGGTCATCGCCAGCAAGAATTGATCCCTTGCTACCAACAGAGGTGCCCACAAAACAGTGCCGGTCATGTCAGTCACCTTTCCACCCAGAATCCCCTCAACATATCTTCCTCCAATGTGCAGTAGACCACACAATTGTTGGCCTACGGACTGCCTTTCTTGACGACATATCGCTCTCATTCCCTCTTCCTCGTAATCGCCTATTCTCAAACTCAGAAGCTCTCCACTATCTCAAACGCTTCATCTTCAATACGTCCTCCACCTCTCGTACTGCGCGCTTCATCCACGAGGCTGCCACGCACTGGTCATCTCTGCATCCCCCTCTCCCTCCTGCCGAACAGAACGATGACCACACCGCGAATGGAAGTGTGGGTGGCGACTCAACATAGCCGGATCCCGATTGTTCCTTCATCCCCTCTGCCCGCTTTTTTGTACATTCAATCTCGTACCCGTACTCTATTTATGAATACTCTATCTCATACACTCTCGTACTCGTATTCTTGCTTGGCCTTTTCTCGTGTCTCTCTTGTACTCGTACTCTTGCTTGTCCTCGTTTGCCACTCTCTCACTCGTGCGCGGTACGTCAGCAGTAGTCTACCTTCCCTCACTGCGGGTTGAGCTCGCTATTGTTGTCCTACCGTAACCGGCTGTTCCGAGACGGGACCCCGTCTTTCGAGACGGTGCCGTGTATTAATCTATCTATCTATCCAGAGGCCAATTTAGCAAATATCACGCCATCACGGATATAGCGATGGATTCGGTCGACCTCTGTCGCACCGAACTTATGATTACTATGTTCTACGAATGAGACTTTCACATGCCCCCTGAAAAAAAATCAGCGTTTTGCTCTGGCGGAACCTCATTTGCTCACAGTAGACAATGGAGCAGCTTTCAAACAAAGTGCAAGCCCAAGTAGGATGGAGACACAGGTGTTCAGGTGCATGATAGCTGAGCGTTGATAGCAACCAGTGGAACGATCTTCTTGACCAGCAAGAATTTCTAAGGAGGAAAAAGAGCACTGCCAACCAGTTTCCGGACTTCGTTATTTTATATAGTTGAGGGGATGAGGCAATTGCGCCTCGTCGTAATCTTGAATTCCTGCCCTCGTAACCTCTCGTAACTCACTTAGTCTCTTGACGATGTACAGCAGTAAGCATGTCCGAAGGAGAGCTAAGCATCCCGCCGGGAGAGTTGAAATCACTCAGTCAGGCATATCTGGCACTTCATCTGCAAAACCTGGATATTCGGCTAAGGGTCCGAAAGCAGTTGAAAGCATTTCCCAGCAGTGAAAGCACTCAGAGCAGCCTGCTCTCAGTGCTTTCGGTACTGGGATCTGCTGGGATCTGCTCTCAGCCCTTAGCCGAATATCCATGTTTTGCAGATGTTATTCAATTACTATGGCTGACAAACTGACTTATCGTGTAATTCTTGTAGTACGAATCCAGCTTCGCTTCACTGCTTCATCCTCGCATTCTCCAAATTCTCACCGAATACGACCAGATTCGACCTCCCAAGATGTACCAAATTTCGGCCAGTTATGATGCAAACTTGAGCCGGAGGTTCACTTGCGGTGGCCACTATGATGCGAACCCAGAGCATATAGTCCAGGGTCCTGATGATGTTCCACTAAACCAATTATATTGTAGCATCGATGAGTTGTCGTAATAGAGCGTGGAAAATAATTCACAGAGCACGCTGTCGCATGCGACTGCTAACCGTTCTGAGTCCAGCATAGACTTTACCCGGCGGAGAACCCAGGATGAGAGACACAATAGCATCTCGAGCGATTTTGATGTTTTGGAAGGAGCCCATGATATGTATTTTCCTTTGAAAAGAAAACGTGAGCCACATGATCCCAAGGGACGGCGGAGGATACCTACGTATCCGCAAGTACGATCCGGGTCCTACTAGCATTTTCAATAGTGAACTTTGTTTTTCCATCTTGCCCTGCGATACGACCTGGCAAAAAGAATGAGATCGGGCCTTGTTGAAACGTGTAGAATACTTCGTACCAATAGCTCGAGATAAGTGATCGCCTTGTAAGGATTTGACATCTTTGATTTCAAAGGAATCAAGGTATAGATCGTCTAGTCGGAGTAATGCAATAGCATCCTATACAGCGTCAGATGAAGAGGAAAATGGAAAGGAGATTGCCGTACATTTACATCGAACCCAAGAGCATACGCCTTCACGAAATCAGCACCTTTCTGCAAAGCACCGATATCTTTTGTGTGTTTGGAAGTCTAGCGATTGTGAATTAATTCCCCAATAAGAGCTTGAAAGAGAAACGCACTCGTGCTTCTACGGTTCGTCTCTGAACATTCATCCTAACTTGCAGCCCTAAAATCTCGGTCAGAGGACCAAATATATTAATCCAATCCTTCTTCAGCGGCGTCATACGATGTGGCGGAATCGGTATCCGTCTTGTTTCTGATTTCAATGTGGTCTGTAAGGCGTCTGCTGATACCGGCGCAAAAGCTGGAGCGGCAGATACTTTGGGAAGCGAGTCGAAGTTTTCATCGTCGATCATGATATCGTCGTCGTCTCCACCATTGGAAGGTAACGCATCGGTTACTGGGTGGTGTTCTTCCATGTTTTGGTCTGCATCGGCATCAACAGAAGAAACTGTAGCTTTCTTTGTCATTTTTCTACGATTTTTTCGGTGAGGCGCAGAGGGAGCCGATGTGCTAGGTTGCGGTTGGCTACTTGCGACGACCATTTTGTGAGAGGATTGCAAATAATTTTTAGGCAGGGTCGTGGTGGTATGCAGACAAAAAAAGTTTTGAGCGCTTATTATACTTTGCATTGAGTTCCTTGAATCCTTCTTATCTGCGGAAACTCATGCTCTTTTATCAAGTGACTACACAGAATCTTCAAGCTACATAATCTGGAACTGCTATTCGGCTGAGTTGAACGTTTGTGGGATGCATATATATAAGATAGCAACTTTGTTCTGCCTTGGGACGAAGCAACTTGCGTTATCCCGATGTCTGAAGTGGCACCCGCTGGTAAGAAACCAGCCTCAACTACTTCTATCGAGAAGATAGCAGATGGTGGATACGGCGAAGAAAACTTGAGCATCGATCTGGTCTCTGAAAGCGAATTGAAGCGGATTCAGAGAAAGATAGGTATGTTGTTTCTATCAACGTATACATACTGAGGATAACTCAACATCGTTCTAAGATTTGCGTATCATGCCATGGATATGTTTAACATACATGTTTATGCGGCTGAACGTCAACACCGTTGGGAACATTGCAATCATCAATGCCGAGCAAAAGCACGATATTAAAACACAGCTTCATTTGTCCCCATCCCAATGGGCCTGGGTTATTTCTTGCTTCTATTATACCTATATGGGCATTGAGCCGTTTTCGACGTTGATGATGAAGAAGACCTCGTGAGTCGAGACCTCTCCACGAAGCACAAGTCGTTGATAGGTCGAGAACAGACCGAGTTTCTGGATTTCACGTATCATGGTTAGTTGGGGCATTGTGGCCTGCTGTGGGGCTGCCGTACAAAATTACGCAGGGCTTATCACGATACGAACTTGTACGGCTTTTTATCGACTTCTTGTCGCGCGATTGTTTATCGTTTTTCTGTTCTCAGTGCTCGGTGCTGCAGAAGGCGGATTCTTTCCCTGCATTCTTTACTACCTAGCCTTTTGGTTTCGTCCCGAAGAGATCACCCTTCGCATTTGCTTTATGCTGGCATGCAGTACCTTCAGCGGAATCATGTAACTAACCTTTCTTTCACTCGAGAACGTGGCTGTAAACCTGTTTCAAAGTAGCGGATTCATTTCCTACGGCGTAGCATTCGCGGACGGTCACGGACATTTGGCAGGTTGGCGCTGGCTTTTCATAATTGGTCTGTTCCCCCCTTTCTTATCAGTTAGAAGTTGATTCCCTGACAATACTTTCTTCCCAGAGGGCCTTCCTCCAATAGTTCTTGGACTCTTGACTATATTCATCCTTCCAGACTACCCGGACTCGAAGGCGACTGCAAAGTTCCTTACAGAACAAGAGAGACACATCATTAAAGAACGCTTGTATGACGGAGCACCTGAAAAGACTAGCGCGACATGGAATACTCGTCAAGCGATAGACGTCCTTTGGAATCCAACCTTCTGGTCGTTCGCCGGAATCTGGGTCGGCAATGCATTGGGAAACCCTACGCCTTCGTTTGTTTTGCCGACGGTCATTTTTGAACTAGGTATGTAGAGTCGCCAGTTTATGTACCATTCCTGAACGTTCAGTAGGGTTTACCAACAGTAACATAAGCAACGTCCTGACAGTGCCCACCTCAGTTGCAATATTTCTCACTCTGGTGACTTGTGCTATCATGGTGAGGAAGGACATATGGAATCCGTTTTGTGTCGCTTTCATCCGTAAGGATGTCCCGTTTGATTTCAAGTTACTCAATGTCGACATACATTTAGTGCAGATCATTAACTTGATATGTTGTGTCATTCTAATGACCGTCAAGGTTTGTCCGAGCATTTTCTAGACTGATGAGACCTTACCCTGTCCCAACAGCAACCTATTGTTCGCTACATTTTCATTCTAATCGCTCGATCAGTATCAAATACTGTGGTTAACATTCTTTGGCCAAGTCGAGTCGCAGCATTAAAAGGTACCACCGCTGTTGGTCTCGGAATCGCTCTGTCAAATGTTCTTAGCAACATCGACGGATTAATTGGACCGTTAATCTTTTCCAGTAAGTGGAATTCTCCTTGCTGCAATTAAACCCTCCATAACCTGTCTATTTCAACTAGCTGTTTATGGCCCGTCGTACCATGTCTCGTACTCAATCTGTGCTGGTATATTGACAGTTGGGATCATTTCTATTGCTGTGACTGGGGCTCTTGTGGGACGGCCGGTCTTTCGACCGCTGCAAGCGTTCAACTCAAGGCATAGTGCTACATGATATATCAGTGAGCAGACTACCTAGGTATCGATAAATGCTTCGGTAATGTGAATATTAATCTGAATGAAATCGGATTGCAAACGGTTGAAAATCGCGAACATTCTACTTCGATGTTGAGCTCTCCGAAGATTGCAGCATTGTGCTCATTTTTCCTTGGATCTGTTCAAATCATCCTCCTTCTTTCCATCAACAACATCTTCACCTACTCAACGGCATTACAATATCTTCGGAAAGTTAATTTCGATTGGAATTTCATTGTTCCTACAGCGAAATACATTTACGGTTCTTTGTTACGAAGGCACCATTTTATTGATCACGGTTCGGATAGGCTCGACAACGAGGAGGATTCGGAAATTTGAATTTAAAAGCTGTTTACAAAAGTCTAATCAGCGAGGTAAGAGATTTAAGCTTCTCTTCTCCTCTCACCTATCACCGATGGTCAGTGTACGCTCCGCGCGCCTCAGAATCGCATTCTTCTCATTCTCCTTTCTGTCGGTGAGGCCCTATTCAGTCAGGTATGCTCCGCGCGCTTGCAGACCGTCTGCCCTTTTCTGACTCAGGTGCTCGGCATCTTAGCCTTCATCATTTGTCTCACTTTCTTCTTGTCTCCCAATTTTTGTTAAACTCGAACCAGTCTGCTGCTGAGAAGCGATATGCGGAATCACTTTCTCGGCATTGAGCGCCAGTTTCCAAAGTGTCAACATCCGAAGCTACTGGCTCGAGTCTAAATTTTTGTATATATCGCGCCTGAGAGTCCTCGAGTCAACATTCTTTTGACTTGTCAAACTCTCAGGTGTGTAGAACATGTACTGTAATCAAAATTCTCTCTGACTAGTTGGCTCTCAGTCCCGTTTTCGTACAATTTTTCCACATTTTCGTACTTGCTGTAGTCTATCTTGTGAGATGAGCTAGCTGCTATAAAGGCGGTTGGGTCTGACTGTTCCCTTTTTTGACTCTGGAGGCGCATGTGCCGTAAACCAGGCCGTAATTGCCGTAGCGGCAGTATGCACCGAGTTGATTTCTGTTGATTTCCATAGTGCATCTGGAAATAATGTGGAATTACAACCGGCTTTTCTCCTCTTCCTGCTACCACCATGACCGACCAGTTTGTGTTTACGCCACTTGATGAGATCGAGAAGGTATATCTACAGCATACTACACATTCAAACTAATTCTCTCCGGTCTAGATATACAACGAATTGAAAGTTACTTTCGCGTCTGGAAAGTCCCGGCCAATTCCATATCGAAGATATCAACTTATTCAGCTGGCATACATGCTGAAGGACAACATAAAGCTATTCGAAGATACTTTGGCCGCGGATTTGGGTAGGCCACAGCTTGAGGCCCGAATGTGAATTGCGGTGTTCTTCAGGTTGCCAAATGTCTAATTGCACAAACTATTATTAGGCTGGATATTGATCCAAGTCTTGTTGAAATAAAGTCGACCCTTTCCAGTTTCGAGAAATGGGCAAAACAAGAAAGTGCACCGTTTTCGATCAACTTTTCTGCAATGCTCCCCGTTATTCGCAAGGAACCGAAGGGCGTAGTCCTCATCATCAGTCCATTCAATTATCCTTTGTTCCTTACAATTCCGCTCATGGTTGGTGCAATTCTGTTTCAAACTACTCTATTTCACTTTGAAGCGTCAGGCATCTGCCATTGCTGCAGGCAATGCGGTCATAATCAAACCCTCAGAAAACACTCCCGCCACTACGACTTTGCTTGCAAATCTTGCTGAAAAGTATCTGGACACCTCTCTCATTCGTGTCATTAAAGGAGGAGTTACTGAAACTACAAAGGTGTGAATCGAACAATCTAATTTTGATATATATTCTAACCCCCATCTTCTTCTAGCTACTAGAATACACTTGGGGTCATAGTACGTTACAGCGTCGAAGTTCACACCGCATTCATACTCTGACACTGCGTTAGTTTTGTATACTGGTATGGTCTTACGAAGTCTGGGTAGTGGAAGATTGAATTGAAGGGTTTACATACCATGTGTTAGGTGGGGGTAAGATTGGCAAACTCATCGCTGCCGCAGGAGCTAAGACGCTTTCGCCGGTGTCATTGGAGGTACATCTGTTCTATTTCTCGCATTCGAACTCATCTCTCACTCCTTCTATCCCATAAGCTTGGAGGTGCTTCCGTGTGTCAGACTCACTATCTCGCGCTTATATAACTCGCGCAGGCAAATCACCCGTATTCATTGACTCAAAATGTGACCTGAAGATGGCTGCGAAGAGGCTGTTGTGGGGAAAAGCAGCGAACGCAGGTCAGACGTGTGTCGCACCGGATTATATCATTGTACAGCAAGATTTCCAGGACAAATTTGTTGAGGCGTTGCAACAGTCGTAAGAGCTCTTCAGATATCATAATCGCTATTACCCTCATTACTTCGCTAGGTATCGCGAGTTCTATCCAGATAAGGCATCAGCTCCGGGACAGATGTCTCGTTTGGTTTCACAGCAGGCATTCAATCGCGTCAACAATCTGCTCAAAAACACGAATGGTACGATTGTGATTGGTGGTGACACAGATGAAGGCACGAAATATATCGGCCCTACCGTTGTGAAAGATGTGAAGCCAGAGGATTGTCTCATGTCTGAGTGCGTGGCGCTTCGTCATTATTTCAATTTTCTGATGTACCGACGCTATTCTGTTATGGTCGATAGAGAAATATTCGGGCCCATTCTTCCAATTATGCCTGTGAATAGTATTGACGAAGGACTGGCATATGTGAATGCCCAGTGTGTTGTCTTGACCGTGTTGTGAGGCGACAATAGATTTAATGGTTTGTTCTGTTCGCAGTGATCACCCATTGTCGGTGTATGTTTTCTCTCAAGACAGTGCCTATAAAGCAAACAGTGCGTAAAATTTGAGATGATCCCACTGTATGGCTGGCTTCACACACTGCAGTCTTCGATAATACGCAAAGTGGCTCAGCTATGGCCAATGAGACCATTATTCATCCAGCTGGTAAGGATAGTCCAAATCTTTCCTTGTCCTTACTGACTGCGGCGTAGTGTATGGTTTGCCCTTCGGAGGAACAGGACCAAGTGGATGTAAGCAATAAAATCTTGTCCCTTTTACATAGCTGTTGACCCAAGATATTAAAGCCGGTTACCACACAGGAAAAGTATGTCCAATCGTGCGGTTCCGCCCTCCTATCATTTGCCTGATGACTTGCATAGTATGGGTTCGACATGTTCACTCATCTGCGATCTTCCCTGGACTCTCCTGGGTGGTGAGAAAACCCCTCACTGGTATTTTCCGCTTAGATTGACACCCCCTTCTCCATGGTAGGCTGGATATGCTTCTAGGATTCCGTTACCCTCCTTACACAGTAAGTGCCGAAGGGTTGATTACTGGTATCTGTCAATATACTTATCACTTGCAGACGGCTAAAATCAAAGCCATGGGCCGTTTTATGAACCCAAGCTTGCCTGCTCGACCTAAAGGTCCCCCAGAGGAACATGTAAGTCGGCATTCCTGGTCAAAGTGGTTCACCTTCTTGTTAGCTCTTGCTTTGGCCGGAGGCTTAATGAAACGTCAATCTAAGACGTAATAAATTTGCTGAGCGAATATTGGAAACAGGTGGGATTAAAGTATATGTGTAGTATGTTTCAACAACCGAAATCGGATCTAATATGCTCGTCGTTTCCTTGTTACATGAGTCTTTTCTTTGCCTCCAGCTTTCAGCGTTAGTCTTGAGCGCTTGAACTTTGAGTGGTTAAAGAGAGCGCCCAAGTCCAAGCCAAAAAAAAAAGTCTAATCAGTCTCCCAAGGCGGCATTGTCTACAAAGTGGGCTCCTCCTGCGCAGCGATACCCACCATCTTGCTTGATCCACCGAAATCCGGCAACACAAAGACCCAAAGTGCGGAGTTTCTGTTGTGCCCGAGCCTCTTTCTTCTCCTCTTCCTTTCGAGCTTCCAATTCATCCTCGAGTTTCCGGCGCTCGGTTTGGACTTTAAGTGCTCGAAGGCGCATCTCCTCCTGCTGGCGTTTGAATTCCATCAATTTCGCTGCATCATGAGCGTTTGTTTTGGCCTGCTTTATCAACAGCGCTGCTTGGGCTGCTTCTTTCGCTTCCTGCTCTTTCGCTTCCTTTGCCTTATGCTCTAGTAGGATGATTTGCTTCGCTCTCTCACCCGCAACTCTCTGGTCAATTTGGAGTTGGTGCCATATCGAGTCGGAAACTCCGAGGTCCCGCTTGGTATTCGTTACAGGATCTTGTATAATTTTGTGGCCGGGAACTATTTCTGGTTTCGCGCTGGGAGGTGCTGTCGAAGTTGAGATAGAGGGAGTAAATGGAAGAGGAGACAGAGAAGGAGAATCGTTTTGAGCGGCAGACGTCTTGGTGGGAGATAATCGGCTCGCAGACCGCTTCTGACGTTCTGCGAGCATATCTTTCATGACGGCAATAGCTCGATCGTTTGGAAGTCTGAGTGGAAGGCTGGTGCCATGGTCAGAATATGCTTCACGAATCATCTGCTTTGCTAATGTCATAACGTCACGGACATTTCCCCAGCCTGGAAGGGCAGAAATTTGATCCAAGATACTCGCCATCTCCAGATAAATACGAGATGACTCCTCGATCACAACATCCTCGGCACGCAAAGCCTTGTTCAATACTTCCAGGCAATGTGTATGCCCCATATTCTTGAACACAATGGTCTCCGGAAATCGACTAGACAAACCGGTATTGACCGCCATCAGTCTGTTCATATCGTCATCGTAGCCCGCTAAAATGACCACGAGCTTTGACATGAATTCCTCTTTCGTGAGAAGACCAACTACTTCGTCGACAGCCTCATGTGCAAAATGACCTTCCCCAAGTCGATAGGCTTCATCAATGAAGAGAACGCGGCCAAGGGCCTGTTGGAATTTCTTCTGCACTTTCGGGCCTGTGTGACCAACATATTGTCCCACTAAATCGGAAGCCGAACATTCAATCACCTCCTTCGAGGACAGAAAACCCATATCATAGAAGACCTGACCCATCTTTCGAGCGACGGTAGTCTTCCCTGTTCCTGAATAGATGCAAAACTAATCAGTGAACTAAGTGTAAGAGAAGAATGAGCGCAATTGCAGACCTGGAGGGCCCTTGAAAACAAAACAAGTGGGTATATTTGTCCGGGCATCCTTCCCAAAACGCTTGTAGTTGGCTGCAGTCTCTTGATATTTACCCAATTTTTGCACGATGTCATCGCAGCCCACTAGATCTTCAAAAAGCTTTGCCATATTTGCTGAAGCATGATTTTGGCGGTCATGCTCTGGGTCAAAGTCGGTGGGTTGCAGAATGATATCAACGGAGCGTTGGTGCAAGGGTAGAGAGGCTTGACGAGATTGGTACCGCATTTTAGCCTTATTGATCAGGTTTTCAACGTCTCCACCGTTGCCGAAGTTGGGGCGATTACGAGCGCGTCCCAAGCACTCTCTGGCAACAGTTTTAGCGTCATCAGAAGCCTCAAGATCTGACTCTCGCAATTTCATATCTAAAACTTCCATGAGTTCGTCCTCGGTGAAGTCATCAAACTTGAAAGGATCATCTATCGCAAACCGACGAGAGAGACCAGGGTTGACATTCTGAAAATAAACCATATAGCAGTCTGTCCCACGGAGCAAGATATCACACACCTGGAACATTTCTTCCATTTGCTTTTGATACCCGAGAAGAAGAACACATCGATCTTCGCCTGGTACGCTCTGAACTTCAGCAACAATTGTGTCAATGACTGCGGTCTTGTAGATATCGGATCCATTCTGGGAGGACCCGCCGTACAGGCCATAAGCCTAGGCTGGGCGTTAGCTAAAGAAGACAAGTCAATTCTGCACACTCACCTCGTCTATCACTAGGACTTTCCCCACAGTGCTGACGAGGATCGCTTTCGTGTTTGCTTCAGACTGTCCAAGATGAGCCCCTAGGAAGTCTGCAGGATTTTTTATAACAACTACAGAGCATAAAGCGTCAAAGAAAAGTTATTTAGACAAGATGAATTATTACCTTCGCCATTGCTAAGAAGACCAAGATCTGCTAAAACTTGACCATAAAGCTTCGCGACGGTGGTTTTACCTGTACCAGGTGAGCCAGTGAAAACTCTATTGAGAGACACTTCAATTGGCTTGCTCTCTTTCAGTTCGCGCAGATAGTTGGTGCGCAACATGTCGATGAGATTGTGAGCGGTTTCTTTGACTGAAGATAGACCAATGAGTTTCTGAAGTTTTGTCCAAGCAGTGCTTCGCTCGAGAGCACCAGAAGGCTCTGGGCCGATGAGGTCTTCCCTCACCAAAAGAAAATCATTCGGACGAGCTCCGTTCTTTCGCTGCTCGTTTATTCGCCTAGCTTGTCGTTCTAAGACCTTGTTGAAGACATTCTCTAAAGCTCTAGCATTACCGAAGCCGGCTCTGTTGCGCCCTCGACCCAGACGTTGAGCAACGATCCGAGCATATAGTCCTTCAAGACCGCCTTCAACTTCCATTTTCCCCTGGTACTTCTTTTCTATCAACCTCCTCAGCATCTTCAACAGTTCCCCATCTGTATAATCCTTGAAGTTCAGATTATAGGGGACCCGGCTCGATAAGCCTGGGTTGTGCTCAAAGAACTTCTCCATCTGTTTATTGTACCCGGCCAGGATGAAAACCAGCTTCCCGATATTGTTCTCCATCTCGGCGAGTATGAAGTCAAGCACCTGTGAGCCTTGGATACTACTTTCACTGACTAACTGGTAAGCTTCGTCAATGAAGATGGCCCCTCCTCCGGCATTGAGGACAGCTTCGATATGTGCTTTAATACCAGGTACACCATCGTTAGCTATCCTGGAACCAGTGGTTTCGATAAACTCGTTTCCTGGAAGAATGCCGACCGAAGACAAAAATTGAGCGTAAATCCTAGCTACGGTCGTTTTGCCTAATGTGAGAAACCCATATTAGCTATCGCATAGGATCCGACACTTCTTGAGAGATAAATGTGCATACCGGTCCCAGGATTTCCTAACATACATATATTGAATCGTTCATCAGATATCGAGGTATTCTGTCGCGTTACAAGGTCGATCTTAGCTTTGATAGTCAGCACCTGGTTTTTCACCTCTTCAAGGCCTGTCAAGTTCATGAGCTTATCAATAGCCTCGTTCGAAGCACCTTCGAGATCCTTCTGGCGCTGCCATTCTTTTTCTGCTTGTGATAATCCCGCTGCAGCAGGATCTAGAGGAGTAGGAAGGGGGGATTTCAGGGGAGTAGGCATATCGGAAGGGGCCAAAGTTGAGACCGAAACAGGCAATGGTGAAGCAGCAGAAATGAAAGGCTCCGTGTTTCTAGTCTGAGAGAGGTCCGAAAGAGGTCGTAGCAGCGGCATGGAATTGGAGATTGGAGAGGAATTAACCAATCTGTTGGCATTTCGCGCGCTGATTTCCTGGAGATCCCGCTTCTTTTGCTGTAACACCTCTTGCCTTTTTTTCTGTTCTTCTACAGCCCGTCCAGCTTCCATCTCAGAGTCAATTTGCTCATTTAGCTCTCTCAACTTCTGTTCGTATTCCACCTTCTGTGCTTCTTGTTTTCGCTGTGATTGAAGGGCGCGTTGTTGCTTCCTCTTTACTTCATCGGCCTCCTGATCGCATTTTTTACAAGAAAGTAGAGGTCCCTCCGAGCATTTGTAGCGTTGGTTATGGTTCTTTGGACATTTGAATTGAACTATTGCTTCACATGCCATCTTGGAATGGTCAGCCAGCTGATGGCACTTAGACGGACAGCAATGGAGGCCACATTTGAGCATAGTACCGCTGTTAATAAAAATCCATAAGTATTTAAGCCTCAGACATGTGCAGTGTGAACTTGCCAGTCTTCAAGACACCCGCCATCCGGAGTTTTCATATCAAAATCGATGGCTTCTCGTAGCAAAGACATCCTATCAGGATGCCGTTCGCATTTGATGGGGAATCCTTCGTAAATGTGGCGATCACGTTTCAAGAGTCCGAAGAACTTCGTCCACAGTTCACTGCCTCTCCGAGCATTAGTGAACGTATCGGCGTTCCCGATCATGATAAGACCATTACGAGCACGTGAAAGTAATACGTTAAGACGCTCGGGCGCACTCATAAACCCTATATCATGGTTCGTGTTACTCCTGGTTAAGGAAGTGATAATGATATCGCTTTCTTCGCCCTGGTAATTATCTGAGAATGGGATTAGTACATAGCGTTTTTAAAAAATGGACTGCGACTCAAAGATGTACCTATCGTAGCTAACCGAATTTTGCGTTTGGCGACGTCAGCTGTAGCGGCGGGAACTAGACCTGCTCTGACTAAATCATGAGTATCGAGATCATTGAGAACTGGGTCATTGTCAGCAGCAAGAGCCTTTCGTAACTTCTGCAACTGGCCAAGATATGGAGTCAACACCGTCATTTCGTCAGTCCGATAGCCTGTAGAGCCATAACAGACATGGTCGACAGTGAGCAGGATGTATCATCAAGGAATAGTGACAGACCTTGTTGTGCTAGATATCGTACAATCTTAAGCACCATCTCAATCTCATATATGTTCTCCTTCGATGAAGTCGCTGTAAGATCTTGACGGTCTTGGACATCAAGTTCATCTTCTAGATGAGTATGATTCACAAAAACTATAACGTCTTGCAAGCCACGTAACGTTAGTCGGTTCTGGGTGTTTGGGGCATCAACCAGATCAGGATAGGTAAGCTCCCGAATCAAAGTGGATATCTCGGGCCTCATTCGATGCTGCTCCAGTAACGTTGTATGTGGATAGCCTTTCAATACCAATCGTTCGAAGAGTGACATATTGAGGTCATACCCTTCCCCCTTTTCAACAGTGAGGCGATAGTCATTGACCTTGGGGCGCAATTGCCTAAATTTCAATTTAGCGCAAAGTGTAGTTCATGCAGAATACCACGTACTTATGATCACCAATCAAGATGATTTGCTCGGACTTCGGGTTTAGCGAAGTCACGACATGACTTTCGAGGATCTCTCCTGCCTCTTCGACGAGAAGAATGCTAGGCTCCGCCGTCCTGATGTATTCATTGTACTTTGCCGCTGCGGTCGTGGTGCAACCAACAATGCGTCGGCTACCAACTAATTCACCATCTTTCTGCATTAATATTGCGTCCGTTTGAGCGAGGCAGGTGTTGAATTGCTGCACCAGGCCGTGGATGCGCTCAGCGGCGTTACGAACGATGTTATTCTTCCAGCGAGTGATGTAATCTTGACGAGTTTGTGAAGCCATATTCCAGATGTCACGAGCACTCCTTATGCGGGGGTGATCCGCAAATATTCCAGGAGACCGGTTCTTCACCCAGGCTTCGATGAGATAGGTAGGTCCTACATTCTTCCCGCCTTTTCCGACATGCGTCATCTCTTCGAGGTTGTCTACATCCGGAACTAATAGCGCATCATAGAACCTCATTTCCTCGATGTCGTCAGAAAGCTCAAGGTATCCAAGGATATGCCCCAAATATATCTTTATAGAAGTAAATCTCCTGTATTCGGTCTGGAGCTTGGCGTGGAGTTTCGACGCATGAGCCTTCAGCGCATCAACCTGTGTCCAATCAGATCTTGTCATTTTTGGGCTGAGCTTCTGCTTCTGAAGACTGCTGAGGGTTAGAGAAGCAGTGCGAACGGTCGATTTCCCTCCTAGTCGAACGATATGACTTTCTGGAATGCCAATATCAAGAAGATCTTCGAGAAATTGGTCTAGGGCGTGATTCGTGTAGCACACCACCAAAATGTTCTTGGTGGAGAAGTCATGGATTATCTTCGCCAGAAGCGCACCAATAAACGACTTCCCGGTTCCTTATGTAGATATGAATAACTTCCACATATTTATCATGATGAGAACATACCTGGAGGTCCTTGTATCAATGCCAAATTCTGGGTTAACGCAGAGAGCAGCGAAGAGTGCTGAGATTCGTCCAACGTAATAGGTTTAGAAGTATTAAGATGAGTTCGTAGATCGTCTTTAGGATGGGCTTTGAGTGTTGAAATCAATGTCTGTAGTTGGGGCTCGATATGCCTTGGGCCCTTCAATACACTGTCTTCATCCCAGAATAAGATCTCTGATGCCAGAGGTATTTCCGACATCTCCTTGACAGCTTTCAGGATAGGCTCGAAAGCAAAGACTGCGGTATCAATAAGTATGACACGAATTTGATGGCTCTGTGCTGACTTGAGTTTCGTCAATGCCTGTACAATGGGGTTGCCCTCGAGCTGCAAGACTAGAATGGGAGGTTTTTGGGCCAAGAGATTCTCATCCCGATTCAGCGTAGGGAACGCAACAATTTCATTATTTACCATGAGGCATGCTAAAGCCTGATGTCTGAAATAGCGAGTACGGTTATCATCAAGGAAGGCCTTTCGTTCTTTTGGCTTCACTTTTTTGAAGATCCAGAGGTCGGTCTCGCATTGGAGGGTGATAGCCCATTTAGATCTTTTGTCGTCAAGACCAGTATGCATATCGAGCAACTTGAACCCATCGATAATGAGACCTCTGTGGAAACCCCGCTTCTGTTTCAAGGCGATCTGAACTTCTTCTCGCATCTCATGCAACATATCCTCTCGCAACAACCTGAACTGATTGTCGAGGTACATCTGCACGCGTTGATCCAGTGTCCCAAGGTCCTCAAGAAAGTCGCTCTTACGGAGAAAAGGTTCCTCCTGACACGAAATCTCGGAGGCGGTAGGGAGTACAGCTATCTGGCAAAAATCAGCGAAGTCGTTATCATGACGGCCTCCGGGTTTGAACGATCCACTGACGACGACGACATTTGCCATAGAGGCCGATAGGACAGATTTGATTTTTGCACCAAGAGCGCGAACAGCAGGGAAGGGTGAATCAAAAAGCAAGTTCATGAGCTGATCTTCCTCTGCCAACTCGCGATGATCTTCATCAACTTCAGAAAACGACAGGAGCTGCAGGAACAGCCCAGCAAACGCAATCTGTCCTTTCTCTCCCAACCGCCCATTGCGAAAAGCTGCGACAAACGCGGACCAAAAGATTGGAGGGTCGACAATTTTGATGAGAACCTGCTGAATTAACAAGCCCCCGGCAATTTCCTTCAACCGAGGATCCTGTAAGTAGGCTAAAACCTCTGTACCGCGATTGTTGAGAAAACTGGTGTTCAAATCATATCGCATACAGTCCTGCAAGGCACTGAGCCCGGCTTTGCTGCTTATGAGCTTACTTACACAGGTTGCTGGATCCTCTTGGCTCGTGATAGCATCAAGGAAGTCAGCGCTACGCTGAGGAGATATAGCAAGTGACCCTCGCAGGATTGCTTCGAAGACCTTTCTGAGTTTAGCGGCTCGATCCATAGTATTCTATCTCTTTAGGGAGGTGAGAAGTGAGGAAGGGTGGTGGAAAGCCTGATCCTGGACCATCATCAGATTATGTATACTTCCAGGCGCCTGCGGCCAACCACAAACGCGTGCGGACATTTCAACCTTATCGTAGAAGATCCATTTCTTTATTCTCCATAATTGGAGTCACACGTATCAACACAAACCATCCATATTACCGTAATGCGAGTCCAACAAGCTTTGAACGAGGCTATCCGAAGATCTGGCGCGCAGAGAAGACTTTGCGCAGCATAGAAATCAAAGATCAGCTTAAGCCTATTGGCTATTTGACACATGAAGGACCTACATGCGCAGTACTTCGAAACCCGAAGAAAACTGCTTTTTTTAGTTTGATGAGGTTTGATGTGTGTCCAAAACACGGTGGGGGGTTACGAGTAGCCTGAGTCCTTTTAGGACACAGATGAATATCATCCTGTAAACTTGTAAACAAGGTGGTGTGAAAAACGCTGGTTGAGAGGAGAGTGTGGAACTGTTTATTTATCATTACATAATAGCACTAAGTCACGCTCCCTTCCTTCACTCGATCATGGCCTCTCCGAACCAGGCTGAGGCCTTGAACAACACAGAAGGTGTATTTAATAATCAGAAACAAAGTACCTCATATCCACTGAACATCTGACCATAGCTTTACAGACCCTGCTTCAATCTTTTGGCCCAGATGCTGCGCAAAACGTCTCCCAGGAAGCCTTACAACGGCTTTCCGATAAACTATCTGAGCTGATGGGAGCAGATGTTGTCAGAGATGCTTTCGCCTACAATGATCAAGACGGACAACCAGTCCCTACTGGTAGCGAGACGGTACTCTATATTATTCATTGTCGATGCTCTCAATATACTGATAGTTTTCGTTTCTGTAGCTCCTTAACGAAGAAGGACTTCCAATAATTGATATCACTGAGCCCGAAGTTGCTCATGTTCGGTCCCAAATCCAGCCTAGCTCTAGCTCAAGCGATCCCAGTGATTCACCCATTACCACGGAAGCTCCTCCATTGATCGATCTGTCAACCCTCTCGCCTGCCGAGCGTGACCTTCGAAAACGAGAACGAGAACGGATACTTGATTTACTTGAAGCAGAGGAGGTGTTAGAACAACGCAGCGAGCGAGAGAAAGAGGCGCAGGAGCGCAGAGAAGCGCTTGATAGAAAACGCGATGATGGAAAGACTGAGAGGCAGAGGTTGCTTGAATTGAAAGAAACTCATCAAAAGATGGGCAAGGCCTTGTTACGCAGCGTAATATCCAAGGATGATGACACGAAGAAAGCAGAAATTCAGCCCTCATCCTTTTCTCCTGCTTCGTCTTCTGCGGTCAAGGAGACAGCAGCCACTCCGAACATCAAGAAAAAAAGTGTTAGCTTTGCCTCCGAAGACCCCACAAAAGTCGAACCCTCTGAGCCTAGCTCTAAAACCTCCACAGATATTGCAGATTGGGGAGACGTTTCCAAAGGCCGCTTGCGTCCGAATCCCAAACCTCTTGTTGCTGATGTTTATACTCGGCAAAGTGAGCAGCTCATGAAGCTCCAAGTCGTCGAAAGGGCACCGGGCGATCATAGCACCTCTTTTCAAAGCCATCCACTCGCCGAAAATAAGCAACCTTCCACCTCGAAAATCCAGATCCTCGATTCATCTGCTGGCGATTCTGACGACGAATCAGACATGGACTCTAATACTCTTTCGGACGATGACAATGTCCCCCAGAATTCCGATACAGAACATTCAGACGCTGAGTCGGGCAGTTTGGATCTAGATGAGGAAACCGATTGGGACTTTGCTCAACACCAGCGCGAGATCGCCCTGGAATATCATCAGAAACGAGGAAAAATCGGAAAAGAGACGGCAGCCGCATTGACTTCACACACTCATGAACCGTATGAAGATCCTTCATTCCCAGAGCTTGCCTCGAATAAACCCAAGTCGTCCTCGTCCATGTCTCAATTTCGAGCGAATCGCCTTGCTTCTTCGTACGCCGTTGCAAACACAGACGCGACGTCTTCCGTTCCCTCACCTCTCGGCTCTTCTACTCTGCCTACTCTACTCCCCGCCGGTGCTGCACAGACTCTGCAGCATGCTGTACGTCTAGGCAAGCTAGATGAACAGAAACGTCTGGTCGGAGGAGACGCCGGAGACAGCGGGAGTGAGCCAGACGATGAAGTTGCGAGGGAGATTCTCGAACTTCTTCAAAAAGGCGAAGTATACAATCTAGGTCCGAATGGTGAAGACATCTACGTTGTCCCTCCGAATACTATTACCAGTGGTAGTGGGGACTCAACGAAACAGTCAACTAGAGCACAACCTTCACGATCTGACCCACTTCCTCCTTTCACTCCGCCGATCGAACCTTTGCCACAGAAACCCAAAACTTCCAGATTCAAACTCGCAAAAACTCAAAGTGATCGTCTGCCCAGTCCAAGTACGTCTGTGGATTTGTCGGGTTCCAGTACTCCTGTATCGAACGCTCGTCGGTCCTCTCCAAAGTTGGCTATGGAATCATCCGTAGTCGAACGTGCTGTTCCTCAACTTAGTACTTCGAAACGATCTGAATCTCCGAGCGCTGATTATACGAATGTTCCCAAACCTCCGATATTCAATTCCATGGTCATTGAATCACCTTCTTTTCCTCGCAGTGCAGAATCTCAAAGGAGACCAGAGCGACCACCAACGATAATGTCTTCGCATGTCGTAGAATCGTCCTCACGGCGAAATGACAATCCAACGATGGATGAAGTTCCAAAGCGAGTTTCGCGATTCAGGGCAGAGAGAATGTAGTTCATTTAGGTAGGTTGCCAATGCCCTTTCGTGCTCACATTGGATACTCTTCCCCAATCTGGACAAATGTGTGGAAGAGGGTGGCTGATACCTTCTATGAACACGCACCACTGGAAATCAAACACACAAGCCTATCGGCGTTCTTGCGTGAAATATCACTCGCCAGGTGTTTCGGAAATCATCCTTTTGATTCTTGACAGCGTTGGAAATTGTAATGTGGTATCCCCCAGTGCTTTTGATGTATCTCTGTAGCCAACATGTCTATGTACTTGCTAAATACCAACATATCCACGTACGCTTTCCTCATTTATATTCTCCCGTATCTCATGAAAACCACATCTTTGTTCCACCAACTGTCTCATAATCTAATTCACTCCCGATAACATCACCCCACTCCTCCAACACACTTTTCATCATGTCCGTTTTCTCTTTGATCGCCTGTCCCGCGTTCGAGCCTAGGGGCAAATATCTGGGGAACTTTCTCCCTTTAGCCTTCCCTTCTCCTCTTACTACATCGACAACTAGTTCAATAGCCTTGACGGGATCCCCGGGTTGATTCCCGTGCAGGCTTCCTGCACCAGCGAGAGCCTTCTCACGCAAGATATCGTACTCGGGGATAAGCTTGTCGTTGTGGTACGGGTAGGTTAGCATGTTTTCAGTTCGGAAACTGGAGGGTTGGACGATGAGCACACGAATGGAGAAAAAAGCCAGCTCAGTTGCAAGAGTCTCCGCATACGCTATCGATGGAGTAAACATGTGAAATTATGTTAGTGGAGATGGAATGTTATATGACTCTAGCAAAACTTTACCAGTGAAAGCTGCTTTTGAAGATGCATAAGGTCCTTCGTGAGTGTGTAAGCCTTGAAATTCCGCAGCAAACGGCTACGAACTCACCAGTTGCCTAAATGCAAAGCAAAATCCAATAGCATCGACTAGTTCAGAGGAGGAAGATTCAATTTACTCACTGGCAGTTCAGGTCTCCAACTACTCCTGCTTCCGAGTACTACAATGGTGCCCGACTTTCTGGCACGCATAGACGGAAGTACAGCGTTCGTGACGTCGACGTGCCCGAACATGTTGATCTGGAACTGGCGGGCAAATAATCGGGCGCTGAAGAAGCAAAACAGGGTCAATGTTCATTACATATGCATTGAAGCAGAGACACGTACTCCGCTTCCTCGATGAGGCTCTTCATCCCGACCCCCCCATTGTTAACCAAAACATCGATCCGGCCCCAGGTATTCAGCGCTTCTTTAACGACGCCTTCAAGCTTCGCTGTGGTCCATTCTAGATCTAATTCAAGAATCTTGAGATTATTGGCATCAAGGCCTTGCTCAGAGACTTCTGTCGCCAGATTCTCGATAGTGGACAGGTTCCGGGCAGTAGCAATTATTTTGTCTCCCCTGCGAAGGATGGCGGGTACGAAGCGCCGTCCGAACCCGGTCGAGCATCCTAACGAAAGCTGGAGGAAGTACGTACGTCGTAGGAAAACGAGCTCACCCGTTATCATCCACACTAACTGCTGAGGAGAATCTTCACTCATTTGTTTCGGCTATTGAGGCGAGAGTGTACGTTCCGAAAAACTTGGTAGAGGGGACAATACTCGGCCTTATATGTGCCCTAACTTTTATCAGGTGCTACTGGGAGAAGGCTTCCGTGATAGATACCAATATCATTCAGACAACTGAATCGTTGATGGAAGATGCAAGACTTTTGATTCGAGATCTGTCATCCTCAGCTAACCACAGACACCGGAGGTGAAATTATTCAGTATGACTGGTAATAGATAGTGATCATTGCAGCTAAAATACGACGTTGCACGGAATTGATGGCATAGGAAGTTACAGTAACCTGGTGAAAAAACTTGGTCCTGTCTGTTTCATGAAAAAAAGTGAGTATATAGTAAGCAAAGAAGCACCCACGTGTTCGTGTCCGTCCGGCAGAGCTCCTCCTCAACTGGCCGTATATGCGTTCGTGAATGACAACGCCGTTGCGCTTCGCTTGAACATGGAATCCTATGACGACGGCATAGGTGCCAAAGCTCGCAAGAGTGAGTGTTTCATCGCTCGGCTACTTACTATCAATGCCGTTTCCTCATATTCTTCTAGGAATGAGATTAGACTTAGCTGCAACGAAACGCTTCCTTACACATGCTGGCGCCCTTCCAAAGTCCACTCTGGCCGATGAATTTCTCAATGATAACTTGCATAATACTTCCTCAAACTTAACTCCTAAAAAGGCAATTCTAGACAAGACCATACAGTGAGCGTCTTTTCTTCCAGTGCAAGTTAGATTCTGATCCCTTGACCTGAACAGGCTCATGCAAGAAATATATCGGGCCTACCTTGAACTCAAACAAATTCATAGGGCTTTAGCCCGCTGTGAACCCGGAGAATTACATGACACACTAACCTCGCTCGACGTGGTAGTAAGCGGTAGTTCAGAGAGTCAAACAGATCATACAGCTTTTGCAGGCAGCGCAGAGTCAAATGCACTCTGTGTTGAGCCCATCATACATATTGAACGCTCCGAAGAGCTTCGAGCCCAAGCTCGAGACAAGAATTTGTCTTTGAGTAAGCTTACCGAACAATTAGCTTCGATTGATCTCTGTCCTCGGTCTCTCAAGGTTCCTTCGAGTTGTTCTTCCCTTCCTCCCCAACTTCCACCTCTTCCTCTATTCCTGATGCCTCCAGACCTAACGACGTTCAAGGTTGACCCACTAATCATCAGAGTGAATGAGTTGAAGCATTGGTTAAAGGCGTTCAAAGAGTCATCGACATTCACATCAACTTCGAACAGTGATAGACCTGGAGCTGTAGCACCGCTCACGGTAGATTCTGCCTTTCTCTCTGCTACTGGACTTGCTCCTAGTTCCGGGACATTCCAATCTTCTTTATCATTAGGGCACAACTATGGTTACTCCACTCCACCTGCACAAACCGCCATAGCAGAATCTCACTACGGCCTTGTGTCCTTCGAAGATACAACCCAAAACAGATTTCCAGATTCACGAATTTGGACAACCCATGTCGCAGACAGTACGGAGGATGATAAATATAAGGTCGAAGCCATGTATGTCCAACTCAAAAGCATAGAAAACCGTATGAAAATCATCTCACTTAAACAAAACATGCTCGAGGTAAACTACATTCAGCGTGACTTAGAGCACCTTTAATCTAATTCACGACAGAACTTGTCAACCATAATTGCTGCACCTGTCGTAACCCCATTGGCTGCTCAATCTTCTCAGGCAAATCCTTTCGTCCTGACTCGGGATGCATTGGTGCGCGTTTTCAAGTCCGTATGTCCACATATGTATGACTCAACGTTGTTACGAACTTCTCGACAGGAGCTCGTCAGGCGCTTGAACGTAGAAATTAGTCGAAGTTTTACAGGAGTTCAAAATCAGGAGTCCGAAACAAAAGAGGAGTCCGACAACTCTCATTCAAGGACTTTTGACTATGAAATCAAGAAAATGCTAATCGAATCCTTGGTCAAAAACAAGTTGCACAGACTCTCCACCTTCAGGAGGCTCAAGAGCCGGGAGCAGGAATTTTATTAGTGTTTGAATTCAGAAAAGATTGCGCTCAAAACAGATAAGAAAATAGGTCAGGATCTTTGATTGGGAGTCATGAGAAGGTGCGGAAGATGCGAACGGAAAAGAAGGTCTATGTATTTGAAGTCATGTTTTATCGTTGTGTTCCCATGCGGCTTGCGCCACAGAAATTTTTGCATTGCAGAAACAGCGGAAGCCACGGAGGGAGGTCATTCGTTAGAAATGTTCTATTGCACCCATTTACAAGTCACAAGTCGTTTGTTGCTTTTTTCTATCAAACCTTGTTCAAGGATTTCGTATACTGTGTGATTAGTATGATCATGAGTGTAATGTCAAAGGCTTTATCTTCAAGCAATTTGTGTCCTCCCATCGACATTTTTTGCCCATTATGTTAATCCTTTTGACTAGCCTTATGGTTTGCGCCTACTTTGGAGCACTAGCCTTCTACAGACTTTTATTTCATCCGCTTCGTGAGTACCCTGGGCCATCGCTAGCAGCGCTCTCTGGTTGGTACGAGGCGTATTATAACATTATCAAAGGGGGAGAATTTATCGGTGAAATTGAAAGGCTTCATGTACTATATGGTGAGTCGCTTCAGCTCCCAGATCCACTGGACGACGTTGAAGATCGATGGTTTTGGACAATCTAGGTCCTGTAGTCCGAGTTGGTCCTAATACAGTTAGTTCAAGCTTACTTATAAGGATGCTAATCCCTCCATGCCTTACTCTCGCTGCCATCCGCAGCTCCACTTCTCATATAGTCAAGCCTACCATGACATATACACCCATGGTACCACATTGGTCAAAGAACCCGAATTCTATGCCGGTATTGTTGCTCATTGCCCCCAAGCCTCTTTCGGCTTCTGTGACCCACAAGAGGCAAGGAGCAGAAGAAACTTATTGCTACCATTATTCTCGCGCCGAGCAGTAGTTGCTCTGGAATATACAATTCAGAGAAAGGTGTCTTCCGATATAAATAGCTTATGATTAATGTTGAACTCGCGTCTAGATTGACCTGCTATTGGACACGTTAAAAGAGAATTACAACTCCCCGACCTCGACTGTGTCGATGGCCATCGCATACCGCGCACTTACTCTTGACATAATCACCTCCTACTGTTTCGCTGAATCAGCCAACACCCTCAGTGATCCAAAGTTCCGCCATCCCTTGCTCCTCGGAATACAAGGAACTCTGAAAACTATCACTTTCCAAAGGCACTTTCCTTTCCTCACTTCCTTTGCCAATAATGCGCCGCCGAAGCTCATTCTCTGGTTCATGCCCGCGTTCAAACCATTCGTGGATCTAAAAGTACGTTACGAAGGACAAGTGGACAAATTGATAGATGATCCCAGTGCTTTGCTCGCTGTTGAGCATGAGACAGTTTACCATCATCTTTTGGAACCGAAGGATAAACAGCAGCGACCATCGAGAACATCGCTTGTCCATGAAGCATTCACCCTCGTTGGCGCAGGAAGTGATACCGTCGGAAATGCTTGCACCATCGGGACATTCTACGCTCTGAAGTATCCGTCAATCCGGCAGAAGTTGATGGATGAGCTCTTTGAAATATGGCCCAATGCAGATAGGGCAATAAGTTACGTTACGCTTGAGAATTTGCCATATTTGGTGTGTGATACTCAGCTTTGACCCGTCCATCATTCAAATACTTTTCGTACACAGACGGCGTTCATCAAAGAAACCCTTCGGTTTTCACTCGGGGTGGTTCACCCCCTCCCTCGGGTCGTAGGTTCTGCCACCCCAGAGATAGGTGGCCTAAGACTTCCTCCGGGAGTAAGAGCGGTTCCTCCTTAAAATTCACTTTCGCTGACGGAATCCTTCATCTCGAGCAGACCATCGTGGAAATGAGTCATCTGCTCTTGCACATGAATCCCGAAGCCTTTCCCGATCCCCGCACATTTAATCCCGATAGGTGGCTACTAGAGGCAAGTACCAACAAGATGGGCCTAGATTTCGCTCCGTTCAGTAAAGGTCCTCGTATTTGGTATGACAGAACGCTTCCTATTGACGACGAATGCTGAATTATACATATATACTAATAGTTTAGGAATGAAGTACGTACCAGCGATCCCCCGATATCCTCGCTTTTCCCACTCTGATAATGATTCGTTTTCTCTCAGTTTGGCGTGGTGTGAACTGTATCTGATTTTCGGGAACATTTTTCGGAAGCTTGACCTTTCACTCCTTGTCACGGAGGACACGTACGTTGCGCGTCTGTGTTACATCGCTATCTGATCTGTGCACTGATCACTTTGTTAATCATCTTGCTGTAGAATTGAGGACTTCGGGAAAGATCATTACGACTATTTTATTCCACATTGGAAAAAGGAATATCGCGTTTTTGTGCACAAAATGCATGATTCATAGAAAGGCTCCAGGTTATCGATCAAATATGCAAACCAACTTTCTTTGTTTCTACAAAATAATATACATGCATTAGCGATTACAAAAGTAGGAAGGTGCAAACCCTTGGTGATTAACCGATGTTCATACTTTCCCCTATCTGGGACGTATCAGCTTGTCCACTTCCCGGTCGTATCGAGAAAATGACTATGAGTCCGTGCCGGGCTTCAGCAGCGATTTTGCTACCGTAAGTAGAGACAGTCAAAAAAAATCACAATCGCGAGAACAGATGAAAAGCCAAGCCTATCTTAAACACTCTTTGCGAGCTCGTTCTCCTTCTTTTCCTCTTTTGATGATTCCTTTTGATGTAAGAATTTCCAATGAGCGAGTACACCAAGAAGCAATCAGTAATGATTGGAGACGATGACGTCTTTCGAGTCCTTTGCGGACACTGGGGGATGCTTTGGTTCCAGCCACAGATGATTGAACTTTGTATAATTCCTGGTTCAGATCAACTGAGATACGGCATAAACTCAGTTCTGTTGGAAGATCAGAACTAGTCATAGTCGATGCCAGATGTGTTCTGGAATTCCGGAAGCCAATGGGCTCTGACTGAGAGTGTTAACCCAGTATGAGTTCCAAGGCAAGTCCAGTAACTGCGTCTCGAGACTTGATTTCAATCAATTGCACTTCTAGTGGATAGTATTGATTTGCGTGTATACCAAAACCTTCGATCTGGCTTAAAGGGATGGATTGGTATTCGGATGAAGCCACGTTTTCAGGAGTGTAGTCCTCTAAGTACATGCGAAAGGCGCCAATGTCGACTTTGCCTGCGGTCATGGTGCGATTTGGATCAACCTACAGACCTATTTATGTGGAAAGCCTGGGGAATAAGGAGACGAGACGTACGACCACAGCAACAAACGGATCTGTATGCTTCTGATCGTTCAACCGAGTGCTGACGTCTATACCAGATAGCCAACGGCCATTGCCAGGGTGAGAATGATACCAGTCAACTAGATCCTCCGGTCTTCCAGCCTGTAAACGAATGTTGAATCAGGATCGATGGAGATAACGAGGTGAACCACGCACACTTTGGCTACATTGATGATATGCCACCATATACTCTGTTGTCTCTGCACCGGCATTTACACGCGTCTCCGTTCCCCGAACAGGTAGCGCGAAGGAGTCTAGAATGACCAGCGACGTTCCAACGACCTTTCCTTGTAACATGCCCCATGATTTCGTATGGAACACCTGAACGGTGCATAACCTATACCATAATCAATTGAAATGGTTAGCTACTCAGTTTTTTTGAGATGACGGAGCTGCATCTACCGACCATCTTTATTAGAGCGACAGCTGATATTTTGCATGAGCTAAAATAATGAGGGCTGTAAACGCTCATCAGATATCCAGCCCCGAAGTTGTGATCTTGACTCTGAGTCTTTGCTCCATAGTGACTTCATCTTTTTGTCAGCCTCCGGGTCCAATTTATCTTGATGCTGAATGTCTTCAACGCGGGAGCGCCCATGGTAGAAATCAGGCATCGATTGCCCAAATAAAAACGTGACCAGTCTCTCATACTTACGGATCCTAAGGTTTCCTATTCTCAAGCGCTTTTAACCCTTCTCAACCTGTTCTTGTCAATCGGACAGTCGCAAAATGTTCGCGGCTATCCCGGGGTCAAGATTATCCAGATAGATAGATAGATAGATAGAGCATTCTCAACACCATTGTTGAGTGCGTGAGTGTACTATCCTTTATTATCCTGTGTTATCTTCTTAGGCAGTTGCTCTTCCTGCTGCGCAGAATGCCCGAGGCCGATAATACGTGTGCTGTATCCTCGGTAAGCCGGTGCACTACGTTTAGTTTTTGGACCGTCTCGAGTTTCCTTAGGTTTCCCCCCAACGACTCAATATAATGATACGCATTCATATCTCCTTTGCTGAAAAAGTCAAAATCTTCCTGCTCTAATGCAGCACGGAGGTAATTAGTATTCGCGAAAACCAACGACGGGATCCGATCGAGGACTCTGGAGAAAATGACTCGGATTGGGATGAGTACCTCAAGAATGACATGCACGTCATTCAACAGTTTCATGAATGCGATGTATTAGCTTAGATCAGCCAAAGAGATATGGATGCTGATAGCTGTTGATACAGGCCAGATTTTGGATGATGCATGTTCAGCACAAATCGAATGTTCCGACGCATCTCGTATCGACATCGCCATCAATTATGAGCGAGAAACATTTAAAAGATACACTAACATGGATATGATTTAGGTTATTTCCACCCCCCACGCGCAGGTCGCTGTTGTATTTTTGCTGAACCATTTACTGTGAGTGAACCGCCCCCCTTTAATTATCCTACTTCAGTCCATCGTCAAAATTTAGAGTTGGTCCGTCATTTCGATCCCGCTTCCAACTTGAAGATGTTGTTCCAAAACTTCCTTCATTCCTTCATGAGGGTATTCCTGTGCTTGTGCTTGCCTTTGGCTACCTCCACTGTCAAGGCGATACCAACTGGTTCTCTGTTGAAAAACCAAAAGGAATTGGTAAGATATCAGTGCAGTCATTGTGTCAGTAATTATATTCAATGTCTACTTGATGGTCTTCCGTTACTAGAGCTCTCGTGCCCATAGTGTTCATGACGAAGCCAAAAGACCAAGTTCTTTCAAGTCATCCTCCCAGCCAATCACTTTGTACTTGCCTACAACTGCGCCCAATGCCGAAAACCTCGTGAATAAGGGAGGAAATTTGAAAGAAGTATATCAAGAACCCTTTGGTAAGCGCATCTGTACTACTATCAGGTCTATCGTCACGGTGTCGAACGTGGGTGACACTGGGTGTGAATGTAAAATAGGAAACTACAGGCGTCTCTTCACGACACTCCCTGAACTGGATGAAAAGTCTGGAGACTATGCTGTAGTTGGTAAGCAATTTTTTAAGCCTTCTGCCAGTGGTCAGACAAGTCGTTGAATGACCCACTGATACTTTTCTTCGACTACAGAGTTTTTACTTTCACCGGCAAAAGGTATACGGTAGGTCCGGCATCAAGAAAATTACACAAGATTTGCAAACATACGTCATTCAGTATAGTAGATGCCAGAAAAAAGAGCTTTTTGAACGCATTTGGCTGGCCCAAGGTGAGTTGTGGTCATGAATCCGCATACAGCTATCAATTTGAGTAAATGGAACTTTCGACATGCAGTTCTTGCAGGATGTGACAAAGGGCCGGCTTCCAGGTGTAATTCCTGGTTCGAAGGTCGGCAATCGCCGTGGTCGTTCAGCAATACACTGGTGCTAACTGTCTTGTTGTGTGTATCTAGCCTGATGTCTATTTTGCGTATGTTTACCACACTGTCTGTGACCTCCTTCTTATCCTCACACCACTTGGAACACAGGGGTTCAGTCGCTTTACTGTACGGTGATAAAGGTGAGTAAATGATAAACTAAAATGTACTACTTATTTCTATCGTTCACAGTTGCTGAGCCACCTGTATTGACTTATGTCACTCACGAAACGGGAAAAACATTCAAAGAGGCATGGGTGAAACTACAAAACGGGAAACAGAAAAGGAAGAAGACAAAAGAATAGTTCATCTCTACAATTTGCGTTCTCCTTCTTCCGAGGACCCTGGGATGCATTTGCCCAAGTTTTCTTCCATCTGTTGAGTCATTACCATTCGCTTTTCCTTCCCTGCCAGTGCTTAATTCAAGTGATGCTCCTTTCAGGCCCTGAGCCTTAGAGTTATGGGCATCATCCTTTCTGGATCGGGCTCTGTATTTTGCTATCGTAGGTCAAACATTATGATTCAGTCAATATCTGCGAATGCACATAATTCAATATATTGTTCTCGATACTACCGTTGAGCTTGCACTATTCTCGCACAAGGATTCATGGGACATGAATACAGTGACTCAACCCTGTACAATGGTAACGTCGCCTTCTGGTTGAAGTCTAATCCAAGGACAGATAACTTCGCCAGACGGAGCCCAATTCGTTGCATCTTCGATTGCTTCCAAGACTCCATCCAAGGTATCGTCGTCAATTGGCGTCTCAGACGGCTTCCAACCTTCCTCCAAAGGAAGGCGTTCCTCCCGGAATAATATTTGCACGAAGCTGAACATGATTAGTACATAGGTCGTAAATGGAGAATTAAATTCTTGTGCTTACTTCTTCGGTGCAACCCCGGTAGTCACGTTGCCCATAACGCTGAGGTAGAAGGCGGATTCAATGGCTCGCACGGAGAAATCCTTTAACGTATTGATGAGATCTGGGTTAACAATCTTGTCTTCAGCCAAGCGCTGTTCCAAAACCTGTGCGGCCGAAGTAGTATTGTAATAATCCACGCCCGGGTTGGAGTTTGCAAGGGTAGTGAAGACTGTCTCGTTGAAGTGAATGTTGTCACCAAGAGCATAGTCATTTCTGGACAAAGAGGCGTCGTGCTCGAGAGTGCCATGGCTATTCTGAGTTAAGAGATGTCAACGAATGACCAATACATCTACTCACAGTGCAAGGTCGCTCAAACTGAAACTATCTTCCGCATCAGTAGTCAAAAGACCAAGCTTTGCGGCAGTACGCAATATGTTGATAGGCCGGAAGTTGAATCCATCTACGATAGTTCAAACACAGTGTCAGCAGCATCGTGAATTTAGGTAGGTACCATTGATTGCATTGAGAACCACAGGAGTGGTGATATTGCTTCCATTCCTAGGTAGAAACCCATGGTTGGCCAGGCTGTCAAGGGGAGGTCAGCCAAGGACAAGGAAAAAAAATCTCGAGATATACGTGTTCAATCCGGGACATGGCCCTCTGGAGTCGGTTGCCGTTGGGGCTTGCCATTGATGAGCACTCCAATCGATGCTATCATCACAATTGACTCCGATAGAGACCGCAAGAGTAATAAAAAAGGCGACAGTGATCTTCATGATTGAGAGCTTGGGTGGTAGAAGACTGGTTACTTGAGATTCACTGGCCTCATGCTAATGTTTTTATACTCTATCAATGAAGATTCGAGAATCCAGTGAGTAATCGGCCCCTTCGCTGCGCAGTGCGGGGGCAGCTGCCCGCTAAAGGAAAGAGAAGATGTAATGTGTTGGGTCCTGGGGAGAATGAAACACTTGCACGGCAGTGAACTTTGCTGCGCTGATACAACACCTTGTAAGTCCAGGAGTTCACTGGCCTGTCATTCGTCCCGATATGAACGTTCCTCAGTAAGCCGGCCGGAGACCATTGGGTGTATGCTACCAGTGATTGCTGTCAATGTTGATTCTATGACAGTACCAATGCTAAAATCCAATATTATCATTCGCATCTTTACCCAAGAAAGACAGCCGTAAAGCTCCGAATACTTTTCCTTTTGTTGAAGATTCGAAGCGATTTGAAGACGGACGGGGACCTTGTGGAATCTATTTCTTTACACAGTTCAACGTTCACCTGTATCCTGTATCAAAGACCGAGGAAAACAAGATGTGTAACAGAATCCATACTATTTTGAGTAAATAATTGATGTCAGCGTTGTTCTCGGCAGTCGCTCAAGACATGGGTTTTGTTGGGTTGCGCTTACAGTCTGATTCATCAGGGTTACTCCAAGCTACGCAGGACATAGATGAATATCATCTTGTAAATTCGCAAATAACTGATCGGGTTGGGGCACCGGAAGGCATAAAACTGAAATTGCTGGGCTCCCTGCCATTAGTAAGTAGCTGTTGAGGGCTGTGAAAGCAGCGACCATTAACGGGTGAGCCTACCGCGATGGCATGATTCCATCTACTTATTATGAAAACGCTGCGCGCATAGAAACACTGACATGTGTTCGAGAAGACATAATGCACATGCTCTCGTTTCTTTTTTTTCCGATGAAAAGTCGTTTCGAGTTCGTAAGTAACCATCAAGCCCTGAACAAAGTGTACGTACGTACAGGTAAAATTTCAACCTCCTTGACCTTGAGAGGAACGGGCAAGGAAGAGCAGCAAGAGAGATATCCTGCGGTCATATCCGAGTCTACGATGGCTTAACAGCTTTGGCTTGCATTTTCTTTTCCAAGTTCAAACGGTTACAGTAGCAAGACCACCTGAGATTTCAATTATTACATAGCTTTTATATATCCAAGGTAGGTATGAGGGCAGCTGACGTGGTAGTAGGTGGTATGAAGTCTGTATAACATGGCCTATAAAGCGGTCTACCGGCCGGCAAACACTAATGGAGTCTGACCTAGAGAAGATGTATCTAAGCCTGAGTGGTGGACAGTAAACCGAAAACCGTCCCTCTATGAGGGCGAACCTTTAGTGAGGTTTCTTCTTCCAGTGGGCTTGGTCTCCAAGCTAGGTGGACAGGAGTTTGAACCCACCATTTCACCGTGATACTCTTTCCCTGTATTCCCACCACACTTCACCGATCATCAACTTCTTCCTGTCGACATCTAGGACGTTTCCGCTACCGGCGCGCCCACCTGGGCAGTAGGCAGCTGCAGGGAAGGAATGTTTTTTACTATGCACCCAAGTTGGCCTCTGATTCCCTCAATCACTGACACGCAGCATGGCTTGCTATCATATTGCAACACTAAAGATTTCCAATAATTGTCTGTGTTATGGAGAAAAGGAGACGAAAGGAGCGACTGGTGAAGCGTCAGTGGCACCAATGTAGCGCCCCAACGCACTTTGTCGGTCCTCTCGTAGCAATTGTGAGGATGAGAATTGGCAATTGTCAATATAGCTTCTTTCATCCAATGTGCTCGATAGAGACTCTAGAATCGGACGGCTTAGTAGACGATTGATTACGCTTTAAGCAGCTTCTTACCCAAGGTTTATACAGGTGTGCAGGCAACAAATCTGCAAGTTCAGAAAGAGGCAGATAGGGAACAAGGATCGGGGCGAGCTCTTTTACGAGTTCACGGTGGTCATATTTTGCGGCAAATCTGAGAATTTCTCTGGGATGTTGTCGCATGAAACTCCTATTAATTTGTTACTACATGGAACAACCGCAAGACTTCAATAAACACACCTCAAGTGGAGTTCGCATATATGGATCAGGGCAAAGATTTCGTACTTCTCTGCCGTTTCCGCGAGCTCAATCAATGGGTCAATTTTCATATTATCCAGAGATGGAAATCGTTGGGGGTACATAAACTGAAATAGAACTTCGAGAGTTTCGCCTGACTCTGAAAGTCGAACGATTTCATTTGGGTTTGTTTCAGTATCTGCTGGAGGAAAACCTCCTGAGAGAAATTCAAGATTCTTCTTGTGAAGGCGAAATTCAACATTATCGCAGGATCGAATGACAACATCGGCATCAGCTGCATTAACTGTTCATGAGATACACCGAGGTTAGAGTTGAACGAGCACGAAAGGTCTGACACTCACAAATTTCACTTTGTCGAATGGGTTGCACGTCTTTTGCGCCGGTAGAGTTTTCTGCCGCATCCGCCATGATAGCCAACTATCGGAATGGTCGGACTAGTACGTTTGGGAAGAGAGGAAAGATAGAGGGGTTTGTAACCGATTCATTGATACCCAAGTTGCTTCGTGATTGCCTCGTGGAGAGCATCTCTTGCATCAGCGTTCAAACTACTCTAGCTGTAATTTGGAGCTTGACCGCTAATTTCGATTATAGCACGGTCCGCAGCTGACAATTCTTTGCGTAGTTTGTATGCCTGCCTTCACTGAATCAAGGGTGATTTACGCCTAAATCAACCCCTTGAAGGTGTTATCGCGGGAAACTGACAAAACCTAAATTATTCTATCGGGCGCTTATTTCGTGTAGCGGTACGGACCGTTGCGACGTCGAACATCTATCTCTTCATTTCAAGTCCATCATGGACGCTGAAAGTCGATTTCGAAACCCTTCTACCCTTTTTTCCCAATCTGACCCTATCAGGCGATACATTATAGCTTCGTACTGGGTCCTTGTTGCTCTGGCACTACCCTTATGGTGGACAACAACTAGTATCGAACGACTTCCTCTGCCAACGTCCGAAGTTCTTGCGCAAGCCCAGAAGAAACTGGAAATTCCACTGGAAATATGCCTAGATTCTGCTTTCTCGAACCAAGTCTCCTCTATACAAGACTCATTGCACCACGCATCACCATATCTTGACGTTCAGATGAACAATGGTCAAGACTGCAGTATGTGCTTTTTGTGTATACCTATACTCGTTGAGGTGAACTGATGTTCGGACTCGAGGTCAGTTCTGTGGTTACGCTATTCTTCCCGGAGAGCGACCATCTGTTGAGGATCGAAGATTGTATTATCCACCTCACGCTGAAAACCTGGCTGCTACCCTTACTTCGCTATTTGCTCCCAAAATTGACCATCGTGCGGCTCAATATTCACCTCGGTATCGTCTATCTTTCACGCTTTTGAATGAAGATGGCTCTGCAGGTCAAGTGATCACGAGCTGGGATATCCAACAGGCTTTTGCTCGTGAGTCAAAGAAATGAAATTGCGACAACTGCTGCTGATGAGTTCTACAGAACACATTTACCCAATTACATCTGCTCTAGGCATTCTGCACAATTTCACTGTCGAGTCTCAAGTTCAATTTCATGCCCCCCTCGCTTTTGAGCCCCGGTCCATTTCTAATGGGACTGCTTTTGTACTTACCCCCGAAGATCTAACGGTTTTCATAAATTCTGCTGAATGGACGCTATGTGTGTAATCTAATTGTTCAAAGATGTCAGCTAACATTCCATCCTTAGCATCTAGTTCATCTAATGATCCGGTCCTTCACTTCGTGCTTTTCGTGCCATCTCCCGCGCGTCGACCTCTCATAATACTAAATCCAGATGGAACCCCATCTAGTTCTAGTGCATTCCTCATCCCTCAATGGGGTGGCATCGTCATTCTCAACCTTCCTACGCCACCACCCACCACACTAGAGCTCACCTTTCGGGACCTACGAACTCCGTTCTCGTCATTCTCCCGCCAATTACTAACTCTCCTTGGGTTCCCGCGTTTACCTTCATCCCTATCGTCTTCCCTATCTTCCTCGAAAACTGTGTCCTCGTGGCAAATTGACACTCTTCTCCGCCAGCGCACGCACGAGAACGTCATGCGGAGCCACGACACTCTCCGTAGCACCGTCACTCTCGTATCTCAAATCGATGGTATGCCCGTCGACGAACAAGTCCAATCTCAAGTTCAAGGTTCTCTTAAAGCACTCCACGAGCTTTTCGCTCATGCACAAAACAACCTTACCCTTAATGAAATGTTGGTACACTCGGCTCGCGCGTTGACACTTTCGAGCAAGGCGTTCTTCCACCCCGGGATGCTGGCAATGTTGTATTTCCCAGCGGAACACAAGTATGCGGTGTATACACCGTTGTTTGCTAGTGCTATGATTCCGTTGTTGGCTGCGGGGCTGAGAGAGATTGCAGCGTGGAGGAAGGAAAGGAGGGAAGCTGCTCGTGCGGCTAAGAAAGACAATGTCGCTGATGCAAACTCGAATGCCGCGGGTACGACCGCCTCTGCTATTGTCGTACATTGATTGGGGCAGCGACGAACGACCTATCAGTATGAAATCGTTGGGAATGACAACACTCTTCAAATTGCAGAGATCATCTCGAGATTTACTTCCACCATCATAATGAGGCGACAAATTTAGGTGTCGAAAGTATCCACGGTCGCGACCTGAAGGAGTTTGAGTTCAATTAAGTATTTACAGTGCTGTACCTTATAGCCTATTACTATGCGTATAAATAAAGGCATGAACAGCAAAGATCATATCAATATTAGTCTGCAAGATATCTGAACCCATAGATATCAATAATCATGGCCAAGAATCATAGCGTATACCGGAAGTCGCGATTTTGCATATCAGTCAAGTCAAGGAAAACCTAACAACACCAATTGTCAAGACTGAGCTGCAGAAAATTTTCTCCTTCGCACCTTGTCAATCTTCCTCTTAGACTGAGCAGTGCCAAGTTCTGATTCCTTTGATGGCAGGTAAACATCGTCGTAATCATCCTGGCAGGTCTCCCTGTCCCGACGAGCATTCTCCCTGGCAAGCATGGTGCGAAGAGTAAGGAGGATGAGGATAGATGCACCCATGCTGGTAGCTAAAAAATCCCAGGGGACGTGATTGCTGAGAAAATTCAAATATCCGTCGACGCTTTGGAAGAAGACTAAACTACTCACTGAGGTTGGTATTTCGATTTCCAGATGAACGGCGAGGCAAAATTACCTATCGCGTATCCGATAAGAACCAAAGCATTCGTGGTGGTTCCTACATAAAAGATGAGCGATTATGCTTGGTGTGTCATACTATAAGGACGTTTCACTTACGCTTCGTATGACCGGCTACCAGTCCAGATACCCAACCAAGGAAAATGGCAAACGGTGCGATGGAAAAAACTACGGATGGCTTTCAATCAGTCCGAGTACAAAACACTGAAGAGCGAACCTCCAAGGGCTATTGGTCACTTACTCGAAAGCCAGTACCCAAAAAGCAACCCTACCTTTAAATGAGATGGCAACAAATTAACCAACAGCGCTCCTAGAAGACCGGGGATATATATGATTACTCCGGCGTACGCTCGTCCAATGCCTTTCATTCCAGCGAGCGAAATTCCAAGCCAGATAGAGAGAATCTCCATGACTCCGTCGACGCATCCCAGGAGAGTAGTCTCTATGGGGGTGAATCCGAATTGAGCGATTATGAGCTGCCTTTGGTTTGTTAACTAGGGGCAGAAATCATTTCTGTGAGTCGTTCTAAGGATGATGAGAAGACCTACGGAATTTGGGATATTCCTGGCAGAGAGAAGAATAATCAAGGCTTAGCTGCAGAGCTATTAGACGGCCTATAATAGAGACGTACGCGATCGCAGCGAAGAGAACCATAGCCCATATTTTGGAATCCTGAAGCGTCTCAATGAACCTAAATATTGCATCGAAATCTCACTCGAAAGGTGACAGGACATCGCGCTTACTGTTCCCTCTTCCAGTGTTTGTTCTCGACGCCTTGATGGAATTCTCAGCAGTTCTTCGGATGAGCAGGACTCGATGGATATACTCACCTGTTTGATTTACTCTAATGCGCCGCACAGCAAGAGCACGCTCCTCGACCGTCAAGAACCATGCAGTCGTCGGGGAATCCGGGAACCAGAACCTGGATAAGCGGAAGTAGAAGGAAAAGATGAGAATAGAAGGAGATTAAGGGAGGCATACGGATCATATTATCCATGCTTATGCTCTTGCTGTTTCGAGACTTACCAGAAGCAAACTGAGGTCACAAGAGTTATAAGACCTGTTATAATCATCAACCTATTGAGAGTAGGACGTAGATAATGAGTATGGCCAGCTTCGACAGCGACTAGGAATGGGACATACCATTGCCAAGGTGCAAAATTATGTGTCTGAAAGGTGAGAGGTACGAAGAAAGAGGTTGATCAGTCTATTGCGTTCACATTCGGAACAGCGGTGCAAGAGCGACGATAAATACCTTGGTATGTAGAAGCCCAAAGGATACGAAGCCCAAGAAGATCACGGCGAAGCCATTCATCAAGACTAAGTATTGAAAAGGGTGAAAGAGTAAGAAACTGAAGCTTGAAAAATAAATCTTGGAATCTGACACCTACACCAATACCCGACGCGTTTGTTCTGCTCTTGACGCGTGTAAAACATAGACGTAACCTACATAAGAACGTCAAAATCGGTGTCAGCACTACCGACCGAGCTGCCAGTTTGGAGAATCCCAACGAGGAGATTCGGAAGGAGAGTACACGCACAATCATAAAACCAGGGGTAATTGCGCCTTCACAGATTCCGAGAATGAATCGCACAGCGAAGAGGCCGCCAAAGGAATGACACGCGGCGTGTGATCTGTTTTCAGAGCGAACAAGGAAATAGTGATGAGCTCCTATGGTGCGCGGGACCGAGAGGGAGATTATGCGTACAAGAGAACTACAGCCCATACAAAAATGTTGAGGCTTCAGGAGAATGAGCGGACAAACCGAAGTGCAAGATCCTGGCAAGACTCACCTCATCCATTTTCCAACAGGGAAACGCTGAAGCGCAAAATTTTGAGGATACTAGTATCAGAAATAAGATGATGGGGGATGCCTAATTCCGGAAAAAATTGCAGTGACGGACCTCAAAGGCCAAATATGTTAGGTAAAACACAGAGCTCAACCAATTGAACTGGTTCTGGTTGATGTGAGCGGTCGCTCTGTAGTAAATCCGGCGAGCGGTGAGCAGGATGACCCAAGGTAATAAAAGTGAAACACACTCGATTCCTAATACAGCTGACTGTCCCAACGTAGTTTTGTCTGCGAATGTCATCCTTTGGAACGAAAACAATACTTCAACAATCTGCAATCGGCCGTAGAGAGTATGTCGATCGCTCACAGGTACATCACTGTACAGATGAGTGGTTAACATATGCGTAGACAGTTCATGAGAAACATCTCATAAAACTCACAGCACATCAATGGCATAATGTGGAGGTCTATCTTGCGCCTGCGTCAAAAGTGTGTTAGACAAGGGGTGTCTTCTGTTGCTAGGTTTGGGGCAGATAATGGCTTACAGAAGCTTCTTCGCGACTTGCGGGTCTAACTCTCCTCCATCACCTTTACTGACCAGCTGAGCAGCAATATCAACGTCCGACTCGCTGACAACTTTAAGCGCGTGACCTTTCTTTTCGTTCGAATAGTAGCTCGTAGAGTCAGACATTATACAAAGCAACAAAGGAGAGAGGGGGGAATAAAGTTTGCCAGTGAGATTTTAGCTTGCAGAGCTTCAGCCTTGATATACTCTCTCGGATTACCGGCAGATCTTCTCTTCTAGATTCAATGTTCCCATTTAGCCCAAAAGAGAAAATCAACATCAGCTGAGTCCTACACCGCGGTGTGGAAGCAATAATAGAACCAGGCGATAGGGCCGTTCTAGTTTCGAAGTTCGACATTGATATGTTTTTTTTCGGATTCCGATGATGTCGAGATTCACATAAGAGCACGAATGTGCAGGGGAGCAAGAGGAGAACATGACAATGAAATAATAGGAATTATCATAAAACCCTATATCAAACCATAGCCAAGATCAATTGTAGCATAGCATGGAGCCTGGAAACCGACAGACTGTGTACGTTTTGCGGCGTACATGAGCTGTCGAGGGAGTTCCGTGTCACTTCCTATGCGATATTGTACGAGTCTAGCGGGATCCGAAAAGCCAATCAGTTCAAGCAAGCTGGAAGGGAAATGTGGTCCACGCTTTCATTCAGTTTCATACGCACCTATACGCACTCACTGAGTAAACTCTTCGGGTGGGGTCGTGTTATTTCAAAACATTTGGGGTGAAATTAGGTTAGTACAGTGCTTCCAAGCTTTCTAATGAGTAAACGCAAACATTACCGTTTATTCCGAAACGCGACTGGGCGAGGACGTCAATTGCAACTTGATTTTGATTTTATCATTTTGAACGTAGGTTAAGAGAATACCGTGCGAACTTTCACGTGGCACGATCTCCACCCCTGGATAGGACGATTGACTGTTTCGTCTTCGACGTCGAGCATAACAGCGAGCAACTGCCCCGACGAAGGAACTGAAACTGGGCTTTGTCGACTGATCATCTTAGCATTGATACTTTTCGCACATCACGTCTTGAGTTGCAACTCTGATCTTCGTCGATTGAGGTTTCGACAAACCTCAGTGTTACTTTCAGTGTCAATATTTCATTTTGAAGTTATCGTCCATCACATTTCCTTTCCCATTTCTTGTGACGGAAAGACAATGTTGGAAGAAAATGCGGCTAAAGAATGGGTGTTGGATGCAGAGACTGAATATCGATTTGAGCTAGATCTTGGTACTTCGATAGCTATCACAGTGAGTTTCAAGTGATCCTGCATGCATTTGACTGAAGACGAACTAGCTGATACGGGGACGAGCAGAAATCTTCGGTGCCGAGTTGGTCGAAGGAAAGCCATATTTGTTCGGCTCGGAGTGTAAAGCAGCGGTTTTCACTTGGGTTGGATGTACTATTGAGATGAGCTTTCATCTTCTTTTAAACTCTCCACACTTTGTGAACTAATTTTTCCCTCTGTTATCGGAAACACGTTACAGGTCAACCTCCCACAGAATACATCTCTGATGAAACTCCTATGTCTGCCTATGGTAACCTTCACATTGCTTTAGAGCAAATGCGCGTCAAAGCATTGGCGAACCTACACGGATCCCCTGTTCCCGAATCGGTTCACTTGGCACAATCGAAACCACAAGCCGAAATTTCCGCAGAGCCTCCTAGAGTCTTGATTCTAGGACCTGAAAATTCAGGAAAGACCAGTATATGCAAGATCCTGGTCAATTATGCCGTTCGTGCAGGTCAAGGGTGGGCGCCTATATTAGCTAATGTGGACCCAAACGAGGTAAAGGCTACATCGAGACACTATCGAGAATAGCTGACTTCATCTTGACTTCCTACAGGGTGGATGGGCGTGTCCAGGAGCTCTATCAGCAGCAGCAGTCCATGGATTTATCCCGACATGTTCTCCCGCAAATCCTCTTGGCTCCGCAGCGACTTCTGCGCCCACGACATTATCGTCCAACGCTATTCTTCCTTTAGTCTATTGGTACGGCCACGCTGAAACTAAACGGAATTTTCTATTAATGGACAGGCTTATCCGAAACCTCGGAGTCAACATCCAGGAGAAATCTGACCAGGATCCCGAAGGTATGGTGCGTTTCTCAATTATTTTCTCTTACTGTCTTACTAGGCGAAAATTTCCTAATGAACCTCACTTTTTCCTTCGGCCATCAGGTTCCGCAGCAGGCGTCATTGTTGACACTCCGTCTTCGTTTGGCTCGTCCTCGGGCACTGGAGTCAATGATCTCCGTCAAAAACTCATTCGAGCCTGTATCGACGCGTTCAAAAGTCAGTCTCGTCGTATATTCCTCTATTACTACACACAAACCGCCTTGGTGGTACTTATTGTTCTTACACATACAGTAAACATTATACTTGTTGTGGGACACGAGAAACTCAATGTCGAGATGCAGCGTGCGTATGGGTCGATGTTGACGGTTTTGAAAATACCTAAGTCTGGTGGTGTACGTGGATTCTTTTTCTCGTATTCTACGGTTCCTCATCTGTCTGTGGGTTTCATCTGATCTACAGGTAGTTGAACTCGATCATAACTATCGTGAGCGAGTACACAAGTACCAGATGCATGCCTACATGTACGGAGAGACAATGCCTTCTCCAATTGGGATCAGGGGTGGCACTCAAGGCGGAGAGACTTTAACGGATTTCACCCTTGCCCCATCTGCAAACGTCATTAGCTTTAGTGACTTGACGATTTATCGGATCGGTGCAGGTCAGTAAGACCCAATCGCCCCACACACTCTTACACTTAATTTCACAGAAACGATGGCTCCGTCTTCCGCGTTACCTGTTGGCGCCGCGCGCGTGGTTTCAGAGATACAGCCCGTGCTCGTGGACCCTCTTCAGCCAGGCTCAGGTCTCCTTAATGCCGTTCTTGCCGTTCTTGCTCCGTACCATCCAGACGAAAATGAGAGATACGACGAAGAGTTGTTGGATTTGACTGTCGTAGGGTTTATCGTGATGTAAGTTGCTTCTTCACCCCCGTATTTATAGGAATGGCTGACCTGAAATTGATGGCATGGTTAATCTTTAGAACGAAACTAGATATCCCTCACAAGAAAATGACTGTTCTTTCGCCGACTCAAGGATCTCTTGTAGGGAAGACCGCGATTGTTGGCTCGTATGAATGGCAAGATTAGTCGTCTTGCTACGTATTGTAATACTTGCGTATAAAACGTTAAACTCTCGCGGCGCGCGTATCCAGTCGCAACGGCCTAGTATTGGCCTTACATAAGAAATCCAAGGGAAAAAAATTACAATTCAAATTGATTTTTCTCATTACTCGACGGTCCCCTCTGGTGAACTCCGCTTCGATTTTTTTTTTTTGAATGACTATAATCCGCAAGTAGGGCATTTTCGCTCTCGATCTTGTACGAGCTCAGGTCGGAACATGAGCCTTGCTGCGTCAACTGCATCATCTTTTGATTGTGAAGATGTTGCAATGGAGGACAGGGCAATGGCAGGACGATTTGACTTTGAGAAGTTCCGGGGCCAAACGGAGAGCAGAGGTGGCGTCGCAGAGGGAGGGAACGGGGATCTAGTTGATTCTATACGCGGTGCTGTTTCGGTATGTGGGGTAATCAATGGCTTTAAAACACTTGTTTATTGCTTTTCAAGTCCGTCTTGGGGGATTTCAACCTTTCGCAATTTGACTTGGTATATCCACAGTCAGAGCCAGAACCAGCTACAGAAGATGCCGATGATGAGGTGAATTTCTTTCGAATTCGTTCTATGTGACATTCTAAATCGTACAGCCTGATTTCGATGATTTTGACTTGGTTTATCCTGAAACTCCTCCTGCTTCTCCTCCGCCTCTGCTAGCACCAGGCATTTCCGAGGCTCCGCTTCCTAGCGAGGAATCCGCGGAGCCTCCCGTATCCCAGCCGGAATCAATTCAAGCTCGTCTGTTAATTCGATTACCATCCAGAAAAGCGTTGCAGTCTCCAACAAAGGTAATATCTAAAAATCCGTGCACGAACCATCCTCTAAATTTCCAATCAGCAACCACCAACTAATAACCGCCCAGCCAGTCCGGAACCCGCGGTATTCACTGCTCCCTCAGCATCGCAAAACCTTTTCGTCTCCACGCCTCTTCCTCCAACAGGCACCCTTGCTGCCCATCAGCCATTACAGAAATTACAGGCTGATATTCTACCCCCACGCGTCCCGCGAATTACTTCTCTACGTCTTTGTTCCAATCCTGGATGTAATGGTGTGGTTCGTGTTGATGGTACTCGCCGCAGATGCATGGGCTGCATCATGAGGGGCTGGACTAGCGGAAATTACGTGCCACCTGCAGAGTCTGTGAAAAAAACAGCACAAGTAGCTCAGAAGAGGAAGAGCAGTAAGAGCAGTAAGAAACGTGTATCGTGGTTTGATGGTTACGGAAAAGATGAACGGGAGAGTCAGGATGCCATGGATGTTGATGAGGATGAAGAAATCCAAGTCGTGTCAACAGAAACTGATAACGACGCCCTGGGTGCTGATGTGCTCATCCGTGGATGGGACAGTGATCTCACCGAATCTGACGAGGACGATTTCAATCTCAATTCTATGCTAGCAAATGAACCAGACCTCAGCGCAGATTGTAACGCCGTTCTATCATCTGGATACTCTTCCATAAGTTGTACGATCAAGCACTGTCGGAACTTTCTTCCTCTGAATTATACTTGGAAATGCTGCCCAACGTGTCGGAAATATCGTCGGGATTATCAGAGGAAACGGTTGGGATGTGAGAAAGACAAATATCAGGGGGACCAGTCAACATTTGTTCCATCTTCAGGCTCAGCCTCAATTCCATTGAAGGTTCATTCTTCATCTCATGATGTTCAAGATCATCAACTCATTGCTTATATTTTCAGAAGGTCCAGTCAAAAAACCAATTGGGATCATACGCCTTACACGATCCCGCAGGTCTTGTCACTGTCGGAGCCCGGATATGCACCATCCGTGGCTGCAAGCACATCGTTCCCAACAAAGTTGAGTACAAGTTCAAGTTGTGCTTCCCTTGTCGGATTCGCAGTGCTCGGAGTGCCAGGATTCGGCAAGCAAGAGCGGAGCAGTCGAAAGCCATGTCAAGCTTGGTAACTGAAGTCGAAGTTCCCGTCGAGGTAATATTATCTCATTCTTGGGTTACAGTCACTCAAGCAACATGCTCTCCCAATCACAGAAAGCATTTCCTCTTGTTGACGTCCCACCACCACAAAATCCTCTCCGTGCGGCGGTGGGACGCTGTGCTAGTATGGATTGTGGACTGAAGCTTGAACCCTCAAAACTTAAATCCTTCCAAACCAAAGCCAAAAATCGTCTAAATGTTACAGATATGGAGATGCTTCCTTCATTATCATCTCCTGATCCTGGTGCGACCGGTGAATTAGGTGAGACAGAGAATGTAGAGACCAACGATAGTGAGGCACTTTGCGACCAATGTACATGGAGACGACTGCCGCCTGATGTTCGGAGAAGTAGAAAGGTAGAGGTGCATAGAAGAGTAAGGATTGTTCTTGACTGCGAGCGTGATTCCACCAAATTGCACACTGATGGCGGTGGTCCCTCGCAATTGAAGCCTTGTATACGACCGAACGTTCCGGCCATAAAGCTTCCTCAGAGACCTATACCCCCTCCGAAGGTATGTTTCTATCGCACTTTGATAAGGTTTTTGATTGATCTGGACATTTGCTCAATTTTACAGCCCCGTAATCCGACACCATACCCGGAATACCAATCCATCTCTCACCTCATATGCGATTTACAGAGTCTATTCAAATCCTTCATCCAAGCCCAAGGTTTTTACCTTGCCTTCAGCCTCACTTGTAAACAAAATTCAACAGCGTCAACGGGGCACACAAACAAACCATCCGAGCCTCCCCATGTCCTTAATTCTGAGGCTCCCTTCTCCGATACCACGTCCACCAATGCCATACATCCTTGTAATTCTTTTAATTCCTCCAAATTTTCTAATAATCCCAGTTCCTTGTCCGCCTCAAAACTCAATCCGATAATCCCGAGAACTATGTCGAAATTCGCATTTGACGGGGAATTCTCCATCGTGGCTCCCGACTTTGAATTGCTCGAGCGCAAAGACGAGGTAAACGAATTTGTGACAAGTGCGATGCACCAAATTGAAAAAGTGGCGTCGGTCAAATTTTTGTGAGTTGTTCACTGTCAACATTCGCGAGTCAAAATCTTGATTTCCATTCCTCTTTCAATTGTCTCTTGAATAGACCGAGTAGTCGTTCATGCGTAGTTGCATACGGAGGGCTCATCACCCGTTTTGCTTGTCGAGGGATGGTACCCATGATTCTTCCTCCTGGAGTCACACCAACGATGGCGGTGCCTCTTATGAGAGACATGTTTGGCGAATTAGAGGTTGTCGTGCTCCCTGTAGACTCGCATCGATGTTTTCCTGGTCAGAGGACGGTGGTCAGGTTTAGGCTTGTGGGTTGATTACCAAGTCGTAAATTAGGTAGAAGCGGCATGCAGATAATGGGGGTTGAAATTTCGTGGTGGCTGTGGGTGGTAGCGAGGAGTATGATATTCGTTAAGTTAGAAAATATCTTGTTTATATGGAACAAATCTAGTCGTGTAGCTTATATTTTTGTACTTAGTGTGTACGCAGACTCAGTCTAACACCAGAACGCTGTTTATGCTGAAAGATAATGGTAATGATGCACAGGAGCGAAGAGGACGCGTGCCGCGCGACGTGACGCGACGCGTGGTCACGCTTCCTCATGTCCGAACCGCCACTCAATTATACTTTCCACGACTCTTCCTCGTACCATCATGGTACGTTTACAAATTCTATGTACTTGTAGCTCAACTGACTTTCTTCAAAGGGCCGGAAACACCGTAAGACTCAGAAGCAAAAAAAAGCAGCGAAAAACAGGGCTAATAATGCGAATGAAAAAGAAACTTTTGCAGACGGGGAGTATCGTGCAAGATCACAGCAGGCGCGGGAGTTCTCCGACGAGATGTATAGAAGATTGGAATTGCAACGCCTCAACTGTCAAGCTTGGGAGGCATATGTCCAAGAGGAGGTAGACATCTATACAGGAAGCGGCGCCTATAATATTATTCTGGTGAGAATGATTCTTTCTATAAGTGATAGTATTCCAGATCCCTTCGAGCTCAATGCGAATTCGATGTATATTTTTTAGAAGGAATCCCTCGGAGTGCTAGCAACATTGGGGGTACTGCTTGTACTGCTTTTCACCGATGAAGTTTTCATCAAGTTATTTGAATTTCAGTCGTAAGCAAAGGCCGTCCTTTTTGACTTGTTCTCTTAGAATTCAATATCAACTTCTAGGCACCCCAACGCTATATTTTCGGTGGTATATCTCTTCTGCTGCGGGAATACAGGTATAGCGCTCTCGATGCATGCGTATAACGGTCAAATTTGGGCTTCAATTGCAGCCGATGGCCTTCCTTTTCTGAGAAGTGCTCGACCGATATATTATGGCTTGCATCCTCAAGGAATATTACCATCCAGCAAAAGAAATCCCTTTTCTAAGAGGGTCGACAAATACGGTCCTTGGAACACAGTGATTGCTCCGCTTCGCATCTTGTTTCTGAAATTCCTGAGCAAATTCTCGTTTATTATACTCTATTTTCCTTTCTTAGTCTTTTGGCTGCTTTCTTGTAGCTACGATGCCTTCCCTACACAGTGGTGGACTATCGTCGGGGCTCTAGGGACCTTTACTGGCGTCTTGAAGTTTTGTCATTCCTTCCTCGGTGAGCCCATAAAAGAGGGTGACCGTATGGCAGAGGAGGAGCATATGCTGTACCATATGTTTTGGAGAGGGTTGGGATTTTCAAGTTAAGCATGTTGAAGTTCAGACTGAGCTCAGATGAACTTGAAACAAACCATTCTCGTATGATCTATTATCATCTCATGTTTACTGAAATTTGCATGTATATTTTGTATATATATCCAGCCTTGCTCATTGTGATTACTATACTCTTCGGTGGTACCGGTGCTGGTGACGGTAATCAGTGTTGATTCAACTTGAAACAAAACGACCGCAAAGGCTAAAACGACGATTCCGCGGCTGGATATAGCGAAGAAGGGACCGATGGATGTATTGGGATATTGGATCTCATTCATTGCCTCAACCCGGCTTCCACTTGTTTGTACGAAGAACGCAGTTACGCTGAGGCACCGAAGGATACATAGTACAGTGCACTTCACGTGACAATTAGTATATGATAATGGCTCCACGGAGTCCGCTCAGGTCCGCTCACTCAAGTCTCGAATCAACCAGCGTGAGGGAATATCAGGGAACATCGGTTCAGAATAGCAGACCTTCTACCGGGCTGATGTTCTCATGTACTACAAATTCTCCCCAGATCCATATCCTCAGTGAATGACATCCTCCGAGCACTGTCTTCCAGACCTCTATGAGGCTGGTATTGTGGAGCTGCAAGCAGCCCTCGATGCAGGGAGATTCACAAGCGTTGATCTAGTAACCGTACGTATCTTATTCATTGTAGATCCTTAATAGCTGACTTTCGAATAACAGGCTTATCTTGCTCGTATTGAAGAAGTCAATCTTCATGGCGCGGAATTGAGAGCTGTTTTGCAGGTCAGCCCTGTTGCGTTAGACGCAGCGGCGATATTAGATGAAGAAAGGCAACGTAGCGGAAAGCGTGGTGTGCTGCATGGTATTCCAGTGCTATTGAAGGCTAGTTTTGTTGAATTGTGCATGAATATCTGTTTTTACTTGCTATTTACTTTACTTAGGACAATATGGCAACATTACCATCTGAAGGCAGGTTGATAAAATATAGTCCTGGAGATAATTGATGAAATTCTCATACAATTTAGAAGGCCTGGGCACGACTGCTGGGTCTCATGCCCTGTATAACTCGATAGTCCCAGACGATGCAGGTGTGGTGAAGCGTCTTCGAAATGCTGGGGCCATCATTCTTGGTTTGTTCCTCGTCTGTTCGTTCCAGACCTCATTCATTCATAACGCTTTGTTCTTCTTCTAGGCAAAGCCAACATGTCCGAATTTGCCCACTTTCGCGGTCCAGTTCCCAGTGGCTGGTCAGGTTTAGGCGGCCAATGTAAAAGCGCGTATCATCCCAAAGGTTCACCTGGTGGATCTTCATCCGGTTCTGGTGTCGCGGCTTCTGTGGGACTAGTTACAGTGACTCTTGGGACAGAAACGGACGGGAGTATTACATCGCCTTCTGCAAATAATAATGTCGTTGGAATTAAGCCAACCGTCGGGCTCACGTCTAGGGCCGGAGGTGAGTCACTATAGTCTATATCAGTTGGATCCTTCACCAATCCATCTCTGAAACCTTTGTATGTAGTACTTCCCATCGCAGCCGCTCAAGATACTGTCGGTCCAATGACTCGAACAGTGCAAGACGCTGCCATTGTACTTTCCGTCATAGCCGGCGAAGATCCAAACGACCGACGTACTCTCTCTCAACCTCATCCTGTGCCGGATTACTCCAAAGCCCTCGACGTTAATGCCCTCCGCGGCAAACGGATCGGCGTTCCTCGCTCCAGTATACCCTCAGATACTATTGACGTCCAATCCATACTCTCCGCCTTTGACGAATCTCTCCGTATCATGGAATCCCTTGGTGCTACAATCGTCGACCCAGCGAACTTACCTTCCGCAGAGGAAATCAAAGGCTTGAACCGTCTGCAAGTGCTCCACGTCGATTTCAAAATCGAACTTAATGAGTACCTAGCTGCGTTGAAGGAAGTCCCTACTGGTGTTCGTACGCTCGCAGATTTGATTCAGTTCAATATCGACCATGCTGAGTTGGAGCTTCCGGAAGGCTATTCAAACCAGGGGATATTGATTGACAGTGAGGCAACGAATGGGCGTGACGAGGCTTACGGGAAAGCACTTGCAAGGAACTTGGAGCTGGGTGCTACGAGGGGAATTGATGCAGCGTTGAAGGAATATAAACTTGACGCATTGGTGTTGCCAGCCAGAGACACAACAACCCCCGCTGCCATTGCAGGGTATCCAACTGTTACAGGCATGTGCAATTTCTAGTTCTTTGCATTGTGTTTTGCTAACCTTCATTTGTTCCGATCATATCCTGCTCTACACATTTAGTTCCTTTAGGCTTCTTCCCCGAAGATGAACCAATCAAGTACGATGGAAATATCGCGTATCCTGCTCCGGGTATGCCATTCGGCTTATCTTTCATTGGAACGGCGTTCGATGAGTATGCACTTATTGGGATGGCGTATGCTTTTGAGCAAAAGACAAAATTTAGGACGAGTCGTAGAGCGATTGCAGAAGCCATACCGAAGACTCAGTTGAAGGAGAGTTAGTCGACATCGCGCTATTGTCTGTTATTTCCTTGAGAAACAAGTTAATTTATGATTATTGAGCTTGCCCCATATTTGATCGATGATCGGGAGAGCCACGTGCAGCGACTATAAATGTGCGAAAGTTCTTTCTCTCTTCTTCCTTTACTTCAACCACACTTTGACAGTGTAGGACATTGCTATTCTCACTCAACATTTCTATCTTCCTTCTTCTTCTCTACGCCGGTCGCTTCTACTTAATCATCATGGTTACCATCAAAGCTACATCTTGCATGCCCGACTTTACTTCTCAAGAAATCCTCAACGGTAGATTTCATATCCTCGACTTTTTGGGTGCTGGGGCCTACGGGAAGGTGTACAAAGCGCTTGACAATTATCCCAAGTCTTTTTCGAGTACTCGCTATTACGCGATCAAGGTTCTTCTCAAGGCAGATACACAATCTCGAGACTACGAAATGCAGCTACGCGAACTTAAACTACAAAAGAAAGTATCTCATCATCCCAATATTGTGACTTTCTGCGGAGCGTTTGAGGAGAATGACTTTGTCTTCGTGGTACTCGAGTACTGTGAAGGGTACGACCTTTTTACGGCCATAGTGGACAAGGGACTTTTTGAAGGGAACGATCAGCTCATCAAGTCATCCTATGTCAAGATCCTAGACGCTGTGTACTACTGTCATCAACAAGGCGTGTTTCATCGTGACTTGAAGCCGGAAAACATTTTATGCTCAGTGGATGGGAGCGATATTTGGCTTGCCGACTTCGGTCTTTCAACGAATAAACGGGCGTGTCATGATTTCGGGTGTGGGAGTAAAGCCTATATGAGTCCAGGTAGGTCGGTGGTTTGATTTGCTCATTCTCGTCCTCACAATTCTTCAGAGTGTATCGGGAAAGAGACCAACAACGTGGTATATTCTGCCCCGCTCAACGATATCTGGTCGCTGGGTGTCATACTTGTCAATCTAGTTACTCGTCACAACCCTTGGAACTACGCGCACAGCAGTGATCCCTGTTTCGACGCTTTTCTGGCAAATCGCGACTCTCTGCGCGACGCTTTACCCATATCCGATCCACTCAATCTCCTCCTGAGACGAATCTTTGATTTCAACCCCGTTTCTCGAATCAACATTCCTACTCTGCGAAACGACGTACTCTCTGTCGAAACTTTTCACGCCCCCGATGAACCAATTGACTCGGACCTCACCTCGTGCGCCGGACCTGTTCATCCTCCTGATGGCCAAATTAACTCAGTATCATCTGAGCCGTCACCCAATATCGAAAATATTCAAGTGGAAGTAGAGGTCGATGTTGAGGTGGTGGTAGGTTCTCTCCAGGGAGTGAGTACGTCGAACCCTCCTACTTCATGGACCAACGCAGAGTGGAACGAGCACAAAAATCGAGCTCTACTGCTACAGGGACTCCCTCCTCGCCCGCACAAATTGTTCGTCGTCGGCTCTCAATCCATATCTGACTACAGTTCTCAAGATGACCTCCTCGTTACGCCTCCTCATGGACCCGTAGAACTTGCTATTGAAATACCGGAAATTTTTGATGTCAATCGTGATCGAAGCTCGTCTTCTGGGAGCCTCCCTCTTCGTCGTCAACCAAGGTTTGCCGTCAGTCCATGTGTCGCGTTTTTCAAAGACGAGAGAATGCGAGAGCCGGAACCGATTCGTATTGTTAGAAGGATGGTGGATGCGTTGATAACAACAATTTGACACATCGTACATAGATGTTCAGGCTTCTGATTATGTACCACTATCAATTCGAACAGGATGATCTGATTGCTTCAGCTTCGGGTTAAGCTGCTGGAAAAGAAGTGTTCAGCTAAGATAATACATCATGGGTCCATACAATCTACAGAATTATACAAGGAAGTGGAAATAGCGAACTAACGTTGAGCATGTGTTTCAACCGTTGTCTAAAGAAAAATGGAGACTTTGACCGGCTTCCGTACTGCAGCTGAGTTTCCCTCTTTGAACTTGTACGCCACGTTGAACTTCGGCGTACTACTGGATTTCAAGGGGTTGAATCCGCGAGCACTTGATTGAGGCTTTTTGCCGGCAGCAGTAGGCTGGATAGGACGACCGAAAAAGTCTGTAGGCGGCTAAGAGATCGAAGACCAGAATCAGTTATCTCCATTTTCTAGAAAGAAAGGAAACTATACCCTATCAGCAATATCGATGTTAGCAGACAGGTCTTTACGGGGACGCTTTCCGGGAGAAGGGTTGAATGAATCATCCTCAGCTTCTTCGACAGATGCTGCTGTAGTTTTGCCCTTCTTATTCCTGGTAATACGACATGAGCACATATCACAAGTTGCCATTGAACGACCACTTACCCGCCGAAAAGGTGGGCGTGCTTGCCTGATTGTCCTCGATCAACGACGTCTTCTTGACGAGAAGTGAGTCGCGCATCGACCTGGAACAGTTTAGGTCTCTTTGTACGCATCACACAAGCAGTAATGCACGCACCTCTTGGGCAATTAAATGCCTTACCGCATATCTTGAAATAGCAATGTCGGACGCTCGCTTCCCGTCGTAAGTGATGAAGACATCTACCGGTCTGAAAAAGGTCAACAACTGGCAGAAAGCTAAGACCACGTTTGACTCACGGATCTAGACGATACGTCAGCTGACCATCTTCTGCGCGTTCTTGGACGAAACGTAGTTCCAGATTAGTCATTATATCGACTAAACGAGACATCAGAGGCCGTTCATCTACTCGCAGATGTTGCCCATTAATCTGAAAGAGAAGGCAATTTCAGCAATGTCAGGATGAACAACAGAGTATTGACACAAACCGGTCTAAGCTGCGGCGAGATAATTCGGTTGATGTACGGCGCAAACTCAAGTTGCAATATAGGCCAGTTTCCGAGATGCCTAAAATCACCCCTTTGTCGTGTACTAGCTACTTGAAGACCCCGGGTGAGGGACTTGTAAATCTCCTCGTTGGACTTGGTCAGTTGAAGGTTCTGTAGCACCAGTGTCAGTACACATTGTAGAAAGAGATGTGTGGCGAGGCATGCACGTACCTCCCAATCTTCTTGTCCTCGTTCGACCTTTGGAGCGCCACGCTCCTGGAACAGTGGATAGAACGGCACAAGGGAATACGTCAGGTAAGGGCTTAGCGCAAAATCGCCATCGTTGTACATCGCAGTGGAGAGTACATCAAACGTCATAAGCCACTCGTTGGCCTTTTCGTATCTCGAGAAATTAGCATCATGGCGTCGAAGTGTGGCGTAGTGTGAAAAGCAGCCTATACAAAAGGTATATTATTTGCCTCTTCTGTATAGCGATTGCATACGTAGATACCTACCAATAGCGATCGCGCTGTCCTTGCCGCATGAATCTATCTCTTGACTGATACGACTGACGTAGCGCGACTCTCCTTCGTCGTTCAGGCCCAATTCTTTGGCACGCTTTTTTGACAAGGGAATGAATAGACTATTGAGCGCTGATATGATGGAGTTGTCCGCCTCTTTCATCCCTTTCGTTGACCTCCGCACGACAGCCTCGGTAACCTCTGCGTCTCTTGACTTGATGAACTACCAAACAGTTAGGAATAGTCGGTTGGGGCTTCTATTATATCGAGGCTACTTACCTGAAGAGTATTCAGACAGCCTCTAAGATCACCTTTGGCAACAGCTACCAATGTCGAAAGTGCTCGCGTCTCCGCCTTCAAGCCTTCAATAGCACAAATTTCTCGTAAGCGTCTGACTGTGTGCACATCTGCCGGCTTCTGAAAGCGGAGCTGACATGCAATGGGACGTAGTTTTGCCAGAGATGACGCATTGATGTCGTTGCATATGCAAATGATGGGCCGGAGAATGGTCCTCTTATCTCCTGGGTGACTAGAGCGATCTGTGCAACATTATTGAGCACCCTCGTGGAATAAGGGTACAAAAGACGCACTCTTCTTCCGTGGCTTGTCATGTGTGAGTTGCACCAGTTTGTGTATAAAGTTGCTAGACTATCGCATTTCAGTTGAATGGGTACTTTGGGTAATGACTAGGGACACACGTTGTCTCCAGCACCTGTGGCACCATCAATTTCGTCTATAATGACGAGTACAGGTTTGCTGCTTTTCACAGTGTATCCAGTTTCTAGCGTCGGCCGTATACGATCGTCTACTATTTGACCCGACCGCGCATCACTTCAAGCATAATGTCAGTACGATAGCAAGAAAGCAAAGTTAATCATACCTAGCGTTAATCTCCATCACTTCATAGCCAGCTTGTTTCGCGATAACATGTGCAAGTGTCGTTTTCCCCAGACCGGGAGGTCCAGATACCAGGAGTATCTAGAGCACAATAGGGATGAGCCTGTGGTACCACGAGTAACACGACACGTACCCTCTGCTTGGGTCTTTGATGTGGGTCATTCATGTCGAAGTTCTCCTCTTCATCATCCCTTTTCCTTTTCTTACCTTTACTACTCTTTCCAAAGACACATTTATCCCACTGTTTAAGCCATTCCATTGCTTCTCGCGCGACGCGATCATTGCCCATCAAATCCGTAAAAGTTTTTGGACGATATCGGTCAACCCATAGAGAATCGTCGGCTCCAGCAGAGTTAAAGGATGCATGACCTGATTGTGGACTATGGAACATTTTGAGCATACTGGAGACAGGATGACCGCAGGGAGACCCACGTTTCGCGACTGAGTTCTTTAGCTTTATCCTCAGAAATCTCGCTTAACAACCTATGGAAAGGTACATCCAGTAAAGTTCCAACTTGACGTGTCTGAGTAGCGGCTGCGAGTTTCTGCAGGGTCTGTTAAACCAAACGCATACTCGCCACAAGGAAATCAGGAAACAAACCCGTCGAGCCGTGTTTATAGGTTTTCGTCGTAAGAATATTGTTCTCCCATCGAAGTTGGTTGCACGTAAGGTAGTCGATGGGGGTCCTACAAAGGTTGAGACTGAGGGAGTTGCCCTTGAGGCGATCATATCTTGTGATAATGGAAGGTCAAATTCGGCTGGGAAGTCATCCAGCGATGTCTGGGATCCAGTAGTAGCCGCAAGAAGGCCATTGGGTATGAATGAAGAGCCTGATGCTAGGTCCCCGTCAGCTGTGCTACATTGATCATACTGAGTACCAACACACCAGTACTCGTCGCGTGCTGCCCTAAACCCAAAAGGCCATTTGGTTTGAACGCGCTGTCCAGTCCAAAAGTACTTGCAGGCGCCGTGGAGAGTAGTCCAGAGGGAATGAATGCGTCTTTGGAGGTATGAGACTTTGAGGACGAACCCAGTAGTCCGGTGGGAATGAAACTTGTGCTTGCAGTGGTTGACATATCTTTTTGGGCACAGAGAAGCTCAGTATGATCTGTACAGGCGAATGCTTTTGCGTCAGCCACGTTTTTGAGTGGGATGGGCGCAGAAGCGGCGGCGAAAGTTTTGTTCTGAATCAACGAAGGAGAAATTGTACTGTCACACATCTCGTGGCTCGAGACGCGCCTCCGTCACAATTCGTGACGCGGTAATCCACGATGGCTTCTGATAATCTATCTGAATCCCTGCCTCCTGTGGGTCTTTGGGAAGCGCTCCAGGCTTCCTCCTCTAAACCTCGACCTAATCCGCATCCTTTATCTTCCTTTGAACATGGTATCATCGATGTCAGCGAGTCTACAGACGGAGAAAAGATCAATAAATACGATTTACTATGTCCTCGAGCGGAATGTGGAAGTGTCATATTGAAAAGAGGCGTAGCAGCACTAAAAGAGCGCGAAAGTCTACAGGCTCGCTGATTTCATTCTGTCTACCAGTTTGACGTGCTAATAGGCCACGGACAATTTTCACAGATAGAACCCTCTGACATCCCCATTCATCCACTCCTTCCACAACTGCCTAGTGCCTCTGAATTTACACAATGGTGGTTGATTACCCCTAACCCGATGCAATTTGAGAACGTTGGTTTTTCTCGACCTGTAGAATCTCTATCGCTCTCTCCGTCAGGTTCGATTACTACTTGGGATTAGTTTTTTGATTAATTTTGTGCCAGGGAGGAAGCTCAAACTTCTTATTTGTGCCGAGTGTGACCTTGGACCTTTAGGCTGGAGTGAAGAGGGAGGAACAGAGTTCTGGCTTGCTTGCTCAAGAGTTGGATATCGCAGCGACGGACAACTTTGACATAGACCAAAGTTTGGCAAATTGATAATATTCTTTAATTTGACCGGCAAGTTTGGTTCTGATCACTTTCTTCCTAATCTCATGCTTTCGGCAGACAGAAGTTTCACCGCTGTTCCTACGTTTTTTCTCTCCACTTGACGTTGCAGACCCGTTTTTTATATAATGTCACACACAGGCTGCGCACTCACGCCGTACATAATACCTCGGGCTACATATGCATATGTACATCCCATACTTAGGCTTTTTGTCAAGGCATCGCACTTTGACTCGGCAAGGAAACTTGAAACAAATCTCCCTTGGTTCGTCTCTGATTGTCAGCATCTTAAGAGCACAGTTCACAATCCATAGCTACCACATACGCTGCTCATAACTCGAGCTGTCTATATGACTATTCGAATATCCACCCTCAAGGTGCGACACCGCACCTACACTTAGCCTCCTTGGGTGACACCTCGATATTTGCACCATCTGCCAGATATATGTAGCCACTGTCAGGTATGATATTCATCGCCGTCGCCTTGATGACGCCCACTGAGGGATTATATTGACCATATGGGATCAGAGAAAGCATCCATGACTCACTGGGTGTCCACACATAAGTATGTCACGTATGGATTGTAAACTTCAACCACCATCCCAACATGGTCTCCATCATATTCTGGGATGTTCAAGGGAACAGAATCGAAGATACGCTGCCAGACGAAGAGCAAGTGGATATTTTGCACTCAGTTACTGAAGTACTGCCAGACGCGCCAGTCATTTTAAGAGAGCTGCGCAAGGTCGCCCAAACAGATATCTTAAAGCTACACCAACTCGGGCAGAACCATTTCTTCGTTAGTATCTATCCCTGTTCATATCCCGTATATTCGTGGCTGACTGACGGCCAGGTCTTTGACGCCACAATGTCGGATGGAGCACATTACATTGTCCGGGTTGCTCGGTTTTCAGACCCGACAGAGCTTTCCTATCTACGCGATAAAGTTCAGAGAGAATGTGAAATTCTGAAATGGATGGGTTCTCTTGATGCTTTGCCAGTACCTAAGCTGATACTCTGCGATGCAACTTCATCTTCCCCGCCATTCATGATCACAAACAAGTGCGAGGGGATCCAAGTGATCTATGGCTTTGGAACGCTCTCTGAGGGTGCTAAGGTGAAGAACGTTGCGTTGTCATATTCATCTAATCGGTATTCACTTCTTATACCAGATGCGGAACCTCCGTTCTTTTGCTCGGTTTGCGATTGCTATGTTCCAAGCAAAGTGTCCTCAGCAGATTGGAAGTATCATGCGCTTCTCCTCCAATTCTGAGTCCACACGCAATTCCGAGAGTACCAACGTCGAGATCGGACCAGTTGTTGCTTACAGAAAAACAGAGACCCCGTCGCAATGTTTTTCATCGGCTCAAGAATATATTCGGTGGCTCATTGCATGTAAGCAGAATAGGGCAAACTCTGTTGCCAACGTGAAGCCCATCCTTCGACGAGCGGAAGCCATCTTTGCTCAGGAAACTAAACGGCAAGACGAAGAGCAGCTTCGTTGTATCCCTTGGCATGGAGATGCAGTATCCCACAATATCTTGATTGACAGTAGTGGCGAGATTACTGGCGTGATAGACTGGGAGTTTCACATGATCCTTCCGGCCTACCTCGCAGTGGATTACCCCTCCTGGATAACGTACGACGGGCTACAAGATCCAAAATTCTTCCCGACTACAGGCCAGTTCTCTCCTTTTTGGCCTACAAGCAGACAGGAAGCTACGACCTTACGACAGAAGTATGATGAGGTAAATGCTTTTCTTTATGTCTATTCGCGCTAAGCTCACACAAGCACCTTGAGATCGTCAAGAAACTTGACCACGCGTATTACTTATCTCTTAAGAAAGGTGAAATCGCCCGCTTGATTATGCAATGGCTGATTGCAGACGAAGATCGAGAATGTGAAAAGCTTGAGAATTGGCTTGACTCTTTATCAATGTAGTGTTTGTTCGCACCACCTAAGACACCTCTGATTGACGCTTCTCTGGTACCTCCCTGTAAATAAACCAGTTACATTGACACCAGGCATTTTGTCGCGCGAAGTGCATGTATTCCGGCTTTTCACGAAACATCTTTTGCACTCTTCTGCATCTCTTTTCATTACAAGGACCTTCGTCGAACCATTCGTTACGAGTTCCATTTATGGAATTCGTTCTATACGCTCAAAAAAAATTTGCACAGCCACTGTGACCGCTTAAGGGTGAGAACTTTTTCCCTTTTATAATTTACTAGCCTGAGCCACGTTTCACCTTCCTATCCTACGATTTGTAGAAACTTGCTCTTGCAGTCCACGGGCCACCACCGGCCTTTCCTTTTGATTGATGGCGCGTGTTCGGAAAATGATGACATTCGTGAAATTTACATGAGCTCATAAAATAAAATAAAATAAAAAGGTACCCGAGCCTTGACGTCGGGTAAGAACGTGTAATGAATAGAGTACGTTAGAGTACGTTCTGCCTCCCTCTCCTTCCCGCCGTTTTTTGCTTGCACCGTTTGTTCAAGACCCCGTCATGTTTCCAAGGGTACCTTCACGCTCTCCTCCTCGATATCGGTATATATACCCTCCACGTGGGAACTCGTTGTTCAATTCTGAACCTGGACGCCGCCATACCCAGCATACCCGTGGTTCATTGACCTTGCCAAGGCTACCTGAACTGGATACCTTCTTCAACGAGGATGCTGAAGCTTTTCAGTCCCGCCACGCGCCTTCAGAAGACTCCTTACCTGATCCATCTAATATACGTGAGTCATTTTCAATGCATTATTGCTTGTTTACTGAATAGCACTTTTGTACCTTATTAGTCAAAGAAGTGTATATGCCGAGGACTGTCAATTATGGATTGCAAGCTGTCACTCCAGGTCTGTTGAATTCCTATGCTGTTCAACACACTCATTGAATGGAATATCACTTAGTTCCTCCTGTCGAATTGTCAAGTGACGAAGAATTGCAATTCCCAGACCCGGAACCTATTTCCCAGCCTGTTTCTATCAAACGGGGCCACGGTCGTCCTAAAAAGGCTCCTGTTGCTGCTTCTCATAGCGAAATCATTCCGGTTGTGCCTTCATTTACGTTTGAGCTCCTCTTGCACCTCATAAAGCCAGACCGACCTATCACTGGAAAACTCAAGAAAACAAAAGGCAAAGCTACGAAACAGGAACCTGAGAAGCGAGGGCCAATCTATGTCTCTTCAGAAACTGACTACGCTGCTTTCCTTTCTAAAATTGCCAGTCTCGTTCCCGCTCCTGTCACTGGCCTTTCCATTCAGTCATTCGAGTGGCATTTTCTTTCACCAGCAACTGGTCCTTGGCTTCCTATTACTACGGAGGAGGGTTATCAGTCTATGCTTGGTAAGTTGAGGAAAAAGCATGCAAAGGATGAGGCCTATGTCATTATTCAAATGAAGAAACCTGTTCAAACAATCATCCCTGCTACTGTCGAATCTGTGATTGATGAAGACGAGAGTTCCGATGATGACTTTCGGGGTCCTGTAGCAAAGAAGGTATTTTACATAAATTGTCTGCTAATCAAAATGCTTACACCCGTTTAGGGAAAGATTGACGATGAATTAGAAGGCATTACACAGCACCTTCAGTCACTTTATCCAGTGGGAAAGTGCGAGCACGACCCAACCATTTCGTGCTTTCATTACCGTCCCGGCAACCTCCATTTTGAACTGACTCGCGGACGTCTTCTAGTCTGGGCCCGTGACATTGTATGTTATCTTTATATGGTTTTGTTATATCGAACCTCATTCATTTCCTCTGTGCTCATGGCTGCTACCAAACTGTACCGTTCACCTCGTACAAAGTTTGCAGAGATAGTAGCGCGCTGACCAGCTGGTGCACGCCCATAATGTCGGTATATTGTTCTTTCATCCTTACTTGTTTCATCGACAACTATAATTTGCTGAGCCACATAATGGGCAGAAATATCTGCCATCCATTCTGCCCGCAACACATCATCTCGCTCGGTCGCAGCTTTACGAAGACGTTTATACGTCAATCCGGCATCCTGAATGATCTGGCACAGTGATGATTTCGAAATGCCAACATCATGGGCTAGTGCCAGCCAATCTCGTATTTCATCCAAATACATTTCGGGAGCCTCTTGTGATAAAGACACCAAGCTGTGAATCATTTCAGAATTAAGTTTCGACGGACGTCCACGGGTATGACTGGGAGGGGCAATGACGGAATTATGTATTTCCAAGTTGCCTTTCCAGCGGTAAATACTGCTCTCGGAAACTGCTAGAATAGCTCCGACTTGTTCAATAGTCAGATCGTGGTCTAGGAGCCAGATTGCCCTCTGCTTCATATCTTCGCTGATGTGCCGGAGGACCATTGTGAGACGAGTAAATGGAGAGGGGCTCAAGTAGCCGACGTCAAGGCTCGGGTACCTTTTTATTTTATTTTATTTTATGAGCTCATGTAAATTTCACGAATGTCATCATTTTCCGAACACGCTGTAACTTGCCTCTTGATGACAAGTGCTCTTCGAACTTACTTCCTATTTCTCCTTCATATATTTACCTGATAATTTGTCTTCTCCTTTCTCTTTTATATGGTTTATATGGTTTTTTTATTAATCCTAAATTATTTTCATTATTTTCCCTTGAAGTCAACTAACTGCCACTTGACTAACGCACTCGGGAAGGGCACGGTTGATTTTTCAATTTTGATGATTTGTTGCCGGTTTATTGCCGGTCCGTCGGATATTTAATATCAGCTTTCTCGCACCATACCTTGAGTTTCAATGCTTTTATGCATGCAGTAGGAGCATTTTTGTGGCCTTCAAACTCTTAAGTAAATACACTGTCATCTTTTGCCTTCTAGTTACCTCAGGGATGATGAATATCCCCCTTTGAGTATTCATGTCTCCACTCAATTTATCTCAATTTACAATTTTTGAAGGAATTCATGCCTCTATCCTCAATTTATGGGGTTCATGCAGTCCTACTTAGGGTGTGATACAGAGGGCCTGTTACTTGAACTCAGAGCTCATATGGTAAACTCCAGCATAAGCATTTCTCCTGATAAAAACAAGCAAGCTCAAAGAACTTGAATAGCTATTAAGACTAAATAACATCTGCAAAAGCTGGATGTTCACAAGAGCAATGGAGGCACTGTCCAGCTCCCAGCAATTCTTCAGTGCTGCTGGGAGTACTTTCCCAGCTGGATAGTGCTGTCAGCTGCTTTCTGTTGAGGGAGACTCTGAGTGCTCAAGCCCATTCTGTATGTACCCGAGACTTCTTCTTGTATATAAAGTTACAACATCTGCAAAACCTGTATGTTTGGCTAAATAGCCGAAAGCAGCTCAGAGCACTTGGGAGCACTTCCCAGCAGCGAAAGCACCCAGAGCAGGCTTTGATTTTTGCTTTGGGTGCTTTCGTCACTGGAGAGTGCTCTCCAGCTAGTATCCTTGCTCTGGCAAGTATACATGTTTTGCAGATGAAGACAGTTACAAGACAGCATTATTACATATACAAGGAGAAGTCCAATATGAGCTCTGAGTTCAAGTAACAGGCCCTCTGTATCACACCCTAAGTAGGACTGCATGAACCCCATAAATTGAGGATAGAGGCATGAATTCCTTCAAAAATTGTAAATTGAGATAAATTGAGTGGAGACATGAATACTCAAAGGGGGATATTCATCATCCCTGAGGTAACTAGAAGGCAAAAGATGACAGTGTATTTACTTAAGAGTTTGAAGGCCACAAAAATGCTCCTACTGCATGCATAAAAGCATTGAAACTCAAGGTATGGTGCGAGAAAGCTGATATTAAATATCCGACGGACCGGCAATAAACCGGCAACAAATCATCAAAATTGAAAAATCAACCGTGCCCTTCCCGATACACTTGACTTGACAGTGTGACTCTGTTTCAGTTGACAGTCATCTCCCTGCCCTCTGGGCTTCTTCCACTTCTATATACCTGCACCAAGAAACTGCTTCCCCTATACCATGCTTTCCTATAAATCCAATGTCCTTTTTTGATTGGGTGCCAATGGACCCACTTCAATACTACCATGCTCTGTCTGCTTGGGTACAACGTGCACCTTTGGTCCTTCTACATTTAATTTACTCTCTCCAATTTGCTTATATCAAGTATTGGGTGTTTATGTAGAAAAACACTTGCATCGTTCATACTTTGTTCTTTTATGAGCACTCTGCCTCTGTGCAACAACTGCAATGCGCTTGCAGATTCTTAGGAGGATTGCCTTGGAACTGAACTCGTACCAGCCGGCTCATGGAGCCGGCTAGCAAACAAGTGATGATGAACGATGTCATTTTTCGCAGGACTGATTTTGACCCGATTTTTGAATATGGGCTTTTGATATGCGGAGTCTTTGGATAGACCTGGTCATGAATCATGATTCCAGACCCGTATATCGTCCGGAAATATACTAAAACTTCAGCAAGTGGTACGAATGCCGCAGCTTGTCACAAAACGAGAAACGTTACGGAATTATCGGCCCTCGTTTTGTTCGGCCCGATAACACATCACCACGTGCAATATAGCCACCTGTAAGCAAGTACAAACACCAGTTGACCCATACAGCTTCAACTTCAAGCTTCAAAGCTTCAAGACCAGCTTAGACGGGGCTGGTCATCGCTAGTCACGACAACGAGAACAAAAGATTTGACAAACTGTCTGCAACCTAACTGCACTCTCTGACCGTGCCTTTGTTGGCTCGTGTCCATTTACTACTACGCTTCTGCACCAACTCTGGTTATGTCCAATTCTCAGCATACAAAATCGGCCAACTCGACTTTGGCTCGTAGAAGATATCCCTTGCGTCGTCCATCCCCAACTAGAAAACGCGCTACAGTAACTCACACAACCTCTCCTGCCACCTTCGACGTCTTTCATGCGTCAGGCTCAACACGAGATCTAAATATACGGCCTGTACTCGTTCCATTGCATCAAAATCTTCGCAGACTTCCATCTCGTACTCATCTAGCTGGAAAACATATTGATATCGACGACTCCTCGATGAATCTCCGTGTTGGATCTAAGCGGAAACGCGTCGCGAGTGGTAGTAACGAGAACGCGCAACACGGTAGCCACTCGTCGCGCGGTTCTGGCCGTTTTAAACGTTTCAAATCCAGTAGACAGTCCAGCGAGACCAGTGAAGACGAGGAGCTTAGCTCTATGGATGTTGATGTTGATTCGCATCACTACCCATCTACTCGGCGAGGGCAAGTCGCGGTAGGAACTAGTTCCGACGTACTGTCCGAAGAGAGCGAAGAAGAAGAAGACGAAGACGAAGGCGTTGAAAAAGATGTCGATTCCTGTAAGCTCTTCGAGAATTCTACCACTCCCGAACTCATATTTGCTCTTCACAGCGGACGACTACTTAATTTCTTCTGCTTCGTCACGTGTCCTCAGTCGAATGCGAAAAGATGATCTGATTCGCCTGTATGCCCTAGCAGGTCTAACAGATGATGTAGAGTCCTTTACGAAGTCGGAAATTGTGCAGTCCATCATTGCTGCTCGTGATGATGTAGCTTCCCTGCCACCTTCCTCTCCACTTGGTCGGGGTGGAGGCTCAAGCGATTATTCTTCTGACGACGCTATTGTTCCTGACGAAGAAGCAACGCCGATGCCCAATATCCGCCGTCGTGTCACGATAAATGACGTCGCCAGAGAGGCTGAACGTCGGCCCCTCAAAAGTCGTAGCCTCTCGATGGGCCATTTTAATGATGAAAGTAGTTCATCGTCACGATCTCGTGCTAAACGGCAGACGAGCAAAGCTATTGAAGCTACTAGTAGTACTAGCTCAAGGCGAGTATTCTCAAAATGATGTATTCAATCAAATGCTTATCGATATCCCCTATAGGCGACACTCGTCAAGGTCCTCACCTGTATCATCAACCTCCGCTCGAGACGGTATTTCAATCTCTTCACCTCCCGCACACCATTTACGCTCCCGCAAGCCCTCCGTACCCTCATTACCTTCAATACCCTCCATCTCGCGCTTTCCAGATCCATCATCCCTTCCTACACCTATCGATCTTTGCGGTTCTGGAACTACACCGACCGTTGCCCTGGCTGCCTTTTCTTTTACACACCGAAAAGGTAAATCAAAACATGTCGGCTTCGATGAACCCGTTCAAGTGTCCAGGTCAGTGAAAACCCCTTCCAAGAAGTCAGCCCCAATGTCCGTAGTTGATAGCGAAAGCGATTTGACTGAGTTGGAGGATTTGGAAGAAAGAATTGCTGCTCAGCCTAGCCCAAGGAGGCTGAGGAGTAAAGATAGACAACGCTCAACTTCAGATGGCGGGAGCGGAAGTGGGGCCACTTTGGACACCCTTGATGCTCGTCGAGTTACTCCAATGCGTAATGCAAAGAAGAAGATGAAGAGCTTGAAGGAAGATTCTACCACGGAGCAAGAAGATGATGAGGTCGAAGACGAAGATGAGGTCGAATGCGTTGATGACGGGGCAGACGAAGACGAGGTTGATGAGCTCATTTCTACAGCTTCTGCCTCAGTGTCGCCTGTACAGTCTACTAACCGACGCACTCCCATGCGACGACGACTACGCTCCCGTCGGAAAGTGGAAGAAGATCCCAGTGATGGTGACGACGAGGAAGAAATCGACGAAGAAGGCGATGGCGAGAACGGCGCAGAAGAAGAAGAGGAAGAGGAGGAGAATGAAGAAGACGATGAGGCGACGATTGCCGTCGAACCTCGTAAACTTCGCAATGGCAAAATCGTGGGCGAAGAGGATGTTGATATGGTTGAAGAGGAGGAAGGCATCGAAGAGGATGAGGATGCCAACGCCGGAGAGGACGGCGAGGATGAAGAAGGTGATGAAGAAGGTGACGAGGAAGGTGAAATTGATGATGCCGAAGAGGTAGAGGAAGAATCGATTGTGGACGACGCGAGCATTGACCTAGATGCCGAAGGAGACACGGATGAAGAAGTGGAAATGGAAGACGAGGATAGTAGTAAGTTCTTGTCTGTAGAACCAAGACATGATGCTAATGGACTTACTTCTTCCAGTTGACTTGACCATTGCCACGGCGAAGACTCTTGTCCGCCTTCGTCGAGACGATCTCGTCAGGCTATGTGAAAGTCGGGACCTTGAACCCACAGGAACCAAACCTCAGCTCGCCGAAGCCCTTCTTCAATGGCGGGACAACCAAGCGAACGACTTTTCCTGTCCGTCTTCAACCGGTACCGCTCACCCTCCGTCCACGATCAAGAAACGGGGGCATCGCCGGCGTCATTCGCCTAATCGGAGTCGGAAAAGCAGTCAAAAGACCGCGACTCCTCCTGTGTTGCTACGGTCGGACAGGGTGCATATCGGTGAACCGAAAACTCCTCCGCTGTTGAACGCCGGAATGCAGAACGATAAACCTGTTGGTGAACCGGAACTTGAGCTGGATCTCGGGACGCTAGGCCTTGAGGATAGAGAGATACCGCCTGAGAAGCTGCAGAAACTAGAGAAGATTGGCAGTGGCGGGTTCAAAGATGTCTTCATCGGCAAGTTCAAAGGAAGAAGAATTGCCATCTCGGAGTTTAGAGGACAACTGAGTGCCAGTACGTGGTTGTCCCGCTCACCTTTGGCTTGGTTGCAAGTCCTTATTTTTTCCTACAGTGGACATCAAAGAGTTGAAATTGCTGGGTGGATTCGATCACCCCAATATAGTCCGTTTCGTGAGTGTATCTTTTGTTTACTATGGAACGAGCAACCTGACAAAACGTGTCTTTGGCGTGTATGGTCTAGCTCGGAGTCAGTATTCCTGAAAGTACTCGTGATACTCCAGTCATGATCGTCAGTGAACTATGTACGAATGGTGATCTGTTTGATTATATCCGCAATGTCAATCCCCCTTCTCTGCACAAAGTGGTATGTTGCCGATTATTTGTTCTTGGTGCATGTTATCTTATCATCTCTCTTCAGTTGCACATCATGCTCGACATCGCCCGCGGCCTGGAGTATCTCCATCTCCGCAAGCCGTCCATTATCCACCGGGACTGCAAATCGTCCAATATCCTCATCACCTCCAAGGGTACCGCCAAGATTGCTGACTTTGGGCTCGCCAAAGTCAAACAGTCAACGCGTTCGATGGTGCGCTCGCTCGTCGGGACCGTAAACTGGCAGGCACCAGAGTTATGGCACGCGCATCCCAAGTATAATCATAAAGTGGACGTCTTCTCTTGCGCATGTGTGTACTGGGAGATGCTGCAATGGCATCTACCGAATAAAAAATTCCCCTGGGAGGTAGGTCTCTAGTTGTCACAACCAGAAGGCTTTTGAATAATCTCAATGCTGAAGGGTATGAACGAACATGCTATTTATGAGATTGTCGGGACGAAGAAGCAACGGTAAGCTCTATCATGTGGCTATGTGCATTCGCTAATTCTTTCTTTCAACTCAGTCCCACATTATCCGGTCTTCGAAAACAGTGGTGTCATGAAATCGTCGACTTCATCGAACGTATGTGGGCACAGGAACACCAAGACCGCCCTACAATGTCAGAAGTCGTCGAGACGCTAGAAGATTTAATCAAATTGTATTGAATCCACATATCATATCGACGACTGTTCTATCTCTGGCGCAAAATGGTTTCAATTTCGTAAGGTCTTCAATAACTTTGGCATTAGTAAATCTTGCATACATCTACATCTACATCCTCTTTTTTTTTTCTTCAACGCGGTTATCCTCCGTCAACATTGTTCTTGTGATAATAGCTGCACTTTACGCTATTTCCCGTCTCTTCACCATTTCTTTCTGAGTGGTATAAGGGTATGGGACTCAAAAACGTGTTTATCGTTTCAATCTCTTTTCGCTATACTATCTTTTTCTGCTCGACAATGTTCATGATTCCAAAAACTCGTCATCAAATATGTATCAATTCTGCATAAATCGAAGGTTATTCTTACTGAAGTTTCCCCAATGTACTGTCATTTTCTTCAATTTCGATTTACTCACTTGGGTTACTTTGCTCAATCCAATGAAAGCAATACTTTCGATTGTTCGCATCGGAATCTTGAAGCTATGGCAACTTCAATTTTCGCAGATGACAAGCTTTACACTGGGATTCTGTTTGTAGGAGATGGACCCAGTGAGGAACCGAAAATCCTGCAGCTGCATATCTATGATTCCATAACTTTATTGCTCTCTCATACTCTGCGGGTTGAGCTCGCCGGAGGCTCAAGACCAGTTGTTCCGTCTTGGGACCACCTTTTGGTGGCGCCATGTATCTATCTATCTATCATAGAACCTCATAGAACCCTTGTCTTCGCCACTGTAGCTCGCTTTAATCTGCTCGCATATTGTGCTGTGTAGAGCAGGCCGTGGATTCTGACTTTCAACAAAGGACATATAAATGCGTATCATATTGAGTCTGTAGAAACTTAGACGGTCCAAGAACACGCATTATCCGCCTCGGGCATTCGCAGCAGGAACAGCAACAACTGAGAACAACTGGCCACTGCTGTAAAGATGGCCACTATGTAGCACAAACTAGCACAAACGAGAACTGAGACAGTAGAGTTTCAATGGGAGGATACTGGATATTCTTGACCACGCGATTACCGCGAACAATTTGCGACTGTCCGATTGACAAGAGCAGGGTTGAAAGCGCTTGAAGGTTTAGGAAGCCTTAGGTCGAATCAGGATTATCCGCATAAGAGACTGGTTAATATTATTGAGGCAATCGATAAGCACGTGCCTTTTGAAGTTAAAACAATCACCCACTATGGCGAACACGGCGTTGAAGACATTCAGCATCGAGAACGACATTGTAGAGCTCTCTCCACAAGATGATATCTATAAGTTTGACCCGGAAGCTGACAGAAAGATAAATCGCGAGTCACCATGGAGCAAAGAGTCAGTCGTTCAGAAGATCGCAACTGGGCTGGATATCTGATGAGCGTTTACAGCCCTCATTACTTTAAGTCATGCAAAATATCAGCCGTCGCACTGATCAAGATGGTCAGTAGATGTCGCTTAATCTCTCAGCTCAAGAAATTGAGTGGCTCCCCTTTCAATTGATATGGTATAGGTTATGCACGCTCGTTCAGGTGTTCCATACGAAATCATGGGCATGTTACAAGGAAAGGTCGTTGGAACGTCGCTGGTCATTCTAGACTCCTTTGCGCTACCTGTTCAGGGCACGGAGACGCGTGTAAATGCCGGTGCAGAGGCAACAGAGTATATGGTGGCGTATTATCAAGGTAGCCAAAGTGTACGTGGTCCACTTCTAGTTATCTCCATCGATCCTAATTCAACATCCGTTTGCAGGCTGGAAGACCGGAGAATTTAGTTGGCTGGTATCATTCTCACCCTGGTTATGGCTGTTGGCTATCTGGTATAGACGTCAGCACTCAGATGAACAACCAAAAGCATACAGATCCGTTTGTTGCTGTGGTTGTACGTCTCGTCTCCTTATTCCCCAAGCTTTTCACATAAATAGGTCTGTAGGTTGATCCAAATCGCACCATGACCGCAGGCAAAGTCGACATTGGCGCCTTTCGCACGTACCCGGAGAACTACACTCCTGCAAACGTTGCTTCATCCGAATACCAATCCATCCCTTTAAGTAAGATCGAAGATTTTGGCGTACACGCAAATCAATACTATCCGCTGGAAGTGGAAATCTTCAAATCAAGTCTCGAGACGCAGTTATTGGACTTGCTTTGGAACAAATACTGGGTTAACACTCTCAGTCAGAGCCCATTGGTTTCTGTAAGTCCAGAACGCATCTAGCGTTGACTAGTTCTGATCTTCCAACAGAACAGAGCATATGCTGTATCTCAGCTAGCTGATCTGAACCAGAAGTTGTCTAAAGTTCAATCATCTGTAGCTGGAACGAAAGCATCGCTCCCAGTGTCTGCAAAGGACTTGAAAGACGTGAAGGTCATTGTCCCCGATCGTTACTAATACTTCCTGCTGTATTCACTCATTGCAAGTTCTCACAGCAAAAAGAATCATCAAAGGAGGAAAAGAAGAAAGAGAACGAACTCGCGAAGAGTGTGAAAGACAGGTATGGCTTTTCATTTGTTTTCGCGATTGTAACTCTTTTGACTGTCTCCACTTACAGTAACAAAATTGCTGCTGAAGCCCAGCACGGACTCATAGCTCAAATCATTAAAGACGTCATTTTCTCGATACGACCGGGAAGTGGAAAAACTGATACGTCCCAGATAGGGGAAAGTATGAACATCGGTTGATCAATAGGGGTTTGCACCTTCCTACTTTTGTAATCACTAATGCATGTTGTAAATCATTTTGTAGAAACAAAGAATATTAGTTTACATTTTTGCTTTATAACTTGGAGCCTTTCTGCGATATTCCTGCTTCCAGCATAGAATCAAATAGTCGAAATGATCTTTCCCGAAGTCCTTGATTCTACAGCAAGATAGGTAGCAAAGTGACCAACGCTCAAATCATGTAAACAACGATGGAAAACAGACGCGCAATGTACGTGTCCTCCGTGACGAGGAGTGAAAGGTTAAAGCTTCCGAAAGATGTTCCCGAAGATCAGATAAAGTTCACACCACCCCAAGTTGAGAGCAAACGAACCATTATCCAAGTGGAAAGCAAGGATATCGGGAATTCTTGGTACGTACTTCATTCCTAAACTATATGCGTATAATTCAGCATTTGTTAATAGGAAACGTTCTGCCATACCAAATATGAGGTCGCTTACTACTGAACGGAGCGAAATCTAGGCCCATCTTGCTGGTACTTGCCTCCAGTAGCCATCTATCAGGATCAAATGTGCGGGGACCGGGAATGGCTTCGGGGTTCATGTGCAAGAGCAGATTACTCATTTCCACGATGGTCTTTCCAAAATGAAGGATTCCGTCAGCGACAGTGAATTGTACTACTCTCGAGAAGGGCTGGTGTTTTTATTAAGCTCGTCACTGCAAGCAATTGAACCGTGTGGAATATTCAAGTTCCGAGTCTGAGATATTGGCACATATACTAGCTACCAGTCGACTGCATATAGAAAATTCGAGCCATAGTTCGCTGGTTAGGTCGACAAAGAAGCCACACTCCAACCACTGCCAGTGTTGACTGCCTCGCTGATTGTATTAGGGGCCCCCGCGCTCACGAACCCTACTCGCAAAGTCGGTGGAGAAGTAGCAGAGCTCGCCATGGCATACAACATTTGACTACCTGCAGCACCAACAAACCCCTTGTTTGTGACACAGGTGAGACAATCTGCACCTCCTTGAATACCAAGTACATCGTCCCAATAGTACTGGCTCAGGACATTTTCCGGAGAAAAGAAGAAGGTGTGAACCTAATAATTTATTGGCTATTCAGTGTTTGGAAGTCTCCGATTTGTGGAAAATGGTGGAATGTAGGTACTACAGACCTGAATGAAGGTATCTCCATCTGCGACTAAGGAAACTGCCACGGGAGAATTGGACCTGACCTGCGACGAAGGAACCAGGACAGTAGATTTTTCAAACACTCCGATGGTAAATGCATTCGAGATGTCCATTTGGATAATCGAGCCGTCGTGTTGGTCTTGATAGTACAGGCGTGTGTCACCGTTGGGGAGCTGTATAGATCCCATGTTGGTACCGGAGACTGGAACGACGGCATCTGTGGTCAAATTGTTGGCGAACGCCCCGAACAGGTACGTTAAAGACATTGATAAAATCTGTACAATAAGGTAAGGTATAGAATCAGCAATGGCTTGAACGTCAAACATCATTCGAGGGATTGGGACTCACCACGGAAAATTTCATAGTGAACATTGTATAGTGAACGCAAGTCAGAAGTTGGTTGAGGAAGCTGACTGGGGTAACACAGAAGAGGAAGTCGACAATATAAGTACTTCTTGAGAATTGATTAATATTCAAGCTGTCTGGCACAGAAGAAGAAAAAAGTAGGATTAATGAATCAGTACAGTAGACTGTCACGATTCTCTCATTTTTGGACTACATAGAAAGGCCTAAGACATCATTAAAAAGGTGTTGACGGTGTCACTGTAAGCAGCAAAAATGCTGTTCATCAGTTGGAGATGTAGATGCGAAGTACAGGCGTACCTCGAGCTGAATATTTTCAATACAAAATTCGAAGTGCATTCGCAAAGACTTTGGATAGAGCGTGGAGTATATCAGCCAGGAATCAGTATCAGTCAGAATGACTCTTACTTAGTATCGTCCGATATGCTCGAAGAGAGACAAAGTTTACGCGGTCTGCGGGTCTGATCATTTGAGTTTAAGAGCAACGTTGTCATAATCATGTTCAACCCGAAGGTATTGGACCTTGGAGAAATTGTCAGGTATTATGAGATAGAAGGAGGGCTGATGATCGATTAAAAGTGCCTATTGCCTGCCACTGCGAGAACGAACAGACAGAGGTGGAGGCATCGCTTAGTTGCTTTGAGTTGGAACCTTTGAGAGGCATCGCTGGAAGGGTCAAAGGTGATTCGGCAGGTTGTCTTCCCTCCTCTTCCGTCCCGTTAACAGTCTCTGCGACGTCCAAGACTGCCTACCCTCGCACGTAACGAAATGTGAATGTGTAGCCGACGTGATTTATGATGAGACCGAAGAGACGAGAGCAGACAAGCCTCTTCTCAATTAAGCTGAGGATCCTCATACACCAGCTTTCGTTTTAGGATTAGGGTGCGTCCTGAGGGGGATGTGGAGAGGTTGAGGTGGGTGGAGAGGTTGGTTAGGGAAGGGGGGAACTGGGCAAGCTAGGACGACACTCACATTTCATGCGTCAAAGTCTGTCTCATCATTTCATCCGCTAGTCTAATGAGCAGTCGTCGCCGTTATGCAAAAGCAAAGCAAAAGTCTGGCAAAAGTGCAACGCAAACCGGAGTCCGGATCGGCATGGTTTTACACCGGGACGGGAAGGGGGAAGACCGGTTCTGGCGCTTATAGCTTTGTTCTCGACTTCGATAGTTCACTAGAGTACGACACTACTAGAAATTTGTGTGACAACGTACTCGGCGCATGGAGAAGAAATAAGTCTTTTCGACGCAACTAGAACTATGGCCGGGCCTCATGGTTTTATCACAGCGTATACTTTGGACAGAAGCTGTGTTATCCTCATCATCCTAGGTTAACACTGATCCTACCTTTCTTCTCGTACGGGCGACGCGACGCTCAGTTATACTCCTCCCTAGTAAAATGATTGGATTGTCAAAGATATCCTGCAACTTCTTCTGTAAATTGTCTTTAGGGGGTGCTTGTTGTTGTAATCCCTTGTGGTCCGGTCCGCCAACGTCTTGGTAGGTTATCTGTCTCGTCTGTGTCCAAAAGATCGGTGGATGTCGATGAGCGTCGGGCCAACGCTCAAAGCAGATATTTGGGCGCTTATACGAAAGTGTGGCAATCTGCAGGTCTATTGAAATGGTAAGATCCTGATATCTAGCTCCCTCAACATGCCACTTCAATCTCTTCGACCACGTAGTCATCAGCTTACTCGGGAAGTGGAACCGTAACAACGTGCTCCGCGCAGTGAAAATATTAAAAGATCAAATTTTCTGGGGAAATCTTTTGTCAGTCGATCTCTTAGATCGTCCTAATGAGCACAACCAATGTCGAGCGTATGCTTATATCGGAATTGAAAGAATGCTAATTCTGGAATCTCTATCATCCTCAATATCCTAGGTTGAAGTCGGTTCTGCTCTTCAAGTCGGCCCTGCTCTTGATATCCCCCTTCCTCAGCCTGACCTATTGTATGGTAAAATATAGCCATATTGCGAACTTTCCTTCAACACTATTGTTAGCAACGGGGGACATTGTTATGGTTCTGGATTTGCAACCGTGAGGATGGTGGTATGGGCAGTTGGGGAAGAAGAGAGGATAGTTCCCAATGCTCAACGAAGAAAATTTGCCCACCAAAGGTGTTACAGAAATCTCTCTTCGCGCTCCTTTACCCATACCCGATGTCCTTACGGAGGCCACCATTCTTCAAAGTTTCGACATCGTCATTTCCAGTATCATCTTCATCACCTGATTCTGCCTTGGATAGGATAGGATAGGATATAAATTATACTGGCGAGGTCCGTTGCTCGAACAACCAGTTTACCATACTACTGTACATTTACATATGCGTCTATGTCTCCTGTACAGCTATGGAACACACACTCTTATTATGGGGGTCGTAATGTATGCTTGAAGTCATCCTGCCCTCCCTTGGCATTGACGATACACCCTTTCCCAATTCAGTAGTGCATGCTGAATTATGTTGCATAGACAATTTCTGTGGCATAAAATATTTCCAATACCTTGCAGTCGAGCACGTAGACCATCATTATCTGCCAAAGCTGCTTCAAGCTTGGTGGAGACGTCATCGAGCTTGGCCCACAGCTTCCTATTCTCCTCCCGAAGAGTGTCGTTGTGTGAGTTGATGGTGGTGGTGACCTTTTTGAAGGCGTCAGCTATCGACGTTTTTCGGTCCACCCTCACCTCTTCGCGTAGATCCGAAAGCCCTTTGGATATGAGAGATCCTATTCTCGTAAACTCCTTTGTGGCGTATGTGCATACCTCCATGACATCCTTTGGCTGGGGGAGAGTTTTCGAAAACCTTCATAAACCTCTACTTTGTCCTTAAGCGTACGAAATTCCTTGTCCAAGGTCCGCTTCCAATCTACACCGTCCTTTAGCAAATGGTTGTTGCCTTCAAGTGCCTTGATACGCGTCCTAATATCACGTAGGAGAGACGCTGCAGGCACTTTCGGGGAACCTGATCCGTCAGAGATGACAGATTCGTCTACGTGGGCACCCAGTCCAGACACTTCCAGTGCATCTACACGCACTCTCAGCTCCCCGATTTCACCCCGAACCCTTTCTTCGTTCTTGCGTTGTATTTCTACCAGCTCTAATTGATGACCTCCCAGAGCAAGCGTGTTGCGGTTCAGAGCAGACGCCACGACAGCCGTCGACCTCTTCTTCCCCAGTATTTGAACCTTCAATGCGTCAGCAATGGCAGCCTGATCATCCGGAAGACATTCTGACGAGGGTGGTGAGGGGTCGTCGTCGTCGGAAAGGATGGACAAGGATGAGTTGTCGTTGGTCTGCAAGCGAGTGGAGGATCGGCGGTTTGGCATGGGCTTCTTCTGAGGAGAGGTCACTTTCTCCTTTTCGATTGCCTTCTCTTTCCCTTTGAACTTCTCGGCCGTCGCATTTGCTTTAACCTTGTCTTTTGGTTTACTTTTCTCGGTGCTACCCTGTAAACTGTCCTTATCGCTTCGGTCATGTCCCTCGGGCTCCTCCGATGCGGTTTGGTGAGGAGATTTTGCCCGCGAATGGTCATTCGATGTACGATCTCCCAACGTCCAAGAGTTTGGGGATGATTGGTGTTCTGGTGAGGTTGCAGAGTTTTTAGAGTGACTGTTTTGCCTGAGCTCGGCTTCGCCCGTGGATGCAGACATATTAACAAAATCAAGAAAGAGTTCGGATTATAAACGGGGTGTTAAGTTTCGAGGACGCGTTTGCAAAAGCGAGCACGTAGTTCGGTAGCAAGTAGAGTTTGTTTTGGTTTCGAATCCCACGCCGTAACAAGATTCAGTCTGGCACCCGAATTGCCTTGCAATTTTACGTTCGAGCTCCAGCACGTACACTCCGTGTACAGTTTCTTGAGCACTACTTTGTTTTGTTAAAAATCCAGATCCAAGTCCTTCGAGAACACCGTTGAGGGGGCAAGAATCCAAGCCCTCCCGGGCACCCAGATGATTTTTCGCGAGTAACCAAGCTCTTATGAGCACAAAAGTCCAAGCTCTTCCTGAGCACACAGTCCAAGCTTTTTGTGAGCACTATGATCCCTTCCTGTATGTCCAGTCACCAAGCTCTCCAAGCACTCAGTCACGCAAGTCGAGTCCTACTATTCAAGTCCAGGCTATGAGGCGCAGAATCCACCAAATCCGGGGGTGATCGCTAATCACTCGTTGTCGAAGCGTACTATTTTGCCGGTTGTTGTTGTTATTGACAAGGATGGTTTTACTCTAACACCAGTATCGAAACCCGATATCTCTGTGCACCAGTAGATGTTCTACCGTGAGAGAATCAAAGGACCTTGGTACACCATGCGTTGATGTGCCAGGCCTCCCAGTCCTATTTCGTCAACCCCGAACCATATAGCGTTCGCTTTGTGCGAATCCGTTTCTCCTACTGCTTGAAAACATATTGAAATTGAGCTGCTTCAAAGCTATCAAGAAGTGAATTAGTGCGGGTTCAAAACGAAACTAGTAGTAAACTGCAGACTGAGATAGCATCCATACACAGCAAGAAAAAATATCCAAAACCTATGCAAATGAGGTACCCTACTAGTACTGGGGTGGCAATTAAGAATTAGTAAATCAACGTAAATGCAGTGAATCAATCATATCATACAATGAAAATGATAAGGTGAAGTGAATGTTCGTGCTAGAAGGTAACAAATCCTACGGTCGTGAGAAGGCATAACAACTACAACGGCGTTGGTTTCTTCCCCATGAACTGTTTATAAATTTTCAAGTCCGGCACTGGTTCTGGTTCTGCTCTCATGGCTATATGAGCTGCATAGTCTTTCGCCAAAGCACGTCCAGAACCATTCTCTTTCGAATTCGCATGTGAATGACTCTTCGTGAACGATCTAGCCGTCCTTAACATCGCGGTTGGGTGAAGTTTCCTGAGCTTGCTTGGTGTTGTTGGACGTGTGCTTGTCATTGCTTTCATAGCATCCTGGCGGGGTTCGATGGACTTCGACCTGAACCCCTTCCTAGGTGTCGAGGTCGATGGAGGAACAGTAAGACCACCCGTCTGTCCGTGATGTATGTGAGCTTTGGTCTCCGTAGTCGGGATACGTCCTCGATGACTGTGATCGTGATCATGATCGTGATCATGGCCGTGCTGCTCGATAGACTGAGAACTTCCACGTAAATCGAGATTGGACCTTGACTTCGGCAGAGTGTGTGGCGAGCTCAGCCTCCCGATGCGCACATCTCGCTGCCGACTCACCGCCTCAGCTTTAGCCCTACACGCTGCACATCTCTCAATATCTGTATAACGAGAATCGTCTGGATGGAAATGGGGAAGTTCGAATTGGGGGCCACTGAGACTGTTATTCGTGAAATTTCCGAGCCCATTGATTCCATTCCCGTTTTGATATCTGGAGGTAGGGGTCGAGGCCACAGATGGAGTAGTCGGACGAGAATGCCTCCCTAATTTTTCCCCGGGGGTGGTAGGAGTCTTAGCTCGGGTGCGTTCAGTACGTTTGGCTTGAGCCTGAAAATTAGGATGTTCGGGTTTCGACTTAGTTTTTACTGGTGTAGAAGGAGGCTTTGAATTTGCTGAACCTTCCGCCTTTTCCTCCGGCATAGACTGCTCCCGCTCCCTCACCTCCTTCTCTGCACGTTCCCTCTCCCGTCTTGCCTCTTCTTCTACACGTTCCCTCTCCCTTTCTGATCTTAAACGGGCCACTGTCCTCCTCCCAACCATCCCACGCAACGCCCTTTGTATTGATATTGCAGCGGCATTTTCCCTTTCTTCACGCTCTCTTTCAGCCCGGAGACGAAGTCCCTCCAAGATCGCTAGAACGCGTGAACGGAAAAAAATTTTCGTCCGACCATATTGATATAGTTTAGACTTGGATTCGGACAGGGTTGGGTTGTCATTGTTCGTGGCTGCAGCTGGACCGATGATGATATGTACAAGGTCTTGATGCACCTGATGTAGAACGGCAGCAGTTAGCTGGCGGTTAGGGTCGTCGGTGTCGAGGTCGCCGTGCTGCTCTTGATTCGAGGAAAACGATGAGGAAGAAGTCGGTGTGAGGGGAATCAAAGTCGACGGATGGGGCAAAGAACGATGTTGTGATGAAGGAAGCAGTAAGCGGTATCTAAAAGGTTGCGGAAAAATAACTTTTAGCAAATGAACCTGTGATCATAGAACGTCACACTACCTTTCCACAAAATCCTCATATCTCCACCTCGTTGGATACCCCTCACTCGTAATTCTAATCGTCTCCAACACCCCACATGCTTTCAATTGAGCTGCAACTGAGCTGCCATCGAATAACCAAGGTGTCTTACTCTCATTCGGCTTGATACATCGGATGTAGTGTATCGACGTCCGTTTCAGAGCCTCAGTCAGTGTGAGCAAAGACAGTTTGAAGACAGAACATTGCGTGGGTTTGCGGCCTGATACTGCCTTACTTGGCCCGTTTGCGCTGACCGCGCCTCCTGGTTTGGGGGACACTACTCCGCTCGGCCCGTTTTTTGAGGCATGCGGATTCGCGTGACTATCAATACCCACATTGGACCCAACCTCTACAACCTCTCTCAAAAACTCATTCGTCGAACCCATAAGCAAATCCCTATGCTCATCCGGCACCGTTCCCCGGTTCTTCTCCAGGAATCCATCGATATTATATGACACATCTCCGGCATAATGCGCTATGGTGAATGCTTCGTTTCCGTGTAGGTGATCTTTGAAAATGGCTTTATGTTGCGAGGAAGGGGATTTGAGTTGACTGTTGAGCTTGTCGATGAAGGAATCGTCTGTTCCGGTAGCGAGACGGGATTCTTCATCAAGTAAGGCGAGAATACCGAGTTTGCCTTCTATAAGATCAATGCAAGGTTGATTGTCGGAAAATTCGATGGTGGTCCAGTCGATGGATTCTAAGGCGTATTCGGCTTGCTCAAGTTTGAAGACGTGGGAAACGAACTGGGTGACGCACCAAAGTCAGCTCAAAAAAAATGATAACAGAAAGAGCAAGGCATACCTGCTGTTGTAGCTTCTCATTGGCGTAATTGATGCAGAATTGCTCAAAAGAGTTCTGATTTGTATGATCAATACAGATCATGTCGAAAGAATATAGGCTCACCGTCTGGAAATGTTCAAAACCGTAAATATCCAGCACTGCAATGAATGTTCTCTCCCTTCGTCCCTTGTCGTCACTCTCCCCTTGGCCCTCACCCATACTATCCTCTTCTTCCATCCCTCCACCCTCGCCCAAACTCTCATTGATCCTCTTCACCAACCAATCAAAAACACTATTATAGATAAACTTTGCCACTCCATCCCTCACACCCACCGCTTGATCCACTGTTCTCGCAGACTCATACTTCTCTCCTCTAGCATCGATGACCTTCTTCGTCGTACATCGAGCAAATTGCTCTGCGCTGATACCAAGTAGCTCCGTAGCTTTGGCTAAAGCATGATCACTTTTAGAATCGATTATCGCATCTTTGGCATCTCGCCTGTGTTGTATGTCGATGTTACCGAGATGGAGGATACCAGCTAGGAGACGGAAGATAGACAGTTGGTTTGCGGAGTCGATACCAACAACGGACAATGCTTGACGGGTTGCAGCAAAGTTGGCTGCATCGTCGACATTGTCAATCTTGAAAGAGGAAGAAGACGACGAGAGGTATCGGAATCCTTTCCCGTCTGTCAAGTCCGAGTTTAATCCGTCTAATCCAAATTGAGCGCGTTCCGAGTCTGGCAGCTTAGAGACTCCCTGGCAGAGCTGGTAGAATATATGGTAGTTTCGTTCGGATCGTTGTTGAAAGGATATTCGTGATCGCTCGAGAAGGTAGGTACGGATACGAGCTCCGACGATGGAAGAGTTGGAGTCGAAAAGGATCTGCACGAGGGGATGTTTTAGCCCTCTGCTGTACTATTCGAAAGGTGAGTAAGTTGAATTACATGCCTGAATATATTTTCCGAACCGGGAAGAATTATCGTTTCTTGACGTTTTGGCATTACCGAATGCCTCAAGGATGGGGTTCGTAGCGAGAACTTGATGTTCGACGGATGAGGCAGCCTCTTCTGGTATCATATCGGACACGTTGGATTTCATAGAAGCCATATACCTCATGATATATTTCGCCGATTCCGTCTTCCCAGCACCACTGGAAGGAATCTAAACTAAGGCTTTTACACATATGAATAAAACACGATGTTTACCTTTCCCCAGAAACGATTATCGTCTGGTCCTGCGAATCTCTCTGCATAGCTCTGTAAGCTTCTTCGGCAATAGTAAACAGATGAGGTTCCAAGTTCAACTCGTCCCGTTTCTTTCCCGCTGCCCCAGCGTACATCTGGATAACATTCTGCCCATAGATAGGGACGTCTGTAAAAGGATTGATGGCGACAAGGACTATTCCACTGTAGGTGTAGAGTTGTTTGTGGGTGGTATATCGATTGTGGATGACATGGAGGACTGAAGATTGAAGAGCGTGTCAGAAGAAGCATCGAAGAGACCAGGAGCGTTCAGAACGCACTGGATGGTTCATTCAAATGAGGAAGCTGAGTCAAGTCGTTCACTTGATCGTACTCGGGCGCGTTACAAAGAGGCGGAAGGGTCTTTCTGGTATCCTTGGTGGCATTTCGAGCAATTTCGTTGAGCGTAGTTTTCAGTGTAGTCTCCTGCATAGAAACTCATCTCTATGTTGTACATACTAATGGTGCGAGATAAAACTACAACGTACCTTGTGTCTTTCATTGAGAAACTTCAGCTCCACTATTCCATCCTCCTCAGCTGACAATAAGCAGGACAATACCTCCCCGCGAATCCATCCTTGCTCTTTGTCCTCAAACCATACCTGTGTTCCTTTACTGTATATCGATTCCGCCATGAAAGCAGAAGGGAAAAGGCTTGGTTGAGAATCGCTGTCGCATTAAATTATTGAAGCTGCATAGATTTCCTCCGATGTTGTTCTAGGTAACTGTTAGGAATGAGGGTATCCTCAGGCAGGTGGTCTTGATGGTAACAAAATGGACGGCTTTCAATTAATATTTATTTGCATGTGTTCTCTTGACGTAATGCAGCAGCGTTTTCCCCCTTCGTTTTTTTCGTTTACAATTTCAGCAATTCATCATCCCTCAATGATAGTATGGAGAACTGGTCGCTCGAACGAGCGCAGATAATTGTATTATTTTAAAATGCCTTTTCCACAACTTCGTTGGAGGATGTATCTTCAGGTACCTTCGCCCCAGCTGGACCTATGGGCTTCATCGCATCGTACATTGCAATCCACTTCTTCGGCAACTCTGTTACCTGTTTCTCAACGTTGGTCCTACTATCACGCTCGTAGACCACCTTCAACTCTTTCACTAGGAGGCCTATGGCTCTATCGATGAACTGCAGGTTGGTGTCAAATCCACGGATCATGGAACACATCATTTCGAAAGCCGACGCCATAGCCTCACGATTTTCGAAGTTGACATACACCTCGAGATAAGTAGGTGAATTGTTATTAGGCGTATTATACCTGGGAGGCTTGTCGAGCTCTTTGGGTATTAGCCGTTTGTCTTTGACCATTGATTGGAATGCGTGAGTATTGCCGACGTAAAACGCCCACTCTTCATCTGGTGCGTAGTGAGAGTAACTATGCTTGGTGCTTTGAGAGTCGGTGCGCTTGATCATCAGGTATAAACCTTGAACTTGAGGACGATTGGTTATATAAAACGAGCATTGAGGGAGGAAATGATACATACCTCTGACATTGTTCGGGAGTCGTTGCGCAGGTTGCTCTGAAGTAGCATTGAGTGTCAAAGGCATGGAAAACACCCTGTGGAAGTTGAAGACAAGGACGAGGATAGCGAGAAGGGGTAAAGACAATGTTCGAAACATGGTGCTTTATCGGTGTGAAGACAGATGGGAAATACGGTTCGTGAGCAGGATAGTCTTCAGCCTTGAGTGTTAAATCCATATGAGCGAGAGATCAACACACAGTGCACAATCAACATACCAGAAAATGCAGTGTGTGCGTTGTCATAAAGTACGCAGCCCCTATCATTTTCCCTTTCTCACCGTCTCGACGCCTTTACTTGTACAATACATCATCCCATCGCTGTCAATCTCCATCGATTACTGATCTATCTATTACTGATCCACCTGACCCACCTTCTCTTTCTATCGGCTTCCGCCTCCTTCCTTGCCCCTGAACTGTACAGTATTACATCGTTGTTTCTCGCAGACTAGATTATGTATATATAGCCAACCCTCCACAGCCTGGTCCCTTATCTTGACCTCTCTGTCATTATCTGGGACCAGGTATGTGCTTACTTATTATTACCTATGACTACGATACTCAATATATCTCTGTCATTATCTGGGACCAGTTCGCCTCCGCTCCGCTTAGTCGCTCTGCCTCACTCACCTGCTTAGTTGCTCCGCCTCACTGCCTGGCTTAGTCACCCCGCTTCCTGCTCTGCTAGTCACTCCGCCTCTGCCGCTTCATGACATGCGTGAGGATAAATAATTCGTCCAGCGAATTGTTCAATTAATTTTGCTTCGTGTGTCGGTCTCGAATTTTCGAGTAAAGAGTTGACAACTATGTAACTGCGTGAAAGCAAAAGCAAAAGTCAAATCAATTTTTATAAGAGACAGGGCAAAGGCTCAACACACCGAACCAGCGCCAGCGCAAGGGAAAGAAGTAAATCCTAGTAGTCCAACTCAATTAAGAGTTTTTTTTCGAGTGAAATTTCGAGACTAATATCGGCTAGCGTGCCGCAAGCCCATTTGGGAAATCCATCAATCGGATCCGTAAGCCATCGAGCTGAGCGAAGTGCTACTTATCGACGAACGCGTTCTACCTCTAATGATCATCTATGGCACGCTGCCGCCGCCGACAGCCACGTAGATCTCTGGAACATCTTGCTCGTGCAGCTGCTGACCTCGAAACTCTTGCCATTTTATTGCTCAGTGATGCCAACAACAGCGAAGAAGAACTTGTAGCTCTTGCTATTTTGAAGATAGCACTTTCCAAAGATAAGGATGCTCAATGTAGCTCGAGATATGGCAGTCGTGGATCTTATAGTTGGAAGAAATGCGAAGAATTTTTTGATTTATTGCTTCATTCATTCCCTGTTCGCTGGTTTAAAGCATGGCTACGGTGAGTGTTAATGTAAGGCTAAAATTTTCACTAAATACTGTTTCAGAATGGGTCGTGATGCCTTCTGGCACCTGCATGACCTTATTGCTGCTGATGCAGCTTTCCAATCCACAGCAAATCGTCCTCAACGCCCTGTCCGCTATCAGCTGGCCACATTCTTATGCAGAGTCGGGGCTGAAACGGCGGTGAAGACAGCTAGTGTAATGGCAGTTGCTGAGGGATCTGTATACAACTATGTACAGCGTGTCATTGGTGCAATACGTCGTTTATGGTCCGATTACCTTGCATGGCCTGGAGAAGCTCGAAGGCACTTCATTTCCGAGAAGTTTGCTGAGCAAGGATTTCCAGGCTGTCTCGGGACAGCAGATGGGTGTCTGTTCAGACTCACGAACCAACCACTTGTGAACCCATATGCATATTGGTGTAGGAAAAAGTTTTACGCGGTGAGTGATTGTTGATTCATTCTCGGCTCATTTCTTATGTCTCAAATAGTTGATCATGCAAGCCACAGTTGATCATCGTGGTGTGTTCACATCGCATGAACTGGGATGGCCAGGTTCTGTTCAGGACAGTCGGGTTTTTCGAAATTCACATCTATGGTTGCACCGCGAGAAATATTTTCGTGCACATGAATACATATTGGTTGATAAAGGTTCGTCAATATAGTCCTCTGCCTCATTCCTTAACTGAAGCTCCCGTACTGCAGGATATCCATTGACAAAGTTTACAATCCGCCCATTCAATGACTACGATCTCACATCGAATCCAGTTGAAGCACGTCGCCGCAAAAAGTGGAACCGTCAGCTCTCTTGCATGTGCATTTTTGTTGAGCACGGATTCGGTCGTCTAAAAGGCCGATTCCCTATACTACGCTGCATTCCCAGCCGTCACTTGGGCGAGGCCTATAAGATGATCGAGTCATTAATGATTGTCCATAATATACTTGAGGTAATTGGAGATGATCCTTATACAATCACTGGTTTCACGGGCAGCGGTGGAGAGCAAGAGGTCACTGATTCTACTGTTGAGGGTGCAGAACGAGATGCTGATCTTGAAGGGGATGACTTCTATCGCACTGGCCTTCTTCGTCGTAAATTACTTATGGATAAATATTCAATGTTTTAACTGCATTAAACCAATTGTCATTCACAGGTGACGGCCCAGCTTTTCCCGGCCGGGAAATATAAAGGGAAATGTTGGGGAGAAATTGCTGATTTCCCCTAAGTAATTAAATACTTTTCCCCGAGGATATTGATCAGATTTCACGTAAAAAAAACAAAAAGTTTCCCGTTTGATCAATGTTCTATTGATCGTGAGAGAAAAATTGTATTTCCCACAAGAGAAAGATAATCTTTCCCATAAAGTAAAGATAATCTTTCGCGTTCGGTAAAGATTATCTTTCCCACATGATAATCTTTATCTTTCCCAAATGATAAAGATTATCTTTCCCACATGATAAAGATAATCTTTCGCACTAGGTAAATTTCACATTGCGCGCTTGTAAAATTTTCAATTTTTCCATGGCGAAAACAAATAGGTCCAAGCACCCATCTTCAGTGGCACCTATTAGTGTAGATATTTAAATATATATATGTAACATTACAAGCATAAATGCTACAGGTATTGCTCCGGCATCTTCTCCAAACTGTAGAGAGGAAATATCTTTTTGGACACACGCAGCTTATCTCGCTCGTACTCTGGCAAAGACTCGAGGTAACCATCCGCAAAGAAAGAAACTGGCCACCCGCTAGGCGGTTTCCGCGCTGACTTCCTGCACCTAAGATTGTCTCGAATTCTACGCTTGCTTGTCCTTCCGCTCTGAACAAAATGCATCTTTTCGACTTGAGGAACTTTATCGACAACCACGGCGATCGTCGTCATAACAGAATGGCGGAATGGCAAAGACATAGGTAGCTTCACAGCTTCCTCTAATTCCCGGTCACCAACGATCACCTTTTCCACACTGTCTTCATCCTCTGACATCCCTCCGCTCCCCATTTTTGTGAACGCGCGCAGGGCGAATGAGAAAAACTGTACTCCATTTTGGTCATCTCTCTTTCGGCACACATCCACCATTATTACACAGACCTCACAACGTGTTCGCAATTTCTGCAATAAAACTGTTATACAAAATCTGAACGAGTTTATGCTTAAGAAACCATACCGAATGTCGGGAGTTAGTCTCTCCATTGTGTTTGATACGAGAGAGATGTGAGTCAACTAGACGGTCTTGAATCCGTTGAGAGTCTTCCTTTGTTCCTGTGCCATCTATTGTGATAGGCCTTCCCTTGATCACATCGAGGTAAACACGATAGATTCGTTCACTGAATAATGCGGGCCAGTCAATCGCATCTCCAAACCTCTGATCTTTGCAACTTTTAACTATTGTCTCTGCGTTTTTGGCCATGATGTAATTAACTTGCTGGTTCCATGGCTGTTCCAGAAGATGTTGAGTAGTCAGACCACGCTTGTCTATGAACGTATTGCGAATTTTCGGGCCATGAGTCTGAGGATTCTGTTTGAATTCTTCCAACCGAGCATCTGAAACACCGGGGCGAATGAAAAGCTGGTAGTTTTTGCGACCTCCAAGAGTCTCCCTCATGATACGTCTAGCTAATTTCTGAAATAGGTAGTTAGAAGCGTTGTCAACAAGTTCCATTGATCGTGATTGCTTACATTCACTTGGTTTCTCTGCGCCGACCGTGACCAGTTACTGCGCACGCCTTTCTGCGCATAGGCCTTCGCAACACGGCTAACACCGCCCTCAACAGGGTTACCATGTTCATCCACATCTGAAGCGGACTCTGCGTCAGACGAGGAAGATTTTGAAGAGAATTCCGATCCGCTTGTGCTTATCCGACGCCTTTTCTTCTTGTGTGAGGATTTTCGCTGAAATTCATTCAGATTTAAATCATGTACATAAGTTAGTTCCCATTCACCTGCTCAGAATTATCATCGTCGCTATCGCTGGATTCGTGCTCAGGTTGCACAAGCTATGAAAGCAGTTATGAAGCCTTCAATAATGCTCTCAAGTCTACTAGGTTCACTCACAAAAGGCGAGAATTTATCCTTTTGCCAGGGAGCTCTATAGGTTGAATGGGATCTAGAGGAACTTGTGTCTTGACGTTGTTGGCTATTTGACTCATTTGGATTCACATTAGCTGATCTAGGAGAACTGCTTGACTGGGAGCTGCTGGACGCAGAAGATGGGGTCTGAAGATAATATGAGATCGAAGTTACAACCAACGACCAAGCACGAACCACAGGATCTGCCAGCTTGTAGGATGGGAACAATTTCTTCGCATAGCGCACTTCAGCATTGATGTTAGCACGAGACAAGGTGCGATTTTTGCGGCTAGATAAGAATTGGCGACCTGCTAATTGTGCATTGAATTCATCCTATCAAAACGTTAGACCGTTGAATCGAATACAGAACAGGTGTGTTCACTTTATATCTGTCACGTTCTGCTCGAAGTTCTATGATCTGAGACAGTAATGGTCCGTTTCCTGAAGATTCCTAGAGTATATCGATCAGGATAAATAAGGACGTGGAAAGAGACTACAGATATAAACCTTTAGGCAATCTCTTTCTCGTTTGAGGTTTTCAACCTCTTGTTCTAGTGATGTGACACGTTCTTGTTTTTGAGAATTGGAAAGCGCCTCCCGTTCAAGTTGCTCACGCAGCTTTGCCAAGTTATCTTGGAGACTCGATATACCTCCACCTGCGAGAACTCGAGAGTTCAGCTGATCCCTCTCATGAGTGACAGTTGCAATTTCGCTTTGTAGTGCTGCTAAGCGGGCTTGGGTAGATGAATTTGCGAGCTTTTCTTCCGCATGCTGTGCTTGTAGCTCTGCCAGTGATCCCCGTAAAGCTTGCAGTTCCTGCGTTCCGAGAGATTGTCCGGTCTCTTTCTAGGTATGTATGCAACTTCAGATCATTTCTTGAAGATAGAAGCGGGTGTTTACCTCGGTTTCATGATGCTGTTTGATCAAAACAATTTCCTGGGCCTTCTGTATAAGTTTTCTCTGGAAGAAGTTATCATGTTTGATGCTTATTCATTGAGCAAGTCGCTGAGCCTCATACCTGAAGCTCATAGTAATCTGTTTCCAAGGCATCAAAGCGGGTCTAAAGCAAATATAAGTGTTGTGAAATCAGTAAATGACTTATGTCTGCGAACCTTTGCTACATGGTTCCTCTGGTAGCCGAGAAGATGAGCTCGATCTTGTGCAGCAGAAGACTAACACATAAATGAGCCCTATTACCTCATTCAAAAGGAAGGGAACCCACCTTGAGCGAGGCATTCTCTGCTAAGAGTTTCTCCATCTCGTTTTCGTCTGGGTGCTGTATAGAACGGGCGAACTGTAAAACATGTTTTACACGAACAACGTCGATGATCTTACAGCCACTAGATCCTTGATCTCTTGCTCTAAAGCACGAATCCGTACAGCACTGGCCTGACACAAGAGAAAACTCAATGACCATCGGAATATACTGCATTTCACATTTCACTTACTTCCGTCTCTTTTTTGAGGTTACGTAGTGTAGCTCGGTCTGCTTCGACCTGGGGCTAGTAGGATGAAAGGTTCAACCTTCGTCATTCTGTTTCACATGTCAAGGCCTTACTTTTTCTACCGCTGCAATTTCTTCTAGTTTTCGCTTCTCTGCCTCGAGTGTTTTGATTTTGGAATTGAGTGCCTGTGTGTGCGCTCCGTTATTTTCGTCCCGCAACTTCTTCAGTGCTGCACGGTCTGCATCAATTTGAGGCTGAAAAAATATCGAAATCAATCTTTGCATGGCTATACCATGAGATTCTACCTTGTCGGCTGCGGCAGTTGCCTCAAGTCGTCGTTTCTCCGTCTCTAACATTTGTATGGTAGAGTTCATCATCTGCGTTTGTGATTCTGTTGAAGAAAGGCTCATTTTAAGATCTTTGATCCTGTCCTCAAGTTCACGAGCCCGGGTGTTCCCAGCCTGAAATGGAGATCTTGAGCAATGTGACATGATGAGAAGACATGGATCTTACTTGAACCTTGTCCTTGAGTATCCTCAAAGCCGCACGATCTGCTTCAATTTGTGGCTGGCAGGTATACGTAGGATCAGTGTCTATGTTCGTCGATGAGCATGCAGATACACTTACTTTGTCAGCCGCAGCAGTTGCTTCAAGCTGTCGTTTATCCTTCTCCAGTCCTTGAATGGTGGAGTCCAGTGTCTGCACGTGTGAGTCTTTTGAAGAGAGGGATGTTTCGAGATCTTTGATTTTGTCCTCGAGTTCACGTGCGCGCATCTTCCCAGCCTGGGCACAGAGGCCTTGAGCAACGTGAAATGAGAAAGAGAGTTAGACACTAAGTTTACTTTCGAATCATCCCTAAGCTTCCCCAGAGCTACACGATCAGCTTCAAGCTGCGGCTGGCAGAGGTACATGAATCACTGTTCGTCACCCGTAATCCAGATACGCATACCTTATCGGCTACGACAGTTGCTTCGAGCTGTCGTTTCTCCGTCTCCAGCTTCTGAATGGTCATATTCAGTGTCTGCATATGTGCATCCTTTGAAGAAAGGCTTGTTTCTATTTTCTCAATTTTGTCCTCGAGTTCGCGCGTGCGTGTCTTCCCAGCCTGGCATGAATGTCTTGAGCAATGTAATAAGGACAGATACTCAACTTACTTTTGATTCGTCCCTGAGTTTCTCTAGAGCCGCTCGATCAGCTTGAAGTTGTGGCTGGCAGATGTACATGGATCACTGTGTTTTCAACAAAATTTGAGATACACTTACCTTATCGGCTGCGACAGTTGCTTCTAGCTGTCGTTTCTCTGTCTTGAGTCCTTGAATCGTAGTGTTGAGTGTCTGCATGTGCGAGTCCTTCGATAGAAGACTGGATTTGAGATCCTTGATTTCGTCCTCAAGTGCACGAACCCGTGTCTTCCCAACCTAAACAAGGCGCGTTGATCAAACCAATACATGAACAGGGTATATCGAGTGTCATTTGCAATGAAACGCACCTTATCCGCTGCGAGAGTTGCTTCTAGTTGTCGTTTCTCTGTCTCGAGTCTTTGAATCGCAGTGTTTAGCGTCTGCATGAGCGAGTCCTTCGTTGAAAGACTGGATTTGAGATCCTTGATTTCGTCCTCGAGTGCACAAATACGTGTCTTCCCAACCTAAACAAGGCGCGTCAATCAAACCAATACATGAACAGGTTAGTTTGAATGTCCTTTGCAATGAAAATGCACCTTATCCACTGCCGCAGTTGCTTCGAGTTTCTTCTTCGCCGTCTCTAGTTTCTGGAGATTTGTGTTGAGCGAATTGATGAGCGAGTCCTTAGAAATTAGATTATCTTGCAACTCTTTGAGCGTTTGCTCAAGCCCTCGTAAATGTGTTACCCCAGCCTCAATTGAAGAACATGAGTGTCATAGAAGCATACACACAGTGACGTTTCGGACTCACTTCGGTATTTTCCCTCAATTTCTTCAATGCCTCACGATCAGCTTCAACCTTCGGCTGGTATAATATCTCAGTCCAAGATATCTGACATTTGCTTCGAGAAAACGGACCTTTTCCGATGCTGCGATCTCCTCCAGCTGTCTTTTCTCCGCTTCGAGAATTTGTATCGTGTTTCGGAGCGCATTCGCCTGCGCATCCTTACCAGCAATTGTCTTTTCGAATTCCTTGTCAAGATGTTGGACTTTCTGTTTCAGATCGAGAATCTCCGCATTTTGCACCTGTGGGGTGAAGTCAAGCGAATGAACGTGGATAGAAGTTTGACTTACATTGTGTTGGTCTCCAATTTTCTTTGCGTCATGTAATCAAAGTCTATTTTGGATGACACAAAAAGAAGAGGATCTTACTTTTTCGGCAGTGGCTACAGCTGCCTTGAGCTGAGCATTTCCTGTCTCTAAAGCATGGATGGCAGCGTTGAGTTCCTGTGAGTACCTGTCTTTGGTAACAACGTTCGCTTCTAAGTCTTTGATTTGGTGTTCAAATTGAGAAAGTTGGCTCTGATAAAGCGTCACCTAACCAAGAGCTGCTGATGCTGGTCAAGACTTACCATTTTCTCCTTGATCCTATTCTCTGCATTGCGCAATTTGGTCAGCAAGCTTTCGGTCTCGGAATCCTTCGCAACAGAATCCTGTGCCACATCTCTCCTATGATGTTCAAGCTCCTTTTGCAGTCGTACAATCTCATCATCTCGTTTTTGTGTTTCATTAGCAGCTTCCGCATTTGCAGCAGAGTGTGTTTCTTGTGATTCCTTCAGCTCTTCTTTCAATGAATCCAAATTTTTCTAGTAGGGCCACATATTAACAGTAGATAGCAAGTTTAGGAATAGGGAGACGTACCTTTGTATTTTTCAATTCTTCGCCTAGAGCGTCCAAATCTCGCTAAATAGTCAATAAACGTTTTTTTCCATATATGAGTAGCAAGTCTACATACTTTTGACACTGCAAGACAATGCTGCAGCTCTTTATTAAGGTTTGTCAGACTCTCGATAGTTCTGGCTTTATCGAGAACATCTCCCTGAAGAAAAAACATGAAGACTAAATGAGGACGCGAAATGAATTGTAAAATTCACTCTTAATTTACGTCTCTCTACTTCAGTAAAACTGACTGCTTGAGAGCTTTGTGAAGGGTCGGAATCATCCTTTATTGCAGCTTTTGCAGTTTTCTGTAATTACCCGGATGAGTGGAAAGGAGTACATTGACTGGACAAGAGCCATACCTCAGCTTCTAGTTCATATTGCAGTTGCTGTATCCGTTCGTCCCTCTCGGCTAGTTGTTGTGTGACATGTGCAGGTACAACCTCGCGTTCAACTATACGCTCAACTACACGGACTTTGAACTTGAATGAGATACTAGTTATTAGTCCGATCCAGGCTCACATCCCTTATGATAAAATGAGGACAGCTCACATCTGTCACTTTTTGTGGCTTCTCGAGCATTTCATCTGCATGGTTGGATGACTGGTCGTCTTCAGAGGATGATGTACTGAGCTTCCTTCGGCGGTTCGAAGATGTAGCTTGGAGTGTTTCAGAGTTGTTGGTCCCAGAGGAGTCGTCCACGGTACGATTAATGGGCGGCAATCTCGGACGGCTACGGGTGGTTGTTGTCGACACTTCGGAATCGTTGACAGCCTGAGCTGGTGGCATTGCAGGAGCATCATCCATGGGATGATCCATGATGTTCAGTATTAGTACAGAGCAGGCCTCGGCGCAGGTTCACTCGAGTTTCGAGAAGAGAAAGAGATATTACATTCAAAGGGACGCTCATATCGGTAGTACGAAGACAAAGAACAGGCGCTTAAGGAAGACCACTCGATGGCACATGACTAGATTCGAGCTACTACTTAGGAACCTTTACATGTACACACATTGAATTACATGTACATTAACTGTTGCATATAGTACGAGGCACATGTTCTACTGATATTCCATTCGACTGATCAATACCCTACCATGGCCAGCGAAGTTTGAAGGGAGGAGGAGCTACGATGCCTATCTCTTTAGCAACAAGTTGCACGCCTTGCTGAATGGCACACGAGTATACGGGCTTCTGATAAACTTCGGCGCGACATAGAGGGCAACACGTTACAAGGAGAGTTTCAGAGTTGCGCGCCTTGGTTCGAAAATCATTGATTCTGTGTTGACTGAGGCAGCGAGCGCAGAACGAGTGACTACATGGTAATCTGAGCCACAGGTGGACATTAGAAAGTGACTGACTAAACATCCTCGACAAGTACTCACACATATGGGTCCCAGGCCAAATCCAAGCAGATCGAGCAACGGTACGCCTCTTCTCTGGCATCTGTGTCCAATTTGTATTGCTGTTTCAGAGCCTGCAAAAAGTCCTATCATCAGTGGATCTAAGTTAGGTATCGCCACAGCTTACAGCCTTTTCTTCGCGAATTGATACAACTTCCCGACGAAGCAACTGAACTTCTTCAGCTTGTGCGTTCAGTATGTCCGATGAATAATCCAGGTACGCTCGTACTTCTTCATAAAACGTGTTATCACAGTCATCATCAGACATAACATCCAAGGGAGCAGGGTCAGCGACGGTGGTGATCGCAGAGTCCACGACAGTGGCATTGATGACGACGGAAGCTGATGGGAGAGGTGTGACATTCAGAATGCCATCCGAGGGGACAGGAGTAGCGACAGTGGCATCAGAAGCGACTGCAGAGTTCACGGCAGCTACAGGCGTGAAGTTCAAGTTGTCGTTTCCCGAGATTCGAAGGGTCCTGCTTCGAGTAATCATGGGATGTCGGTGCACATGGAGTGCGCGAGCAGCCTGGAGAGTTGAACGACGAGTAGATCTGTGAGTGGCACACCCTCGTCTCATGTCTGAGAAATTGAACGCCAAAATCGAGTGCGAGTTTCCTTATATACAAATTAGCCATACCTTTCACCTTTGTTTTCCGTAACGCCCTGACCATCAATAATACTTCGATCAAGTACTGGGATCCTTTGTCCGGATCCTAGTCACCTTGAATCTGGCGGCTATTTCGAAGAGCGCGTTTGCTCTCTGCTCAAAGAACGAAGAAATGGATGACTATGGATGATGCATTTGGGTCTACATACGTGGTGAACGACTAGAAGGATCTGTACATATATCAATGATTTCAACGATAAGATAAGTATCTTATCTGGCATCTGAGCGCTAAACGGAAATTTTCTTTTCTCCATATAATGAGGAATATTAATTGTCCAGAAAGCGGTTTTCCTCAGTTTTGGCAGGCTCGTCGCGCAAAAAACTCAAGGTGGAGCATAATGGTGCTGACAGCCTCCCCTGGACCACCGTTTCTCGTCCGGTGGAAACTGGATTGGACGGCGACGATGAAATTTTGGAGTTGGAAGAAGTAGAGGGTGTCGAGATTACCTACGAAGAGACTGAAATAGGAAGGGTTGCTAGATTCAATGTACGCCGAATTATAACTGGTCTGGGCTCCGCGGGCTCACCGAGTCATTAGTTTATCGGCGTCGATGAGGCCAGACGGGAAGAAGAGAAAGCTGAATCCTCCGAGGAGCCTGCCACAGGCGAGGGTGAAGTTAATGTAGTCGTTGAAGAAGAACACTGTGAGTGCTATCGGCTTCGACATAATCCCAGTATTTATTCATAACAGCAGAAAAATTACTGCCACATATGTGGCATCCTTATAATCTTCATCCCAACTCACCAGATGTCTTCATCATAATAACTTTCTAAATACTACGCCCATACAAGCCGCAGCTATTCCTCTTGCTCTCAAGTAGCGAGACGTCGTTGGAGTTGCTCAAACAGTCAGTTTTCTTGTTGATTTCATTATTATCGCACTTAAAAAAACTAGCAGGGATCTGGTAAAACACTGGCCTATGGTCTTCCTATCCTTCACAAGCTGCTATCGGCAGAACCACAAAGATCTTCGTCCAAGCACCGTCCAGTACAAGCACTCGTTCTAGCTTCGACTCGTGAACTTGCACTTCAAGTTTCGACTCATTTGAACGCGTGTCTCAGCACTTACAAGGATCCCATCGAGATTAAACACGTCAACAATAAACACGATGGAAGATCAAAAGAGCAAAGGAAAGGAATAGAACAAGAAGACCTGAAGTCTACCGCCAAGAAACCGCCACCCACTGTCAGCGCGGTGGCATGTCTGTTCAGAAGCAAAAGCGCATTCTAAATAGGGGTGTGGATGTGCTTGTGGCGACTCCAGCTCGCTTGTGGGATATCATAGAAGAAGCGCGTTATGAACCTGATCCCTACGCCGCACCCCCATGACGCTCCCCAGAACGAGACCCCGGCCAAAAAGCTGAAGCGTCTGAGGTTTCTCGTTTGGGACGAAGCCGACCGCATGATTGAAGCAGGTCATTTTGCGGAGTTGGACAACATCCTTCGACTTACTTTACGGGAATCCCTGTAAGCATTTGTGTTCTCGATTTACCTTTCGCCATTTTTACGAGTGTTTAGGGAAGATCGAATACCGGACGATGTTCTATCCGTACATGGTGAGCCAGGGTTCGACGTCCAGGACGACAAAGAGAAAGTTGCCCGAGACCAGATGCAGACATTCGTGTTCTCCGCCTCGCTCAGTAAGGACCTACAACACAATGTCAAGAGGAGAGCGAAACCGCAAAGATCAAAACATCCTCAAAAGAATAACAAGCCAGCGTCAACACTTGGTGGGTCACAACGAATCACAGAGTCTTATCACCCATAATTTACCATCGGCAGATGATGTTTTGCTACGATTGGACTTTCGCGATCGCGACTCCGAAGTCATAGACTTGAGCCCTGAGGGCGGTGTAGTCTCTACATTGACCGAGGGTAAGATTCAATGCCTTTCCGCGGACAAGGCTTAGAGTGCACTATTTCGCATGTTCCGTTTTGCCGTTTCACTTTCATCATCTGCATCTCCTGATATCTTCATCTGTTCCCTTCCATAGGACGTATACATGTACTACTTTCTCTTCCGATATCCCGGCCGCTCTATTCTTGTTCCACGTTGCTTTGGTTTGGATGTGAATGTTGTCATGTTCATATATTCTTTTGGCTGAAATTACTGTCTACTGACGCCTTGCTTCTTTCTCCCTCAGATTCAAAAGCACCCCCAACTCTGTCCTTCTCGCGACGGACATAGCCGCCCGTGGACTTGACATTCCCAGTGTTGACCACGTAATCCACTACCAAATTCCTCGCTCAGCAGACGTGTATGTCCACCGAAATGGGCGAACAGCCCGAGCTATGAAAAAGGGTTTCAGTATGCTGATGTATGCACCGGACGAACGCAAAGTTGTTAGGGCGATATTAGGGAATCTTCGTCGACGTGAGCCGCGTTGGGGTTGGGGTTAATGATGCAGGCAGCGACCTCGGTAAAGCGAAGAGGAAGAAGCGGGACCCAAAGGCGGAGGACTCCAAAGGGCTTGCTAAAGATGTCAGCGAGGTAGAGTGGATGGGTATTGATATTGATCATGCTATGAGTACATAACACCAAATTTGTGCCATTTTAGAAACTTTGACGAAAAATTGAATCAAATCAGCCAGAAGAAGAGGACAAATTCAAAGGTTCAAAAAGATTGTTACACGGCCCCACCACGTTGACGGTGTGGTCCCATAAACGAGTACCAATAACTATCTATATAATATCAAATGAAGGGGGATGCTTGAAGATAGATTCTAGCAATGACTGTAATTTGTAGTACAGGGGTCAAAGCATCATAAGTTGGGCAAAGTTGATTTTCTGACGTGCCAGTGATGTTAACGGCCAATGAACGGTTTCAAGTTCTGAAAACGCTTACCGGGGACGGGATTAACGGCGGCGACGTCCGGTGCATCCTCAGCAAAAACAATAGCAAAACCACTGGCGACTCACTGGTCAAAAGGTGACCTCAAAGCAGAAGAGAAGACTCACGCTTCCAGATACCAATCTATGTGACTGTCGGATAAACCAGTATGAGGAAGACATATCATGGTCCAGTACTGTTATCGGTTGACGGCTACCTGCTGTAGTGGCTCCGCTGAGAATTTGAAGTAAGATGACTGTAGGGGGGACAAAGGATACCCTGTTGATCTCGAACCGTCCTCCGACCTACGGGTAAGGGTTAATGGAGGTTTTGCTGGACGTATCATATGCACACACAAACGATAAGACCAGATTCGAATAAGACCAGATTTGCGTCAAAATTTACGCCGTTAGCAGTTGCATTTCCAGGCTAATAGCAGTTCAAGAGTTTGTTCAAGGTGAGTTCACCACATTGACTCACAGCACCGGGATTTTCAAACGGCTAACTAGGTATAATGAGCGATAGGAGCTAGAAGACAGCGATTATGAAGCTCACCTCAAGGCTTGTTTTTTTGTAAAAGGTTGGCAGAAGTCTGGGTAGTGACCGGATCGTAAGGGAATGAAATCAATCAACGTCGAAATACATACGGAACAGCGCCAGCTTGAAGGGCGGGAATGTCGGATAGATCATGGCAAATGTGAGATTGAGGACACACAACATCAAGAAGGATTGAAAACCTACGATACCTAGCAAACAACGTACCAGTCAGCGAGTGCGATGACAGTTGAATCTCGGTCCGGGGTCATATCCGATCGAACCGGGACAGGAAACATGCACATACTCAACGCTGCTGAAGGCCACTGACCAATATTGACAGTACTAGTACTACGTACTAGATCTAGAGTACTTGGTGAATTAATGAGGATGTCTGTGAAGTTCCGAACCAAGCATTATTGATATTGATATGGATATGAGAAGCACTACATTCGACTTATTGTACCTATGCAAAACATCAATTTACTGAGCACTCATGAGTAGCGGAAACTGCAGGGTATTCTAAGATAGACAAGGTTTAATGTATTATTGACGCTCTGGCCAAGCAAGGGAATACAGGGGAGGTGCGATAATGTCCAAGTCAGTGGCAATTCTTTCGACTACGGACTGAAGCAATATGGATGGAATAGGTTTTCGACAGACTGGGAACCAGCATACTGGACATTGGAATATCCTGTCAGTGACGATGAAGCGTTGTCGCTCATTGTTGATACAACTTGAGCAAGCGGTGTGTCCACAGGCTAGACTGAATCGCAGTGATGCCTGATAAGCATAAACGAAGAAGTAGAGCTCTAAGTTGGTACGCACACATGAGGACTCCATGCAAGATCTTTGCAGAAAGAACAGCAATGTTCCAATCTTTGAATACCTTGTCGCAAATGGCTAATAGCCCTCAAATCCTGGAAACGATGAAGGTCAGTCCGATCTAATTCAAGATTGGATTGAAATGCACTCACAGTACATTGATGCGCCAATATATCAATATGCAGCTTTGTGAATTCCAACGATTTTTTCTGTTCATCAAAGAGACGTCGAGAGCGGGTGTTGAACATCTCTAGGTCCATGACGAAGCTTTGATCGAAGTTCGTCAAAAGCTCTGAGGGGACGCTAGGCTTCGAGGGAAGTTCGCCCAAAGTATTGAGGACATCGAGCAAGCTATCGCTGCTGGTGGTGTCCAGGAGGGAGTGAGGGTCGGGAGCCTCGCGCGAAGAGAACGAATTAGCGTTCAAGACGGATGAAGAGCCAGAAGCCTCCTGGAAGTGGCCATGAGTGACATGACTATGCGAGGCCGAATTTGCCAAAAAAGAAGGGTCAGAGACCTCCTGCGAAGAGTGGCGTTGAAGATGTTCAAAAGGAGGGTCACTGCTAGTACTAGTAGGAGCAGGCTGAGCCCGAGCCATACTTCGAGTAAGCATGGAATGTCGACGAAGTTCCGGGAACTGATGAGGATGATGACGGGTAGATACTAAGTGTCGAGCAGTGCGTTGGGGACCCATGTTCGACCAGAGGAGGAGAAAATGCAATTTTCGGATGAATCAGTACTCGCAACAGTATTAATATTTATGGGCCTTCGTCGTCCCCATTGTGGTCCAGACAATCGTATTAAGATGAAGGAAACGTGATGATTCAAAGGGGGGATGCAGTTGCAATTGGTAAAAATATTAGTGCTGAAAGGTGCTTTGAACCTGGCTTTAAGCTCATTAATGGGAACTGGCCGGAGTTTAGGCCGTCCGGTGCCTTTTGAAGATGATTAACCGAATCGATAAGCACTTCAAATAATCAGCCTAACTTACACATTCTTAGCCACTATATACACAATGGGTAAAACCTCCAAATCTCTACGATCCAAATCCGCCAGTCGTCGAACGGTGGCATCTTGCAGACCGCCACCTCGTTCTCACCCTATGATCCTTCGTAGAGTTTCTGCACAATCAAGGTCTGCGCTAGGGTCAACAACCGCCTCCCATGCCACTCCTACGTCAGACCCCGCGACAGCCGCCTTCGACGCGTCCCTCACGTCGAACCCCGGACCAACTACCTTCGACGCTACTTCTCTCATGTCAGACTTAACTACTTCCCAGCCTGCCCCCGTGTCAGATCCCATTGGGGCTTCTCTTTTGGCAGATCGACCCGACGTCGTATTCGCGCAAGAGGCCTACGATTATATGAGACGCTCCACGGAAATACTACAAATGCAAACCAAGACACTTGTCATCTTTCAGCAGAAGCTCAATTCCATAAATGAAGATAAAGAGGTATGTGCTAGTGCTAGCTTGCGCGGAGACACTTTATTCTGAGATGGATAATCAACAGTCTCTCGAACATGACACCGAGCAGTTGATGGCCAAACGCGCAACAGAATATCAATGTCCTCTTTGCTCCGATCTAGCTTGGAATCCACATGTGTGAGTGTTTCCATAACTCTTTGACGTTCCTTACTTGACCAGAAAAATAGTCTTCCCTGTGGTCACTCTTTCTGTTCCCAGTGTCTTAGCCAACACAAGGCTAACCATGCTCAGAAACGATCCGCAAATCCGAATGGAACTGGGGCTGTCATTCGTTGCCCAACCTGCGATGCTCTCATTCTTCGTAAGCCGCAGTTCTCTCACACCATCCAGCAGGGTGTCGAAGACGTTGCGAAATACTTTCACCGAGCCCCTCCGACACTGCGCCAACTTGAATGGTCTTATTGATTCAACAGTACTAGTAGCTCCAAGTAGCGACGATAGGTGGCATCACGGAATCTACAGTACTTAGGTCTCGTACACATTCTCATCCATGTAGTGACCATTATTCTTTTGCACAATGTATAGCATCTGATTCTTCGAGCATTCATGAGGGTCAAAGCAATATATATTAACCACGAAATGGCTTAATTTCTTGAACTCTAGGTATGTGATACGTTGAATACGAAAGATAGAAATGGTTACAAGGGTAAAGCTGTATACACTGCAGGGCATCCAGGACAAGATGCCAAAGGTGATAGTACGAAAGATATAATTAGATACCAGTACTACCAGTAGATGAAGAGACATTGACACCAAGCTGAGTGCAAAGCGGAAAGGTCTGTGCGCACCAATGGGCATCAGGACAAAATATCGTTAAAAGGTGGATATTTGAAAGGTGCTGGGGAATACCGTGGCCATCGTCCAATCTGGATATTTGATTGTCGATGCTCCTGAACTGAGTCTCATATGTGCTGTATGAGATAGAAGTGTTCCATTTAATGCAGATGGTCTTTATCGCTGGCGTTCGAATGACATCCAGCAACCAGTTCGATGGGTGTATATGAAAGGTCAAACCGAGATATCGCAATGCAGGCAGAATGATCGGAGCTCCTAGAAGATTCTCTGGGTGGAATAAGACACAAAGAATTTGATTCTAGAGGCAGCAAACTTTACCATATTCGGTCCACGCGCAACGGTTGTCAAATGGTAGACAAAACTCAAGCCTCGTAAGGTGCTCCGAAATCGAAGGAAGAAGGATCTGCGCAGTACTGACAGCACCTAAAACCAGTGTCTCGAGCTCGCTGAGATCAAAAGGGCACCTACGCCCACTAAGCCATTCGTACTCTTCAGCGCGAGGGGCTTTACCAGTATATTGAGGTTCGTGGCGATACGATGAAGGGATGAGCTGCAGGAATGCTAGTTTCGCCTTTTCCTCTTCTCCGTGAGCCATCGCTTGAATCGCAGCATGGGCTTCATCAGCGCGTTGTCGAGTTGAAGGACAGTCACCAAGCCCCCTACCAGGAGGCGGAAGTGTCAATGCTCGAAGCATTTTACAATGACCAAGAGACTTGAGCACTCCGCAAAATTCCTGGTACGACATTCGAAGGGAATTGTGAATTATGAATCTAGTGAGGGTACCAGAGAATGCGACGATAGCTTTGTTGATTTGTTCCTTCGTCGCAATGAAGTCCGTTCCTCGAATTTCAAGGTTCCTCAAGAGGGTTGGGTAGGACGTGAATGCATCAATGAACGCGCTGTGACTGTCACCAACGGCATTGCAAACATAGCGCAAACGACGAGAATCCTTCCGGAGGAGTGCGACTTGGACCTGATCGTCGACATCAACCGTTCTGAACCGCGCAGACATCGCTGGTTCCCTCCAGTAATGGCAGACTTGTGAGCATGCATCAAGGTCTGAACCTTGTACATATGACAAATATTCCCCAAAAAGCTCAGCGCAGAAATGGACAGGTATACGTTCAAGTTGTGAAAAGGCAGCACTAGTCGTCGAAGACATCCTGGACACAGATGTGGAAGATGCGTTGGGAGGAGGAATGAAAGAGAAATGCAAGACAAAGGAAAATATAACGTGGTGCGATGTGTCAGAGTAACAGCCGGTGAGCGGATGTGCACGAGGCGAAACAGTTTACATTTTGACGAGTTACTGGTAGTAGTACTAGTGCTGAGGTTTTTTCTTCTGAGGAAAAATCGGGCTGATTCAACGATACAAACGACCATCCAAGCTGAATTGTTTGAGGGACAATTTTGAGTGATAATGGAACACTCACTCCAAGTTGAATACGGGAAACGAAACGAATGTCAGCCGGAGACTGGGTTCATCCTGTAATTTTTGCAGAAGGTTTGACTGTGACTGCCATTCTGCAGGGTTTTGAGCTTCGTGCTAGATAGAGTTTGACCGTATCTTGAAGATCATCTTCATCGAACACATCACCTGCTTCCTGCATCCAAGATTCTCGGTCATTTCAGGCAGGTATTCGTGAATTCAGTGAATGGCGTTAGTGAGTTTTTCAGATTAATCGTCTTGTTGACTCAGTATATCCTTGAATGAGCAGGTCCGGCCGGCGTTAGTTTCATGTACAGCAGCAACATCTGGAGGTTGTGCTAACCACTTCCGCCAGTCTACAAAACGATTTAACAGCTGATTTGTTCAGGATGCGGGAAGAAAGGTCAAAATCGTTCAGGACGCCTTATATGTTGCCATCTATGCTTCTGTGAATTCTGTACATGATGTTCCCTGAGCTGAGATCACGATGAAGAATCCCCACGCATTCGTAAAGCCACTGGTGAACTAGAGGAGTACGAGAACAAGGTAAGAAAGGGTAAAACAATGTGTAGAAGGCAAACGCACAAAATTCTGATATATTGTTGGAGTCTTCACTCTCTTTATACTGGTCCCAAACTTGTTCACCCTCGTTGGCTTTGACAAAAAAGACAGCCCGTACGAAACTACCATAGCTCAAATCCAATTATCCACTCGGTGTCCCTTCGTCAGCGAAGACTATCCACACTCGAGCGATGTGAAGAACCTCGTGTTTCTCTTCCGACCGCCTCCTGCTTCTTCTCCTCTTTCTTCGCCGTCAGAAGTTCCTTGAGCTTGGTCCATGTCATTGAGAAATATAATTGTTGGGATCCGACATCATTCCGATACCACCACCGCTGCTCAAAGTCATCCTTAACTTTCAGAGAGCTGGCCTTGAGACTGATTTCTGTGCGTTTGAGTTGCTAACTCGTCATATCACAATTTGACAAGGCTTGATTGATCAACGCCAGGATGTGGTGGAGACGGGGAAGGAGCCTGAATGGCCATTGGGCGATGGTGAAGGAAGGGGGAGAGCAGATACAGGAGTGAAGATGCTTGCACCTGGTACGTTTGCAGAAGCAGCTCCTGATGAGGAATTGTTTACATCCTTGACGAAGCCAGGTGTCGTCGCTCCGCTGCCTGAGCTGAGAAGGCTCATGTCGGGAATCGCGATGTTAGTACCCATCGAGCCGATCGAGCTCATCGTCGCCATACTTGATATGCTTGCGCCGTACATTCCCCTCTGACTAATCTTGTATTCTTCTTCCTCCTCAAGGACCAGTGAAGGACTTGAGCCTCTTCCACGTTGAGGAAAACCTAGCCCGGAGGTTACCGTAGGTGTGCTAGGTGTTGGTGTTGGTGTCGCTCCAGTGGGAATGCCAACCTGTAATTTGTACAGTTAATTGTCTATCACTTGTTTTCACTCATTATCGTACCTGGTTAGCAGTTACCCCACCGCTGACCTTTACTTGTGGAACTGGAGAGTTCATGGCGGACATATTGGAAATCGGAGCATTCTTCCACTATTACTAGCACTTGATGGTCCATTTTGCTCACGTCCCCACACAGCGTCCTAGCATCGCTCCACCGAGACTACCTAAATAAAAGATGTAGGTAAGATGAATACTTTGGAAACCAGGAATTCTGACTGACTTGAGCGCTATCAACTTGACTAGCAGGAACATAGATAGTAGCGTTGAATGCGTCGCCAACCAAATTTGCCACACTTGGAAAATTAGTTGCGGCACCGGTACAGATAACGCGGCGTGGTCGGGGTGCAGGGGTGTAGGAGTTGAAGGAGAGACCAAGAAAAGCGAAGGGATTCGACAAAGCCGCAGATCAACCTTCCCCTTTCATGCTCGCCGCCGTTCCTATTGGATCCTGTGCCGGATGTGGGAAAAGAGAGTACGATGCATCGGGTAGAAATGTAACGTGCAGCAGGAGTGAGAAGCATATCCGTCGAACCAGATTGCCGAACGGCGGTTGCGCCGGTGGAAGGGTCACTAGAAGGGACATAAGAAAGATACGACGGTCGACAAGAGACCGCGAGACATTGCCGACTTTTAAATTCTTCCACCGCCGCTAGCATCGACTTCACCGTGTACACGTCTGCCTTCTTCTCTACCTCCGCCGACAATGTTGAGGACTCCTTCGTCCCAGTACCCTTGCGACTGTGAACGCCATAAACCCAATGTCTCGTGGCACATGTTTCCGCCTCACCCATAGCAGCCCATTTACCACACACCAAGCTGCTCAGGAACGCACTAACAACCTGTATCCTACCTGTCCTCGCACTTCCTGTGCCAGGCCTCTCGAATCATCAGTAACTGCGCAGCAACTAAACTGGTTTGCACATAGATTCCTACTCTGATCGCCATTACATTAGGACCTCCGAGTAGAGCTTCGATGGCTAGAGCGTATGTGCAGATGTATCCTGTGCAGTTGGCGTGTTGGAAGGGGGAAAAGACGAAGATGGAAAATGTGTATATGTAGGGCAAGGTGAGGGGTCCAGTGACGAGAGAGGGAAGAGGGGTCAATTTTCACCATTGTGAGCAGTTTACGGAAAACACATGATACAGCTTGTTAATGTCCGCAAAAGGCAATATTTGGCCAACGCGTCCCCAGGTCTTCAGTTCCGGTTATCCGCTGTTTCCAAAAAAAGACGATTGCTACTTATCTGTTCATGAAGTATATATAAAACCTGAACTCGCATAACTAATTCTATATCACTGATCATTTAAAGCAGTATACAAGTATAAGTAGTAGTACTTTGATCAATCCTACTTGTTGCTTCCCTTAAGTCTATCCGGAGTACTAAAGAAAGGCAAGCAGGAGAAACATGGCGAGTGCACCAACTATAGCACTCCCAACACCAACAAGTGGCACTATGCATCTTCGTCCTGATTTACGATTGACTAGCACCTCCTCGGCGTCAATAGATGCTTTCGACGGCGCCTTCTCTTTCGATTGCTGGTCTAGCTGTGCTAGCAAGGAGAGTTCAAAGACTGTAATGTCGACGGGAGAAATTGGGACAGATCTCGCGTTCGAAGTTGCAACACAGCTCAGCACATGAGCCTTAGAGCTCTGATTCCCGGACTCGGAAATGGGAGCACGAGCAAAATGAGGAGTATTAAGCTCCGTAACGCTTAAACTAGTGTATGGAATGGCAGATTCGGCAATGGGGGCATGAGCGACATGAGAAGCGGTGGGCTCGGGCAGAGTTATCAGAGAACAGAGGTGATGGGATTCGAATATTACAACAGGCCTCTCGGATTCGAGAATGAAAGCATGGGCGACATGAGAAGTGATGGGCTCGAGCAGATTCAAAGTACGAAGGCGATTGGGTTCGACGATCGCGACAGGAAGATTGGCGGGATGAATGGAAGCTCCGAGCATCGTTGCTTCAAGATTGGTATCTCCACATTCAGAATTAGTGTCGACGACAAGGCCGAGCGCGTCGTGAGGTGAGCGAGTTGACATCGATTGTATCTGTACCGGGAGGACGGAATATGCAAGATAACTTTATAGCGTCCATATATATATTTATAGCAGACCAACAGATTCCTCAGAAGCCGTGACGATATTCGCTGCACAAGAAGCCTTTCGAGTAATTAATCGAGCAGAACTAAGCCGGATGGACCATATGAAAGGGAATGCACAACGTGTTAACTTGAAAGATCCAGGAAGAATAACATATATAAGACCTATACAAGCGAGATGAATACTGGAGTTGAAAGGAATCTATTGTGGTATCGAGAAAGGAGCGGAAAGCAGAAATATCAAAACTCATAGTCATGAAAGGATCTTTACACGATCCCAATGGACTCGGAGGTACACGTGCTCGGCGGGTTGACGTTTTCTTCCCTTTTCATGCAGTAACTCCCGAGTAAATCTTTCGTTCACTGTTCATTTTCTTTCTGCAAGATAGTACAAGATCTAGATGGAATATAAATGAAACATCTGTCCAAGTTCATCGCATTCGCTCTCTTAGCTCAATACAAGGACATATTCTGGTGCACGAGGCGATTCAACCAGACCTGATAATTTCTTCTTGTTCTATGGATGCGTCGGAATTGACGAGTAGTTCAATCAACGTACGCAAGCCGCCGTTATCCGCTTATTTTCTTCGCTCACCTACTCGATCACTCGTAGTCCAAGGCGAGAAGAATTCTTCATGCTGCGATGCAGCTGAAGTACACGTACGAGGCTTGTATGAAGGAACCTGTATCGACAACACAACTTGCTTCATTCTCCTCAAATCCGGAAGTCCATGGTCCTCGTATGGGTGCAGTTCAGATAGATTTCACAAATTCCACCCTACGCTCAAAGTGGAATCAGGCAGTCGTTGAGCTTCTAGCTGAAGTGGCGGAATCTACCCATCCAGACATAGGCGCAAAAATTGATTGGCGGAAACTCTTCGAAAGGAGGATCAATCGAATCGTCAGCGATGCTTCTCGCTTACGAAAAATGGACAACTCTGTCGAGACCAAACGCAAGAAATTTTCGAGGGCGGTATCACATCAGGTAAGAGTCGTTCAAAGCCGAGGACTATGATTCAATTTCTTTCAGAAACTTCAACGTCGAATTCGAACTGCCAGTATGATGCTGATTCACTACAAATCATTGGCATTTGAAGATGGTGTTCTTTTTTGGTCCTACATCCTCTGGTCCTTAGATTCCCTCGCTTCCACAGGCATGTCAGATGAAGAAACCGTCAGCGAGAAAGAGGGCAACAGTTCTTTCAGAGCTGTGGTGGACCCAGGTTCACGACACCCAGCGTTTCGCACTTTGTTCCGATATGTTGATGACGTTCCCTCCTTATATCCTAATCTCTTTACAAGATGTGGTAAAAAGCCACTCAAACGAGTCTTTGTACCATCAACGCTAATGATGTGTGCCCTGCGTTCGGACAATTCGGACAGCGATGATGACCTTTGCCCTACGAGGTTCGTCCATCGCATTTTGGTAATAACATGAAGGCTGATTGATTACTTACCGTCGCAGATTTCTTCCATATCTAGTGAAAAATGGTTACCACGTTTAGACCATCCTTCAAAAATTATCGTACTCTCGAGACTTACTGTACTATCAACACAATGATCATAATGTTAGTCTCCAGCTTGCCTGGTTGTGACACATACGGTGCGGAAACAGCAAGTTTCTCGCTGTCCGAGGTGCGATATTCAAATAGTCAAAGTGAGAGCAGACGAGGCCAGACAGTAGCCGTAAATCATAGAGTTTATTGCACAACCGGTACCATCGTAAGTCTTTTATTATGAGCGCGCCAAGTACTAAGTAACGTCTTCGCCTAGATCTCCCGGGCGCTAAGCAGGCGCCTCTACTTGCGGCAAAAACCAAACAGAGCCATTCATCATCTGTATTTCCAGCTCGTTACTCTTCATTCATCAATGTCAGAACTCGTAGAAATCGACCTCAAAGAGTTGAGATCCGGAAACAAGAGATCGCCTTCTTTCGACACGGAAGATAATCAGCTTCCACGTAAACGAATCAAACTACCAATATTTCTTTGTCGTCGGGATGTTGAAGCTACGAACAGCACTCCAAACCGATCTTGTGCGGGGACGAAGATAAACAAGGGTGGTGTTCTCGATGATGATCAAGAACATCTTGCTAATCGTATTCATGTAGTTTCGAATATCGAAGATGTTGCGCAGGATCCTTCTCAGGCCGCAAGACAATCAAATACAGACATCCACGCTGGCCTTGAAAGAGACGTTCTGAAGGCATGTACTATTTACGTGGATGTTTGGATGTCTCATGGGGAAAACACATCACCACTATTTTATGATATTGCAAAGAGTCTAGGAGCACAGGTATGCGTGTCGACTTCTCAAAATTTCGCTCCCAACTCTTGTCAGACTGTAAAGAGCATTGGGCCACTATGCACCCACATCGTGTACACATCAGGCAGTCAAAAAACTGTACAGAAGTACTTGTGCGTATACTCCTAGTCCATTCAATCTTAGTTAATATTTCCTGATTATAGTGCATTGAACGAAGAAAAGAGGCCCAAGGTCGTCGGAGCAGCATGGTTGAAGGATTGTAGGGATGCCGCCACTCATCTGGGGGAAGAACCTTACTTGGTTGACATGGAGGAACACCGTGTGTACAATATGGGCACCAAGCGGAAGACTACTAGTACTAGAGTGAGTACTTCCGGCTCCGATCGCATCTTACTTTGCTGATATGAATCACAGCGTCGACGCTTTACTTCCAAATTCTATGATGATAGTACTAAAGATGAAACAGCCACCTGCGTTGATTCATCGAATACCTGTAGGCGTTATAATGGTCGTAACACCACATTGGATTGATCTTTGCTTTCTGCTTGTTTATATTCAGTTGACGATACTATGTCTGTGTTGGAGATAGCACGGAACCGGATAAATATCGTATCTGATACTACTAGTACGAGTATCTCCCAACGCCAATGATTCTCATTAGATCGTGTCCAGTCGCTCAGTTTTTTTTTCCTCTATCCTGTATCATTGTTATATCATACCATATTCATCCTCAATGCTTTGTAGTGAGAATAGGAATGTACGCCATAACGCCACAGCGAAAGCAAGCGAGCCAAAAAAAATACTGGAAATGAAATAAATTCCGTACGATCTGCTTCGCGCGGCGCATCAGGCGGCCTTTCCTAGTTTTTCTTTCTGGAAGCGAAGCTTGAGTGGACTGTCAATCAGAGACTCGGTAAAGCGCGATTATCAAAGTTACTGGAATGCCAGTCGCCACGCGGAATCACTCGTACGATTGAGGGAATATCACCTGTCCTCACCTCAAAGGCTAGGCGATTATCAATTCCAACTGCCACTCAAATAGAGAACGTAGATCAATAAAAGTAATTTGAACAGTGTCTAAAGAAGCACACGACAATCCAGTAATTTCTGATCATAAAGAGGCTCGCTCTGCCTGTCGACACACGGAACGCTCCCTTTCCACCCCAGATTGCTGCTTCAGTGCGTGTCCATTAGGATAGAGGTGAAGGAGGTACTCTTCCCAGTTTCGTAGCGATGTTGTCAATCGCATTTCGAATAGTTATCGATGGGACGGGAGGTCTGTAGATATAAGCTCTGCACTTCGGGCACCGCCTCGTTCGACCAGAAATACTAGCTGCTTGTCGCTCATGATCAATGCATCGAGAACAGATCGTGTGTCCACATATTGCTCTAAGGATAAGATGTTTGTGAGAACGACGACGAAACAACTTGAGACGCACACTTGAGGATCCCAGGCAAGATTCCCACAACCGGAGCAGCAAAGTTCGCGTTCCTGCGTCAATTTAGTCATGCACAGTGTTTCCTGATATTTCTGGGAAGAGAAGGAAGCATGGAAGGGAACATGATAAGCAGGAGCCATGTCGGACGCGCCACCCACTCACCCTACGTTGTTCTTTTAACACGCTGATCTGATGCCTTCTTAGCTGAATTTCCTCTTTCTGAGCCTTGAAGATATGCTCCGACGTTGCATGCACGCTCTCCAACCCCTCCACAAGCTTGTCATTCCCGCCTTGTCTTTTAAGGTACTCCTCCCAGCTGGATGGAATTGCGGGGTATTCCTGGATGTCGACGAGAAGTTTAGTGGGCGCAGGGATAGTTGAAGCACAGCTAGAGGCATTATCATTGAAGACTGCGTTCATCGACGAAGACGTGGTATCCGAGATGGCTGAACTGGAAACCAAAGGAGCAGAGTCTAGATCTGTCGTGATAGGCAGCCTTCCACGCAAGACCATTTTCTGATACTGAGCGGTTAGACGACTCGCTGATCTAGTTGATCTCGTTGGTGAAGTACGTTGTGGACCCATGGGATTTCAATCGAGCTAGCTTTGACCTAGGGTTTATATATATATTCAAAGATAACCCTAGGGCAATGCCGGTTTGCTTTATGCTCATCACCATTTTCAATCAATGAAAGGGCAAAGGTTCAATATCACATAACGTTCAATCTCCATAATATCAATATTATCGCCAGATGGCATGCAAGTCCTTTTGCATGTCACGCCGCGCCACACCGCAAACTTCGACAAAGCCCTCCTAGTAATAATCTCTGAATCGCTTCTAACCACTATTCGCGGCACCATGCCTAAAACCCCACGTAAACCAAGACTTCACACTAGATACACCGCTCGACATATCGGCCGCCCTGCGAGAGGCAATATATCTAGAAGACGATTTCCTGCCTGCCTCCACTCTGCAACCTGTATGACACTATCTTCAGGCGCAGGATACGCTCTGGAGGTGGTTATGTCGGACATTACTGACCTCAAGCCTTACACGTATGTGCATATGCAAATATATCGTACTTTCAATCCACTAACCTGACATTCTTTGACTCAGAGATTGCGGGCCCATTCTTTGTATCGCTTGCTCGAGCGACCTTCGCCGTGGGGGTATCGAAGAAGCCAATATTGTGCTCATATATCTTGACGCATGTTCCACCCGTCGCGCGATGAAACTGGTACTAGTGAAGTCGGACATGTACAGTCTCCTGTGTACAAGCGACGAGCTGTGTGACGTATTAGCTCTTCCAACTCTTTGTCCGGAAGATATGGAGTGGTCCATCGAAAAAGTTGGTGCGACGACTCGACACGAGGCTCTGGGTCTTTCGAATGCTCATCCGGAAGATATGGAGTGGTCAATCTAGGCCCTTGACCAGTCTTCCATAAATACATAAACTAATACTTTAATCTACTTGCTGCACATATCCTAGCTCTATATCTCTGTTGCATCATACTAGTTCTCACTCTATATTATCTGAATCCTGCATGTACATGATCATGATCTGTTCTTTGAGCGCGTCGCGAAACGTACATCATAAAAAGCAAGTCACGATACCGATCACGGTGTCAAAACCATTTCCTGATTTAGATTCTCAGCTAGTCCGATCTTCCCTTCCGCCCAAATCAGCGAAGCCTTTCAAAATCTCAGTACTTCCGAATCTTCGACTTACAAGATGTACATGTACACTGTTCACGTCACAAAGCTCTCCACTGATATTACTGTAAGTCCTTGTACCTGCTACTTTCAAACGGCAATGGGTCAACACGCGGAACCGGTTTCGCATGATTCCCCTTTGTTATTTTCGTATACAGTCATATATACAAAGACGTACAACAGCAGCCTAGCAGGCCTAGGTATAAAAGGATCACTTTTTTCTTCAGAACAACTTTACATCCAACATGACACCCTCTCGCCGTCCCATGTCCCCGCGAGAACGCCAGTCCAAACGCTCTGGCTCCAGCTCACCCTATGCCTCCGCTCACTCGATGCTCACGCGGACTCGGGCTCGATATAATAATCGTGAGCTTGAACCGCCACTTGTTCCACCTTTGGCTCTCCTGCCTCCCGCATTGTCTTCGTCCACTCACTGCGACTCGCGCATCTCTCCGTCGCACGGTTCGTTCAGGCCTTCCGAACACTCGACGCTTGAGCTCGAGTCATCGCTCGATCTCCTGCCTCCCATAGCTTCTTCGACTACTCACATTCTTAGTGTCATTGATCATCATCATGGTGACATTGATTCCTTCGCGGATGCTATCAAGAGTATGGTTTTGGAAAGTCATAAAGCATTAGACCGATGTATCAGACAGGAAATTAGTACTCGAGACAGCCAAATCAAAGAAGAGCGAAGGTGGGCGGAGAAGAATACTGAACTTGCAAAGGAGCAGGACGCTCGAATGCATGAACTGGAGCTTCACTGTGAAAAGAAAGAGCTTGCTTCGCGGCAGACATTGGAGAAATGTCAGGTGCAGTTAGATGTGAGTGCACAGCATGCTTTACTGAATGTTTTTTAAAAAATCATGCATAGGTACTTCGACGCCGAATCAAGGACTCAAGGTCTGCCCGAGAACAAGAACATCGTTGCCCTATCTGCATTGACTTGGCCTGGAACCCTCACGTGTGCGTTGATGCTCTCCTTGTCGTTATACCTGGTATTCATCAACTCTTTTAGTTTGTCTTGTGGGCATATGTTCTGCGCAAGGTGCATCAGTCAAGTCAAGTTCACCGCACTCCAATCTTTGGAAATATGTCGATGTCCTATCTGCAGGGCTCGCATATCACAGAAGCCAGCGCCATCTCTGACTATTCGCCAGGGCGTTGAAAGCATCGCTAATGCTCAGGGGGTGATTTCCCCTCCTTTATACCGCCTTCAATGGCCAGTCCGGACATCCTGGCCTGTACGCTCGTGATAATCGCTCCGAGCTGCTAAATTTTCGGAAAACCGCCGGTGTTCACTACTTAGAGTACTGTACCTGCTCGTAATATTCAGATAATAATCATGGTCAATATATCTCAATTTCTACTCGTTAGCACTTCTACCAAGTCAATCTGGTATCTGACAAGCGCGGAGTTGCAGTTGTGAGAGAGTAATCTTGTCTAAAATCACTGCCATCCCCTTCATTAATGCCATTCACCGTCATAGCCACCTACCGCTCAGAGACACGGAAATTGGCTTTCCTGAATGTGATTCCTTTCCTTCATTCGACCAACTTTACCACCAGGTGTGTTTCTTCACCCCAGACAAGTGCCAGTAAGCTTATCTCTTCGTAAAGCTGTACAGGGTCTTCCCAATAAGCCATTCCATCATTCTTTCCAAGCTACTCTTTTCACCGGACGCCTCCGCTCGGGTGCTTCTATCCAGGGAAGTGCGCAATGCCGCAGAGTATGATCTCGCTGTCGCTCCCTTCAAGGGCAGAGCTTGGATGGGTCCGTCGCTAAGGGTTTCTGTTTCCGACGAAACTCTACATAAACTCCCATCCAGTCCTCAGCCTCAGGCTTCAAATCCACAGAAGCCGGTCGTTTCTAATCCATTCCCTGTCGTAGAACCATCTTTCGGTCAGATCTCTTACTCTCATATCCCCCTCCTCCCATTATCTTTTCGTCGAGGCCCTGCCCTCAGGAACCAATGGATGCAGGCAAGCCTGAAACAAATGATCCGCCTACTGTCCCGCAGCATGACATTGCTTCATGCTGCGCCATTGCACAAACTAGGAAGGATGTGACATTCCTATACCACTGAATCAAGCGCCCCACTCCGAAGATTCGATCCAGCTACCGAAGATACCGCTTCAGGTTCCGCCTTCTAACGTACCTGAATTGTCGTCAACTCTTTCCCTCCCTTCTGTGCCTATGTATCCGCCTCTTTGTCAGTACAATCTTTGTTGGCGCTGTGGTGTCATCAAACAGGGTCCTTGGTTCAATTGCTCGACATGCAACAACAAGCTGGTAGGTGTTACTTATATCTAATTCATTCGAACTCATCTCATATCATGCTTTAGTGCGTCACCTGCCTTGAGACTACGAGCATTAGTGATTGCTTTTTCGGAAGTCCTCATGTTTGGAAGAAGCAAACATGCAGTTACTGTGCCCCCAATTCCTCGCCTACTCTTACACCCTCTCCATTACAACCCACCTCCTGGGGCTCTGTTCCTTTGACATTTGGATCTCTTTCGCTTCCATCTGTTCCTGCAATCGCACCTGTACTTAGGGAGGATAGTGCATGCGAAGCGCTGCCGATTGCCGTGCACCCAGCTACACATCCATTGTTGAAACTTAAAGATGTTGGCACTGCTCTATCCACAGTATATTGCAACAACGTCGGTGAATCTCGACTGCCTGCCAATGATATCGCAACAAGCGCGTCAGGCTGCTCTCCTATCAAGGCTGCACCCGCCAGTCTTCGTGCGCCTTCACCCGCTGGTTCCTATGGATCCGGATGCTTGCGGAACCCCGCAGCTGGGACCTATGGTATACCTTCGCCTGAGGCTCAGCCTCCTTCACCCTTTTACTTTAGATCCGAATCTGCTCGCAGCCAAACGCCGGAAAGTGAAGTGGAAAATACTTCACTCCCTGCTCCTGCTCCCGTGCGCAACTTTTCACCCGTCCCTCCGCGGAGCCCCTCGCCTACCATGATGATACCTGGCGCTCTTCAATCTCCCGCCCATCGAATCTTTATCGTTGTCGACTATGTTGCGGACTTCTCCCCCTATTACTCTTCCCCCTATTTAAAGTAAGCCATTGGTTCATGAATCGATTCGTACCCCGTCTCCTCTTTGGAAACACACTCCCTATGCTAGGCCCCGTTCTCCGTTCGTTATTCCTGGAGAGTATATGTTTGAATCTCAACGCGCCCCTGCTCGTTCGCCTAGTCCAGAACATACCTGTGATTATCCGGTGATGGCTCCGTCTGGTGTAGATTATAACACGATATCTTTCCAGAATTCCCCCAGGAGATCAGACATTTGATGGACGACGAGCCTTCCTTCTCCCGTGACCTGCGTCGTTCCATGGTACAGTCAACTGGAAGTGGGATACCTGCTGAAGAGTCTTCTATTGTTGGTGAATGAGAACCTCTTCTTTCTCGACCGTCATCATCCAATTCTCTCTCGGAATCCGAACGTTCGGTACGTTCCCTGGCGTCTATCCTGAGTGGCATCAAAATTCCGGCGACCAATCCTTTCATCACTGCAATGGAAGCTAAGGAGGCTCTTATTGGTACACCCTCCGCCCCCGTGCCTCTGCAATGGCGGGAGCAGACCTTGGCCGGAAGGTACTAAACTTGTGTTCGTTGCTGGGGATATCGTTTGCAAAAAACAATACTACTATACAGCCGCAATCAGTTGGCGTCGTTCAACCTAACGAACAAATTGAGTTGTGGCCCACCGGAGAACTCAAAGCGCCTGAAAATCTAGGTCGCTATGTGGCGTACTACAGACTCAGATATGTCGAAGGAAACCTCTTTGGTCACAGCATCTGGCTCGAGTGAGTGGTTATAACAACAGACTATTGAATTTTGCAGCATGCTTATCGCCTCTTTTTCGTCAGTATCACCGTCTCCGAAGCTTTCCAACGAGACAGCCCAGAAATTCTAGCTTCCTCGGATTATTTATCGTCGTCTTCCATCGTAATTATGCCTACAGCTGCTCCCACTCCCTCTTCCGCTGTTGCAAACAGCGATGCGAACGGGAACGGTGCTCCTGAAGGACTGCACCGAAATTCGTCAATAAGTGACAGTCACAAATGCTTTGACCGCCGCCATGACTAGAGGCTTGCTGGTTCAAAGGAATATACATGTTGAATCCGAAATATCCAGGCATAACTCATGTATCGCCGACTCGTGAACTTCTTTCTCTTTCTCTCCGTTTGCCTTTGGCACCTCTCTATCTGGCTCCAAGTGGGTCAATGAAAAGCGGCGGACTCACGCCTTCGAGTCGGCGCAGGTATCGATACACCATCGACGGCTGTGGAGAACCGAAACGAAATACAGCATGGTATGCCTGGCGCCACTTTTCCTCCAGCTGACGGGCGCATAGTGGTGGATCGGGGTAGGAGGAACAGCATCGGTAGAGCCTATATCAGGGATTATAAGCTGTGACTTGACAAAAGGGAGGGTGTTCATTTTTCACCTTCTTCACGCTCTTTTTGGTCCTTGCGCGCGCTCAGTTGGAGACGGTACTAGATGCGTTGAGTTGAAGTCTTTTCTTCGGGGAATATCTAATTAACATCTACATCTTTCTTGTACAGCGATGGCGACACTGTCGTAGAGGACATCACCACTTATCGACAAGGTTCTTGACCACCTCAATTATGTGACTCCTACTCCTTCACTGCCTAAGTATTGTTTAACCTTTGATGACAGCTCAACCATACTACTTGGTGCTGCCACTACTGCGACTACGGCAACTACGGCAACTGTGGCAACTACCCCACTAACGCGAAAACTGCGACAACGGCTGCAACAACTCTTTAGCAAGGAGGAGTAGTCGATGCTGCAGGAACCACGAATACTGTCGATCCGAATGGGCCGACTCCATATACCTTGACTGGATCTACTTCAACGGCGGCGGCGAGCGGCGCTTCCCGGGTCTCCTTCTTGATCCATCGAAGGTGGCCGTTTGGTGATCTACAGAGCACGTCAGTTGCCTTTCATCCACTCAGTTTCTTGGCCCTCATAGAATATCATTCTACGTAGTGCCTCAAATTCAGCGCATTCGCAACACAGACACTAATGAACGCTAAACTGCTTGACCTCAAACGACTGGATCTTCATCGTAGGTGTCCAAGTTTTCATGGGGCTATTTCGCTAAATGTATTTTTTTTCGCGTGTAGGGCCCAAAGAATACGAAACGCACAAACCTGTAAAGGGCATCATCCACACAACGACCGCAATCCCAAAAGGTGTGATGTAAATCATTTCTTCTATACACGAAGGATTATCTTACGGATATTACGACGGGATTACTGGTCTCATACGTGAGCCCTGGCAAGGTGCGCAGAAGGGGGATTCCCAGGAGCAGTAAAAGGTGCTGGGAGAAGTTGTGAGTTTGTCCATCTACTACCCCTTCAATTGATCTTAAATAATTATTTGCTGTTGCTCCTAGTCATAACCGCGACAATGCGTCCCGCCGCTGGCATATCAACCGCATTATCAGACTCGCATGGAGGAACGGTTACAAGCTGTAGAGTCCAGTTCGGAGAACGAGAGGGTGAAAGTTGTGAAGAGATTCGAGGATCTGATGCAGAAGGAGAAAGTCATGGATAGAAAGAAAAATATTGCGAAAGCTGCGGAGGAGGTTATGTACTGTATAATCGGTTCCAGGGAACATAACTTAGATGGATGTTTCTACACAACAATCAGAAGATACAACGAGATTGAAAAACAAATCCAAAGTAGATACGATTGAAGATGCGCATTTTCGACAATTAATCAGATACTAATTTGCCTAACATTCTGGTCATGTCTGTGATTATGGTGAGCCAGTCATCGATGTATACCTCATTGTCATGATCATGACATTCTAAACCAACTCTCCACCATTTGAGGCAAGCAAGCAAGCCAACCCATGCATTTTTTCCATGCTTGTCAAGAGGAGACAAATCATGTCCAAACTCTTCGAAGGGCATTGGCAACCCATTCTTGTCCAACAATCGCCAATCAGGCTGAAGACTAGCCCACCAAGCCCATACATTCTCGACAAACTTTGGTGTGAAGAAGCCTTTCGTGTCGACTTTCGGTAGGGGTCGGGGTCGATTCTTCATCCAAGCTAACAAAACGGACGGCCGCTTTTCAGGTGAGAACCCAGCCAATTTGTGAGGATTGTGCCAGCCGGTCTTGCGTTCGTAGTCCATCCAGATTTGCAATAAGTCAAGATACTGAGGCTCAAATGCCATGTTCAGGTAATGGAAGGCTTCAAAAAACCACCCCGAAGTTGGTGCGTCAGCCGGATAGGAAAGAATGGAGGCTGAATACGAGGTTGATTTCAAGGAGTGGTTATTATCTGATTGGCCATCGATCGACAATGAATTGTCTTCTTGAGGAGTCGGAGAGAGATCAGGATGCTCTCGAGAAGCACCTTCGGAAACGATCTCCTGAAATACAGGTCAATATTATACAGTATAAAACAGGACAATGGTAGTCGCTGACCTGCTCAGGATTTGCCACGTCCCTGCGTTTTTCAAGATCGGCCAATTCATCTCGTAGAGAAATGACCTTGAAGAATACTCAGTGAACGGCCAGAATCAATGAGCTAATACAGCGCGTACCTCATGTAAAGAATTTTGCGCGACCGATTGATTGCACCCGCTCGATTCTCGAAGTTTAAGTATGACCTCCTCCAATTCCATGACCTCTAATTGGGTTTCCCGGTAATGGCGATAATAAAGATGCACATCTTCCTTGAGTGAAGCAACATCGTCCATTTCTTGATTCTAAACCTCGACCATAAGACGTGGTGTGAAAGTGGCATGTAATTAACATACGAGTATTCTCTCCATATCATCCTCTAGTTCTTTAACCCGAGCCTCGAGTTCGGCATTCCTTAGACGTAGAAGTTCGATTTCGTCTTCGTATCTTCCGTTCTGCATGATACGACGTACTTTCTATATGGAACAGACAAGGAGACATAGGATATAAATATTGACTTGCGGCATACGAGACTTACTGTATAAGAGAGATAATCCTCATCATATTCATCTTGATGGATGTTATTGCTCCAGGGAACAGCTCGTTTCAATTGTGAAGGCATGCGAGAGATCTTCGTTACGGGTGAGTTCAGGTGCGAATTTATAGCAAAATCAATGGTCATAGCTCGTCACTCGACGGTCTTTGCCAAAAATAGGCTCGAGAAGGAAATCTGAAGGAGTTGTGACCATTTGACAATTATCAACAATGAGGATACGATGTTAAAGAGAGTGATTATGATTACATAATTGTTCTGCAAGTAGACCTTGATCACCGCAACAACGAATTCCTCAAGGTGCATATCACCGCTTATATACTTCCTCGCTCTGATCAAAGTTAGTGAGATACGTGGGTGGGTAGGAGAGTTAAATTTTGTGCTCACCAAGTTGAGACAGATCACTTGGGAAGAACATAGCTCCCATCTTGCGACATGACCCAATAACCAACCAGTTTCAACGAATTCTAAATCACTAGAGAAAGTAGAAGAAACGGTCTTAGCTTGAAATCCCCGGTCCCAGAAACTTTGAAATGCATCAGGTGCTGTCTCGTTGAACGTGATTGGTAGACTTCTTCGTACTGCAAATCTAGTTTTTCCATCCTGCCTGAATATAAACTTGATTTGTCCCGCGACCCACTCAATTTGTTTATTTCCACCTGGATAAAAGCAGACGAAGGAGTTACCCTTCCCTGGGGCTGATGGAATTCCATAGTATTTTCCATGACCTGCATGGATTCGACTGAAACATTCAAGCTTTCTGGTACCAAGTAATGAGATCAGCTCCGAAGGTGTCTCAGTTTTGAATTGTGAAGGTTCGGAAATCTCCAAGACGTCGACCTCACATTCCTCCCAATGAGCATGTGTTCTGTTATCTTTGTTCAAGCCAAATGCCTTGTCAAGGAGCTGGCGTAGGACTTTCAACAGTGGTGGGCAATTAGGATGTAAAAGCCAACGGCGAAATGCAGAACCTTTACAAAAAGAGTGTAGTAATGTACTCTCGAATTCACCTATTGAACAAAATGAGATGAGACACCAGTACTAGAATGTGCAGTATCAAAAGTCGCACCAATTTTATGGTTGATTGTGATATTCCTCAATCGAGATATCAACCGCTCTCCAGGAAAACACCAGAAGTTATGTACCGGTCCAAAAAGATCCATATAGTCAAAGATATGGAAACTAACATGATGACTAGGAAGAATCCATCCAGGGAAATTGTGTTTTAGGCCGAGGATATGGCACCGTAGATATTCACGGAAGTTCAACCGATCTTGAAGTTGTAATCTATGCTTGGTCATTGTGATTAAAGCACAGGTAAGGTATAGCGAAGTGTCGAGGACTGAGCTCATATCCTTAGCATCAGATACTGCAATGGGCGAGTGAACCTGCCACATGCTCAACAGAGCCAGTGGTAGGAAGATAGCAAATAATCTCCGCCAGTTGTCTGCCTTTGGTGTCCCAGCTCTCGGAAGCCCTATATCCTCAGGAGGCTTGGAAATCCACGAAGGAACGGTCACCTCTTGTATTGCCTGTTTAATGCGTTTCAGAACAGCGGGTGAATCCACCGGTGTCCACGAGAGGGCATTAAATGGCTGTGTCATACGCTGCAAATATATGATCATGAACTCGGGGAGGAGGGAAGTAAAAATATGCACAATTTACCCAGTCGATCAATTGATGAATTAGAATCCGTTTGACTTCTCGTCTAGGTAGTTGCAAGGGGACTCGATTGAGATCTGCACAAACATATAGCAAAGCATCAATGCCTTCTGCATTCAAACCCTTGGCTAATTTCTCTCTCCCCACATTGCCGTCATCACACGGCGCCCAAAGAAGTTGATGAATATGACCTACACCAGTTGCGCAATGCCAGTTCATTTTCTTTGCCATATCTTGCATGATCTTTTTGCGTTCAACATCAGTTAGCATGTGACAAGCGACATTGCCATGAAAAGTGCGAGATAGGACAGGAGATGCCCACGATGCCCGGGGAGGAGTAATGTCAGTTGGTGTGAAGTGCGGCCAGACAAAAGCTTGATCTTCGTGAATGCCATTCAGGCGCTGCAAGAAATGTTAGAACTGTTCGTATTGTGGTGATGACTTACCTACCCATTCAATGAGTGTCTCTACCATGTCATCTTTAGTGATATCGCCCTTCGTAACTAACGCCTTTTTCGCAATTTCATCTGAAATTTGGGCGGGAAACACCATGAGGTCATTACAGACATACAATAAAACCCCCCACTTCTTGCTCTTCAACCTCGATCGTAGGTGAGTTTGCGTTAACTCTGTAAAAGGTCGCGGTGAAGAGAGATGATGATGTATATCAGTCAATTCTCGTTTATAGGCATTGATTTCGACTAGAAGGCTTGACATCCGTTGGTGGCGAAGTTGACGCAAATCGTTTGAAAGGTGATCCCACTCCAGTACTGCAGTCACAAGATCATCGTCAACTGCATCTATGGGCAATATAGGGGCGGAATTCACGAGAGATAATGGAGGAGGGGGGGTGAATTGGTAGAAATGTGCTATTGAGGATACCGGTGTTGTATTTTTGTTCTTAGGCTCCTTGGTGCTGCAAGGGTTGTCTAGGCGCAGGGCATCGCAGAAAAAGTTTCCAAAAATGTTCTTTAGAGCATGCATTGGATCAATGGACACTTGTTTTGAGGGACTAAAGTAAGGCAATCGCCAGAATTCTGAGGATCGCACCCCATAAAGATGCTCTATCTTTTCGCGTTCAGCACGACTCTCTGCATCTCGCCATTTCTCTGCGCCTGCACGGAGGTACTCGTCATCGATAGCCTCCCAGTGCTCGTAATCCACTGAACTTAGGTAAGCTTTGTGCCATGTTTGACAGGTCGCGCAGTAGGTATGTGAACCAATGTCCACTAAACCAGCAAAGGGATGTGATGCTTTAGCATCCATAGAAATATTGGCCAGAACTACTCGATGTGTGCGTTCGTATGGTGTTTCTTGGCCATCCGACAAAGCACATTGGATACCCCTGGTGTACGCAACTAATACCTCATCTATGAGTGGTCGTAAATAATGGTTGTAAGCGCCCGCCCTAGCATCGGGTTCTCGAGGACCCTGTATGACTCCAGGGATGTAGACGTAAGCCTGATCCTCCCTTATTTCTAAGGGAAGGTTGAGGCAGCTCATCGACATTATTCCTGTGGAGTTGTGTTTTCCACCATGCAGATTTCCCTCAATATTGAAGAAGTCAGCATGGAGCTTGAAGAACCAACGGCCTTCCTTCCCCCTCTCGCGTACAAAGAATTTTCCATCGGGTCCCTTTAGCTCGAAATAGAACCGGCCATCGCAGGCATTTCCTTTGTCTTCTGGAGGATGATCATCCGAAACCTGCTCGCAAAATACATCGCTATACTGTGCGATTCCCGGGAGAGCAACGAAGCGACCGAACCAGTCTAAGAACGAGTAAAACTCGAAACTTTTCACGGGTTTTCCGCTATCCCGCAGTAAAGATTCATTGCAGGGTTCTGCAAGGGCCATTGGGCGATGCGTGCACTTTAAGGGATACGTCGGCTTAGTAGAGTTGTCAGCGAAGGTGGGTAGATGTGTATAGCTGCACTTTGGACAAACTGCATATACAGTCGTCTCAACATCGAGATTAAACCTCCGCTCCAGTTGTCGGATATCTTCGGGTATGTCAGAGAGAGTTTTCCTTTGGAGTTCTGTAGTTCCCCCCGGATGTAGCAGTCCATAACTCATGCCAAAAATTTTGATTCCTTTGAGTATAAAACTAGAGACCGTGCGACCGATACCCTCCAAAAGCCGGAGCGTCAACACCAATGTATAAGCAATCAATGTCGCTGTTGTATATGTAGAAGAAATATCAAATGCAGCCACATCTGCGGAATGACTTAAGACATTGTTATTCTCGAAATGCGATCACGACGTACCATTGTCCACTCTCAATGGACTATTGTCCGGATATGATTCTCGCCAACTCAGAACCAGCTTCCTAACCTCGTCAAGGACCGCGTTTGCCTCTGAAACTTCCAGTTGAACCGCGTCACGTTTTGCTCCTTTCCTCAAGTCTGATGATGTGGCTTGTACCGCACGCTCTGCCCTTCCAACTACGTTCTGGATAACAGTCGGTTCCGATTCTGATGATAATCCCTGAAGTGCTGATAGATGATTCCGCATGTCTCTTTGAAGCGATTGTATCCGAATCGAGGCATCAATGACTGAACGATGTCTTAGTCGAGGATCCTTGAAAACGTCTGCTAGAGCACTGTCATTATCACTCTGAGAAAAAGTACTGTCGATCTATACGCAAATCAAATATTAGGGTCCGGTGTGAAGTGATGAAAGCAATCCCTCACGGTCGTCTGTGCGGTAGCAACAACTGTCTCCAAAATCGACGAGTCAAGCGGGGTAAAGTCCAGAGAGTCTCTGTTCAAGATGACTTGAGCCATGATTGACAAACCATAGTCTTCGCTGGGATGGTTTTGAGATGGCGAAACGCCTGAAATGGACACTGAACCTGAAGCGACCTGGAATGAGGAGTTCAAGTCTGTCTCTGCCCCAGAACCTGGACTGGTGTCGTTGCCATATATCTCCGGGTCGTTCCGCCGATGAAGAAGTCCAGAATCTGGACAAGCTGCGGGATTCATATCAATTGTAGAGCTCATACTTGCGTCGGAATTAGGAGAACAGTCATTGCTGGCCAGGATCTCAGAGTTTTTCTGTAGAAAGTTGCGGAACGCAAGTCGTTGACCAGTACGAGACCTTAGGTGGTTGTTTGAGGCCGACAAATACGAAGAATGAGAGGGAGGATCGGAATCTATGGAGTGGGAAAGATTATCTTTACTTTATGGGAAAGATTATCTTTCTCTTGTGGGAAATACAATTTTTCTCTCACGATCAATAGAACATTGATCAAACGGGAAACTTTTTGTTTTTTTTTACGTGAAATCTGATCAATATCCTCGGGGAAAAGTATTTAATTACTTAGGGGAAATCAGCGATTTCTCCCCAACATTTCCCTTTATATTTCCCGGCCGGGAAAAGCTGGGCCGTCACCTGTGATTATATCAATCCGAGAACAAAATTTCGAAGATAATTTCAGCTCATATCCACTACAAGCCCTCCTCAGAACATAGCCTTTCTGCGAGTGCTTCCCCCATCTGTCGAATCTTCGCAATAGGGGATTCCATCATCTTAGTTGCACGTTCCCATTCAACGTTCCTTCGCTGTGCAACTGCCAGCTTCAGCTCTTCCTGTTTTGCTTTTTCCTCTCGTTTGTCCCTCTTTAAAGCAAGCTCATAGTTCTTATACTCCATTTCTCTTGCCACCTTGTTTTTGTCCTGGATTGCTCCAACAGCATCTGCGAGGAATTTATCGCGAGTGATTTCTTCTTCGTCATCACTGAGGCGATTTCTTTTTGTCTTCTTCTTCTTTTTCTTCCGCTTCTTCTCCTCGTCGTCACTACTGCTTTCGGGCTCGGAAATGCTGGATGTAGAGTTCATATTTTGGCCACGTACAACACTACTATCATCATGGGCTCTAAAATAGATGTGTTATTAATGCAAGAGAGAACAGAAGTCATAGGGCGCACACTTTATCCAAGAGCTCGAAGATCTTCGAAGCTTCAAATGCATCGAGGACCCTCTCCGAAAACTTGGCTTTCCCCCGTCTCGCTATTCGCTCCTTGCTTTTATCATCCTCACCACGATCTGCATCACCATCGCCTCCACCTGTATGCTCCTGGCGCTCACGAACAGCCTTGTATTTCTCCCACAATGCTTTCCATGCATTTGAGAGTTGTGTAGCGGTGTATTTGGTCTTGAAAATGTCCGAGGCAGCCTGGAAAGCAGTACGTCAACTCAGCAATACTGATAGATGGATGAACACTCACATTAATCATCAGGGCACCCTGTCGCAACTTAAAATTCTTCCATCGTTCGGGACGAGTGAGATATTCCACCAGTAAAACCTTGTCTTCCTCTGAAACTCCAGACTTCTTTTCATCACCAGGATCCTTCAAGACTGCTGCTTTCATGTCCTCTGGTGAGAGCATCTCCATTTCTACATCCGAGTCGCCACCGTCTCTACGGTTTGTTGACCCAGATTTACTCCCTGTTCCCAGGGGTTTTTTTCGTTTCGTTTTCTTCTCCTTCTTGTCAATGTCGCATTCACCCGTCGTTGTTTTCTTCCTCTCTTCATCAAATTTCGGAAGCTCTGCAACTGTCTGATCATTCTCCTTCTGAGCTACAGGTACTGTTGGATGGTGCAGTGTGTTGATATTGAAAGACTGATCATTGTGGTCCTGCTGATTCCACCAATCATCAGACCAGTGTTCTGGCTGGTGAAGTTGACGATGGGATTGGAATGTGGAGGGCATGTTATCTCGAGGAGGGTTTGGTAGATACGCTCCACTTCGAAATGGTGTCGAAAAATTGTAAAGATATGTTTCGGACAGTGCACTGCAGGCAGAGCTTGGAGGAGGTTGTGTGGGACTGGGTCGAAGTGACTGGTAGTGCTGTGTTGGTACTATAGGTTGCCCATATTGGTGTCTGTCACTTTGCTGTCCCTGCTGAGGCGTTGTAGGGATAACATGGCCCTCTGTCCTTGCTACTGCTTGCTCTGCAAGAAGTTCCAAAGCATTCATCGCTAGTTCATAGAACAAAAGTTTTCCGAGGGTACCGCAATTACACAAGCGAAGCTTAGCGACGTCAAGATATATTGCTTTTAAAATTTCACTCGAAAAAAAAACTCTTAATTGAGTTGGACTAGTAAACAGGTAAAAAAAAAAACGTTCGGCTTAAATACGTCTCGCGAGATGCGACGGAGATGCGATGGAGATGCTATCATCTATGGCCTAAATTTGTTTCTCAGTGGAAACTATATTGATCCCTCGCGCATTTTTAAGCAAGTTGCAGTCTTGCAGAGCATTCGATAACAACGCGAAGAGACTCGAATTTTTCAGAATTTTTCTTATTCAGGAGTGAACGCAGGAATCGCAATAACAGCTTTAGCAGCCGTGTTGCCGGGTTGCCGATCAGTGCCGGGCGGTTATTTACTGTAACATCGCGTTCTGGTAGGTTCTAAGTCCTCTAGATCTTCCATGTACATACATACAGAGGCAGAACATGCTGCAATGCAGCGGAAAACGAACACTCAAAGCGTATTAGAAAAACACAGCACTGATCGGCAACGCGGCAACTAAAGCTGTTGCCAAACAACCCCAAACGGGTATTGCGACCTGACGTCATTCAATGCGCGCCCGACAATTCAATATCCTTTCTTTCAATTCTTCCACCATCTTCCTTTCAGATCATTGTATCTTAATATTTTGTAGGCCCTAATACGCGGTTTATTCTTGAGCTTACCTGCCTGTTGGGATGCTTGGGATAATCGGTGTTGCTCGCTGTGGGCGGGCATGCTCTGGCACTGGATCTTTTTCTAGACTTTCTACGCGACTTTCGCATATTCTTTCCCCCAAGCAGACCATTCCTCGTCTTCTCAACCAAGTTTCGACTCGGAGCGTTTCTCAATATGTACCGCAGCCAAATATAAAGACCTTCGCGACACAGCTTGGTATTCAATGTGGACTTCACCCTTGGTCACAACCTGGAATGACTGCACATTTAATATCTGCTAGACTACAGAATCGATCGGTTCATTCTCGTCGTTCGTTTGCTACCGATGCCAGCAGCGGCAGTCCGAATCCAGATCCCAACTCGACCTCATCTACTCCTCCTCCACGTCGCCGCACTCTCTTCCGCCGGCTCTTCATATTCTCCAAATACACGCTCTATCTATCTCTGACCTCCGTCGTCGGTCTTGTCGTCCTTACTTCCTTCCTGTTCATCCACGACCTGTTCACCTATACTTCCCGACACGTCGACCGTGTACCTATGAACCCATTGGCACTCCATCTCGAACGTGGCGGTCCGAAAAACCTCCCTATCGCTCGTGTTCTAGTCGACGATGACGAGGACGAGGACATGCATCGCATTGCGAGGGACAAACCTCGTTTGGTCGTTGTAGGAGGCGGTTGGGGTGCCATGGGCGTGTTACAGACACTACATCTCGGAGATTATCATGTTACTGTCGTGTCCAACGAGACGTTTACCACATTCACACCGCTCTTGCCTTCTGCTGCAGTAGGAACCGTACAAATCAGGAGTCTTATTGAGCCAATTAGGAAGATCGTGGCCAGGCTAAGAGGTCATTTCGTCAACGGGAAGGCGGTCGATGTTGATTTTGGGCAGAGGTTGATTGAGATTGAATGTGTCGGGAACGGAGAAAGGGTTTACATTCCGTGGGTACCAACTTTCTATCTTGTTGATTGAAATCACTCATGGCTTCTCACATAGCTACGACAAGTTAATCATAGCAGTCGGTTCGACGTCGAGTACACACGGCGTCCCAGGCTTGGAACATTGTTTTCAACTCAAAACCATTGCTGACGCGCAGGCCATTAGAAGAAGGGTCATGGACAACTTTGAGATCGCCTCTCTCCCCACTACCTCTCCCTCTGAACGAAAACGCCTTTTGAGCTTCGTTGTATGTGGCGGTGGACCGACCGGTGTTGAGACTGCAGCGGAGATATTTGACTTTTGTCAGGAGGACATCATGAATTACGTATGTGTCCAGCTTTTTTATTGAACAATGTTGCTCGCCTAACGAAACTTCCACCAGTTCCCGAAAATTTGTCGTGAGGAAGTATCGATCCATGTCATCCAGTCGAGGGGGCATATCCTGAACACAGTGAGGGTCTTTATATACGTTGTTCTTCGCCCGCTAGTTGTGTTATTCGTCTATGCACCTTTTTTTTTCTTCCAGATTCCCTTTCTCACACATTGCTTATACTCCAGTACTCGGAAGCGATTTCACAATATGCCGAAGACAAATTCAAGAGGGATGGGGTTAACCTAATTACGAATGCAAGGTAGGTCCTGCCGTTTCCGACCAACTCAACTTTTTTTTTCAAATTCCTTGCAACTTTCACATCTTTCCTCAATCTCAGAGTCGCCGCTGTTACTCCAGAACATGTCATATACACGTCCAAAAACGAAGACGGGAAAATGGAACAACATACGATTCCAACGAATTTTACGCTTTGGTCAACTGGTATTGCGATGAACCCGTTTGCGAAGAGGGTGACGCAACTTTTGCCTAATCAGGTGATGATTGCTGTGTCTCAATAAACCCAATCATCTCACCGGCCTCTTCCCCCTTCCTGGCCAAACTGACAGTTCCACAAAAAGGCCATCGAGGTCGATGCGCATTTGAGGGTGAAGGGTACACCACAAGGCACAGTCTATGCTGTTGGTGATGCTGCTACGGTTAGTTCTGTTTTTTGTCGCCTTAACGCATCGTGCACTGAACTTTGATTCTCTCAACTTCCTCCCCGAATCTATTCTGAACGGACCTTTTGGATGATGGTTGGGACTCACCCCGTTATGGAATATCGTTCACAGATCGAAACCTCACTTGTTAGCCACTTCCTCGAGTTCGTTGAGGAAGCGGATCAAAATAAAGACGGGAAGATCGATTTTGATGAATGGGAGGTTATGGGTGGGGTTTTTCCCATAAATCTTTCCTGATTTATTCCTACATTGCTAACATTGAACTTGTCTGATAGTTAATAGAATAAAACAAAAGATCCCAATGGCTGAAGATCATGTTAGCAAGGTGCGTGTTGTATATCTCTGTTTTTTGTTCCCTGGCTCATCTTCTCCTGCTTCTTTGTATACCTTTTGGCTCTGTCATGCTCTTAAATCAACTTTATCCCGACATTTGGTCGTGCCCTCTCCCGTGACATACCCCGTTAGGCCCGTGAAATATTCACAATGTACGACGTTAACGGGGACAATGCCCTTGAGCTGAACGAGCTCGTAAAGCTATTGGAGGATTTGGGAAATAAAATTACTAGTCTGCCTGCTGTGCGTCCATCTTTCATAACAACTGCCCATGGATGGTTTGAAAATTATTCTTTCTATCTCAATTCTTGTTTTCTTCTCCTTTCGGCCTTGTCTTATTGTTTGAACCTTTTTCGCACTTCTTAGACTGCTCAAGTTGCTTCACAACAAGGAAAATATATCGGGAAAAAGCTCAACAAGTTAGCCAGACGGATGGAACGACAAGAACAAGAACAAAAGATGGAGACCACGCAGCCGTCTGCTGGATCTGCCACTGCCAATACTTCTTCTGAATCTGCCAGAAACCTGATTCTCATCCCTGACGAAGCCATCTCTGCTCCCTTCCGATACTTCCACCTTGGGTCCCTCGCGTACATTGGGAACGCTGCAGTGTTCGATTTAGGCAAATACTCTTTCATGGGTGGTCTAGCGGCGATGTACGCCTGGCGAAGTGTTTATTGGAACGAGCAGGTGTCGGTGCGGACGAGGGCATTGTTAATGATTGATTGGATTGTCAGGTGAGCCTTCCTCTTGAGACCAGTCCTTGCGTTCTTTTCACTTAGTGTGTCTTTGAATCTACTTCGCAGGGGTGTATGGGGCAGAGATCTGTCGAGGCTCTAGATTTTCGGCATCTCTTGTGTGTTTACCAAGATATCCGAAGTGAAAAGTATGAAAATTCTGTGGGAGTTTAGGAGAAAGGACTACATAAATTGTGTATTATGGTTATGCTTTGATTATTATCACTTAATCTCACTATACCATAGTATTGTTATGCATCGGAGTAGAGTCGCGAACGGACGCGAAATATTAGAGCATTGGGACCAAATTCTTGCATTAGTATGTGCGTTGTGAATCTAGGATACAGATGTCGCTCTGTTATGTATTTGCTGAAGTAGGGTCGATGTTCAAACGCAACGATAATAAGCCTTGTTAGCAGTGGGCAAGTTCCTTGATTACTCATGATACACTAGTACTACTATGTACGCATGGAACTATCATTAGTGGTACTAGCAGATTAGTATTTAAACAAAGATCAAGGCAAACAACCTTGGCGGACTACTACCCGCTCTTTGGATCCTTTCCGCGCTCCTCCTTGAACGGCACGCTGAGTCTCACATGATCCTCATCAGCTTCATCGACCTCCACTTGGAGCGGACTAACCGACTGGTGATTGACTGATTTTGTGTCCAAGCTCGTAAGTGTCTCCTGTAAAGATTCATCGAGTTTCGATATTTCGCCATCAGCATTATCCATCATGTCCTCGAGCTGCGCTATCTCCTCCTTGAGTCCAATCGCGGACATACTGTGTTCGACGGAATCCGGATCAACTTCATTGTCGGATATTGAGGATGATACATCCAGCATCCCCTTATCCCATGCTTGACTAGCCTCTTTGAACTCTGGAGACCTCTCCTCGATCTCTTTTAGGAGATAGTTCACCTCCGCAATCTTCTCGTCTTCTGCCGTCTTCTCTGATGATTCAGCCATCTCTACAGATTTTGTCGTATATTCTGGGTGTGAGTTCTGCGGGTTCTCCTCCCATATCTCTGTATGCTCCGGAATGTAACCTAGAAACTTTTCGAGCTCGGGAATCACATCACGATCGCGGGCAAAAATTCGTTGAAGTGCCGCGGATCCCTCCGGAGAGTGTTCGATGTGCTCGAAAGTGAGTGTGTCTGGCGTAGCAAGGAGTTCTACGAGTAGCGGCTCGGTCAATTGTTGGATTTGTTCAGAGGAGGAATCCTCAGATTTCGGTAGCGATATCTTGAACAGCGTAGGTTCGCCGTGATATTCGAGTAAATAGAATTCACTAGGCCTTTCAACGACAGCGAAGACAAACGACTTGAACTCCCTCCTCCCCTCTTCTTCTTCTCCCTCGCCCTGATTCAAAGCCAGGTCAGGGGTGGAATAAACGATAGGTCTCGTCTCCCCTCTGATTCCAAAATGAATATTGAAAATGGTCTCGATTTGCGGTAGCATGAGATATTGAGGCGATGTCCAGTATAACGAGAGAAGCATGTCCCAACAGTCCCAGTCAGCCGACCAGCCAAACGGAACGGGCACTTTAGGAGGGGGCCAAACTTGTTTGGCGCGGTCAAGGATTGACAGAATGGTCTGAGCCTAGATGAATTTATAGTGAAGGGAGATGAACTATGAGTTGGGCTTCACAGTAGCAGTACTCACTGTATATAAGTCCATCCCATCGACCTCTGCTTTTTTTGATGAGTCTGTTTTTGAAGGTTCTTCTGGTTCGGTGTTTCCAGAAGTGTACTGACGGCGAATCGGGGGATTGAGGCTGGCATTTCACATACTATAGGTAAATCTCTTGATACTCAGGATAAAATGAGGGGCTTACTTGTTCTGAGATGTAATACATGTTGAATCAAAGCTATTTAGTCGACCATGGAGTCCACTACGACAAAAACCGCGTCGTCCATGAGAATTTGCCTGTGTACAGAGTAGATGACAGGAGGGCAAAGTTGGTCTGGATGAGTGTGTAGCTTTTATTGAAGAAGACAGTGTCCTCAAGGATGTTCGTCGTTCAATAACAATGAGAAAACGGCGGACGGGACGTGAGGAAAGCATTTTAAGCGCTCGACGCGTCTGGCAGAATTTCTACCGGCCCGCACATAGCCGCACGCGTCCTCGATCCATTGTTTGCGTTCATTATTGATACTACATTATCCTAAGACTCAAAAGAGGGGTACATACTAGAACGCTCAGTTGAACAGATGCTCGTTCGGCAAGCTAATTTCGAAACCCTGCTCCTTCCAATATTTCTCAACATCCAAAATACCGTCAATTGTATCCACGATGGATTTATTGAAGGAGTGATAAGAGTCCTTCTTGATCCCAAGATATTTCTCGTTCCTCTCAAGATCAGTCACCTGCATAGGCCAGACCGGTGCCTTTTCGGGGTCGCTCAGACGGGCGGCAAGCTCTGGTCTGACCTCCTTTACGTGCTCGATGACCTTTTTCCAATTATGCTCTTCAGGAGCACCGAGAAGAAAGCGACGATCCCTTGGCTCGAGTTGGTCGATGGCGGTGTTGTGAATAGCGTTGACATGTGCATCCGCAATGTTCCTCAGATCTACCCACCCAGGATAAACAACGAACACTTCGTTATCGGGTCGAAGTAGGAAATGGACGAAGTAGTTGGTGCTTTCGACGGAGTACAGTTTAGGGTTGTTGACGATGTATTTGTAGTTGGGGACAAAAGGACCGAAGATGTATGTTGGGTCGACTGATGGTGCGTATCATATGTTAAATGCTGCAGGTGCGTAAACGAATGAACGCACTGATAACCACCCTGGTATCGCGGTGCTTTTCCGCCCAATTCATGACAGTCTGCTCACAAATGATCTTTTGAGCAATGTAAACGACGAAGTGCTGAGCCTCAGTGGTCTTCCGGGCATCCTCAAATGTAATAGGCCGCCAGTCTACACAGTAGTGGGAATTTGGTCATAGGGAAGACGGACGCAAACATACCTCGGGGCCCAAAGGGACCCTCGATATTATAGGTCACTTGTGATCCAGTAACGATTATACTCTTCACGCCAGCAAGACGCGCGGCGTCCATCATTTTCTCCGTCCCTTCCGTCGCGAACTGGAGGTAAGAAAAATTAGGGTCCCATTAGTACTTGGATGGATCATGTGGATCTTCCTTCATCACTCACCTTCTCAACGACCTCCATCGGACCTCGAAAAGAGGGTAGAATCGCAGCGACATGGATCAAAACTTCCACATCTACATACGCACACGAGTAAGTTGACCAAAAAAAGGTGCGTATCAAGTTGAATGAAATGCATACCCTTGAATAACGCGTTGAGATCAGAGGATGCAAGATCAGGGATATCAACGACCGTGAACTTGTCGTATGTTTCAAAGATTTTGGCTAATTGGGACACTTTGTCTCCACGAGCCGCTCTAGCAGTTCAAGAATAATCAACGATTGTCAAAATGGTTTATACCGTCCACAAGAAAGCTTACCCCTGGACTGTATATCCAGCGTCGAGCAGTTTCTTCACGATTTGAGATCCCAGGAGCCCGGAAGCACCGGTAACGAAGTATGAAGTATAGACCATCGCAAGACTTCTGATTTTGTGAGAAATAGGGATTGGGGTTTCAAATTCTGAAGGGTGAACGCCGATGGAAAATAGAGATGTAGGGGCGAGACAAAAAGCGTGAAGGGAGAGATGATATATAGGACGACCAGACTCTGCACTAGTGCGGTATTTTACGGCGGCCCTGAAAACATGAGTAGTATGATAAGGTCGTTGCCGGATCGTTGCGTGGATGGATTTGACATATTCAATAACTTTGCCAGGCCTTTGCTAAAGGACTATTTTAGATGGAGTTATCTGTTGCCGTTAGGATTTTCTTGATCGAATGTCGGTAGAAACCTGGTAGAAACAAGGAGTTGCAGACTGGGGCTGTCGCGACTCGCAGCCGGTGCCCTCCGGTGCCGCGTGGTTTTGCAAATGGCTGAAGGCTGAACGTGAACGTTGAACCTGGGAATCTGCAGGAACATCCCCTAAAGTTTCAGGCTCTGCCCCTCCGGGCTCAAAGCCATAAGTCGATCCAAGCAGGACGCTTTATACCTTGCAAGTTGAGAATTTGAGTGGAATCATCGTCCAACATTGTTGTTGTTGAAGGTTTCTCTCATTTTCTCTCTGAAGATTAGCACACCTTCTCGCAATAATCAGCGATAATCTGAACCGGTCAGAAGTAAAGCTACAAACTACCAATGACCACTGACCTCCTCAGTTCTCTGTCTCTACTTATAGAGCATTAGACGCTCCCACTGTGCATCTAGTATAGTCTGAGTACAGTCAAAGAAAAGACAAAAAGCAAGTGTGCTAAATTGCCCCTAGACTGCCCTGCATGAATTGGAATTTGACATCGGACAAAAGCACATGACCTTGATTCAGTGGCGAAAATAACGTTTCGGCGTTCACTAGCACTGGTTCACTTCTGATCTTGTTAACTTTCACGACTAGAAATATACATACTGATCTCTATAGTTCTCCACCAGCTCTCCACTAAAAGAGACTTAAGGAGACTGCAGGTTACTGCAGATGACAGGAAAGAACGAAAGAATGTTTGTACTATAGGGTGGTATCGGCTACTCCGTACGCGTGCCGTAAACTTCATCCAACCCTGAAGACCACAATTCTGGAAGCGACGGATGATATCTATCGGGCGTAGTAACGGTCGATTTCGATTTCCTTGGAATGAGGGTAACTGAACGCACATATATAACTCTTTGATCCTTCCCAGCGTTAGAACCCATCTACAACCCACCAGCTCTGTCGCCAAAAAAGGTCGTGCGGTTCTGTGCATCCTGTAAAGATGGCAGTCGAGATCACCATAGATAATTCGTATGTTCACTTTTTTAACATTTAACTTCCAGTCTCATTATTTACTCAGGCTTGGAGCCCTTTTCATTGGCCTTATTATTGCCTCTGTGTAAGAATATTGGACAATTCTTTCGCGTATCCATTCAACTTATGACATCGTGGACACCACTGCAGCTTAAATGGCGGTATGCTACGTTGTATATGCTGCGTATTGTGAAAATGGTTGAACTTCGTCTTATAGTCACTTTTTCGCAAACGTGGTTCTACTTCAGTGCTCAGACTCGCGACCGTTCTGACCCAATATGGCTCAAATTGACGGTAAACACTTATAGCTTTCACCAAGTAAAATCGAATCTGAAACAGATCCAGGTCATGACTGTTGTATTCCTCGACCTCATGCACCAGTTGTTCACCAGTCAATGGAGTGAGTCCTCTCTGACCCGCTCGCGCACACCGTTACTAACAAAGCCAAGTTTACTATTACTGTGTCACCAATTTTTCCAATGCGGCTGCTCTCAATACCATACCTTGGTGAGTGGATATATCTCATCTATTTTGCCTTTCCTTCTTCGTACCTCACTTTCGGTTGTTAGAAGTCGGGGAAGATAGCTTCTGTTGGCATTTGTTACATGCAAAAGTCAGACTCAATATTGTATTTTACTGACCATCATTTGTAGGAGCTACTATGTAAGTCGCCCTATCCGCGAAATTTGAGGCCATGTGGTGATTTCATACTGAATCTCACCAGGGAATGGCCATGCCAATGGTTAGTATCAGGCTCTACAACTCAGAAAAGTCTACTAACTTTTGATTAGGGTCTCAATACTATCATAGTCCAGACGTGCGCTAATAATGCTTTACTTCGGCGTGTTCATGCTTTCTAACGAGTTCTCAGCTTCTACGTTTGGCGAGTATGGAAATGTGTGCTTTCTCCTCAATTTGAACTGGTCAAATTTTAATATCATGTCGTATTACAGTGAGCAAGCACCTTATTCTTCCAGGAATACTGGTACGTTCGTTGCGAGAGTCCCAAAGCTTAGGATATATTCGATCTCAGTATTGACTTGTCTTTCAGTGGTCGGTCTGCCTAACTCAATTTGGTGAGTATCAATCAGTACATTAAATATACCCTTGTTAACACACTGCCAAGGTTTACTACTTTGTGAGTGTATTACCGAACACCGTAGTAAGCTCTAGAGTGCTGAATGATAAGTGAATTGCAGACTATGTGTACCGAGTGTAAGTGTTTTTTCCAGGTTTTTTTCTTTTGCTTATTCTTCTTGCTCACTACGAGGATCATAGGTCTGGTCTTACGTCGGCCGCGGAATTCTCCACTGTAATGGGGGTAGGTCGCGCCGTATTCGGAACTTTGGATAATCTTCGAACTTGTATTTTTTTCTATTTCAGCCCTATGCGATCGCTACGAATGGAACCGGGACTGCTGCAGACATCTTTATTGCTGCTGCGATGGTCCATCTTTTACAACAAGCCCGAACCTCTATCAAAAGGTACGAGCATGTTGAGTCCATGTCTGACATGATGACCAAGCCTCGTTTAGGACGAACAATGTGCTTCGTGCTGTCGTGCGTGTCGTCGAACGTAACTCGATACACTTTCTGACCTTTATCACTGATTTACAGACGATCTTTAGTGTGACAACTGGTATTGTCACTGGGTAAGTGATAGGTATATCTGTTCTTCTGTTCTTCTGCTCGCCGTTAGAGCTTCTAATTCTCCCTTCGACAAAACAGCGTTTGCGCTATTTTCGTGCTTTCAATGGCCAGTGCCTATCCTGGTACGAACATTGAGGTCACATTCTATTTTATCCTGGCGCGGCGTGAGATTTTACTTCAGTGAGCCTCTTCACACCTCTGACTCACGTTCATAGTCTATGCCAACTCTTTTTTGGCAACGCTGAATGTTCGAGATCACATGCGCGACCGCAGTCATAGCGGGGGTGTTATCACAACGTCTGACTTCCAAGTTCACCCTCGCACCAACAACAGTGCAATGCAGCTGACAAATGCCTCGCATGAGCTGGATAATTTCCCTCGCCAAAAAACGCAGATAGTAAGTTTGTTTATTTTCCTCAGTGCGGTATCGATTTGCTTAATGCGCGGTTGATTAGGATGATAACAGTCACGGAGAGCTTGAGACTGTCATTTCTGTGAAAGTCGATCGAATCACAGACAGGAATTATCAGTGATTTTGTAGTATATAGTGGAGCTAGTAAGAGAGTGCAGATTTTTGAATGTTACATCCCCTCCTTTCTTTACAGTAAGATCATGCCGGAAGACAATTCAACCACCTCCGCGGAATGAGCAACGTGAAGTCTATGTTGTAAACATTCAGTACTGTTCGCTCTACATACATAAATAATTATTGTATATGAAGTCCGTGCTATGAGATCAACTTTCAAAGAGTGTTACGAATGGAGGTCAGTCTGTTAATTCATATAAATAGTAACAGGGAATCATCAAAAGCGATCTGAACCTGTAATCACAAGAATTGAACTGCGTCACAGTGCCTTGGTATTAAGTGGTTCATTGGACGTGTTGTATCGCATTTCGAGTTCCTGAGCCGAACCGTGACCGCTCAGAATCCAGCTCACTGGAACAAAATTCCAAATGTACATGGCAAGCACCACCATCGCGGAGTCAAACAGATCTGAAATGCATAAAATAGTGAAAATGAGAATTAGTCGTAGAATTTCCGTTGCGTACCAAAAGTCCATTGCGTTTGAATGACTATCCCGTTCCATCCGTCCCCGAGCTCGATTAACCGGTAAATTGCTCTATAAAAACAGAATCAGGCAGAGGGATGGGGACAAAAGGTAGGACAGACGTACCGGATGAACAAACAGAATGTCGCACAGAACACAGCATACAGACCAATCCTTCTTCGCTTGTCCATATAACCGTTCTTCAAGTTCTCTGTGTCAAGCCTGACAGGCTTATCCGCGTTGAAGCGATACACGAACTCTAGCGCGATTGCAGAGAAGATGATGAGGATCGCTATAACACGCTAATCAGTCCGCAACTTGAGTGACAAACGGCAACGACCACACACCTAGTTGTATCGCTATTCCTGCGAGCATGATATTCGTCCCCTGGATCAAGACATGAGTCTTTCTATCTAAAAAAATGAAGCCGCGACCTCGAACTCACTAAATTAACGCCTGCGTCATCGTTAGCACTGGCTGTCATTCCGCCTCCAACCGCTTGTACGACCAAGGACACAACGTCCTAGGAAAGGATGTGATAAGTAAAAAAGATATCGAGAAACGGACGAAAGTTCTGAACGTACGCAGGATAGAAAAATCCTGGAATCTAGTAGATGATCAGTTTTAATCATACAATAGACTGAGATTAGGCGCACACAGTGTGGGTTTGAAACGACTGTATTGAGGTCCCAGCATTTTGACCAGACGACCGAAGATGATGAAATGAGCACCCAGCAGCGGTGTCGGTGAAATAATAAGGCAAGCAATTCTAATCATTCGCCAGTCAATTTTCTTGGGGTGAGCCTTTCACGAAGGCTTATGTAGCTTACTGTATCATATAAGGATCGGCGGCCTGTAAATTCTGATTCGACCACAGTCGCCCCGCCCAACCAAGAATTTCTCCGCATCCAGCGAGAATTATGGTCGGCAGAAGAAACCACTGTCGTGCGAACAATGTATGGATGAGTTGAGCAGCTAATAAGAGGTGTCAGTTTTTCAGCGCTCTAAAGCACTACTTGAATCAAGCTTACTAGTGGAAACCGAAAATAGTGTAACGAACATGATGCAGATCCATAAGGTAGGCACATAGCCATATGGACTATCAGTGTCGTCGGTAGAGGCTCGAAGTACAAAAGGACTAGAAGATGAAGAGTTCATGAAGTCTAAGGGGAATGTCTAATAACACCTAGGGCCCCGGATTGGGTTCAGCGAATCTATAAATCAGCCTGACAAAGAACTCGTTTGTTTTTATAACATCGGGCACGGCAAATTTTTGCCACTTTCACTGCCTACGAGTTGCGTGTTTGAGTGGTGTCCAACTGGCGCAGTACATTTTAGATTGAGTCACGACAAACGACTGGCTACGGAAAGCTGTGGTTGAATGGCCCAACGGGAGGTAATGGGTGTTTGGCAAAGATTTTTATCACTCAACAGACTTACACCGAAATAAACATTCAGGTGTACTGGGGGGTACCGTCCGACAGTTGAATCACGTTAGTTTGGTTTCTGGGCGCGATTATGCTCGAGGATTTTTGAGCATAAAGCACAGATATATAGATACTTGAAAGGATATATTCCATCACAATTTTGATGTAATCACCAGGCACACAATCTAGCAAGGCAAGCTTTTACTTTCAGCTACAGGACGCCAAAACCACAACGCACATCCCAGCTGTCTAATTACCCATCTCCTTGGCAAGCTGCTCAGCCTTGGCTTTGACATCCTCAATGGTACCGGACTGCGGAAAGAAGTTAATTTAAATTCGGCAAGATGATGCATATAATGAATGCTCACCATATAGAAGGCAGACTCAGGCAGAGAGTCATGAGCACCCGAGAGGATCTCCTTGAAGGAGCGAACGGTGTCTTTGAGCGACACGAGCTTGCCCTCGTAACCAGTGAAAACCTGAGCGACCTGGAAAGGTTGCGACATGAAACGCTGGATCTTACGAGCACGTTCGACCTGAAGTAAAGGACTGTCAATGACAATGTAAAATACGTCCAGAAGAAAACTCACAGTGAGCTTGTCCTCTTCCGACAATTCATCCATACCAAGAATAGCAATGATATCTTGAAGCGACTTGTAGTCCTGGAGAATCTTTTGGACAGCGGTAGCAACGTCGTAGTGCTCGCGGCCAACCTAAAGGAAAAAGGTCAGCTGATCAAACATATTTTAAACGCGTCGTGCTCACGATACGGGGGTCCAGCATACGAGATTTGGAGTCGAGAGGGTCAACGGCAGGATAGATACCAAGCTCGGCAATACCACGAGACAAGACAGTGGTAGCGTCCAAGTGAGCGAAAGTTGTTGCCGGGGCAGGATCAGTCAAATCATCGGCGGGGACGTAAACAGCCTGGACAGATGTGATAGAACCCTTCTTGGTGGTGGTAATACGCTCTTGCATACCACCCATATCAGTGGACAAGGTGGGTTGGTAACCGACAGCGGAAGGAATACGACCGAGCAAGGCAGACACCTCGGAACCGGCCTGAGTGAAACGGAAAATGTTGTCGATGAAGAGCAACACGTCCTGACCTTCCTCGTCACGGAAGTACTCGGCAATAGTAAGACCAGTGAGGGCAACACGAGCACGGGCACCCGGGGGCTCGTTCATCTGACCGAAAACGAGGGCAACCTTGGAGTCACCTTCAAGGTTGATGACACCAGTTTCAATCATTTCGTGGTACAAGTCGTTACCCTCACGGGTACGCTCACCGACACCTGAATGTAACCAGTTGAAAATTGACGCATGTAGAAAGCAAACGGGACGTACCACAGAAGATAGAGAAACCACCATGGGCTTTTGCAACGTTATTGATAAGTTCCTGAATCAACACCGTCTTGCCAACACCAGCACCTCCGAAAAGACCAATTTTTCCACCACGAGCATATGGAGCAAGAAGGTCAACAACCTTAATACCAGTCTCGAGAACCTCAGCAGTAGTCGATTGCTCGACGAATGGTGGAGGGTCGGCATGGATAGGGCTGAGTTTGACACCCTTTATAGGACCACGTTCGTCAATGGGTTCACCGATGACGTTCATGATACGACCGAGTGTACCAGTTCCGACAGGGACGAGAATGGGAGCCCCAGTATCAACAACTTTCTGTCCACGGACAAGACCTTCCGTACCGTCCATGGCAATTGTACGAACTGAGTTTTCACCCAAGTGGGACGCGACCTCAAGGACAAGACGGCCTCCATGGAAGTCCTGGACCTCAAGTGCATTGAGAATTGGAGGGAGATTCTCAGTGTCGAACTGAACGTCAACAACGGCACCAATGACGGTTTTCACCGAACCAACGACCTGCTTGGCCTCAGTAGCGTACGAGCGAGCTAAAAAGTGGAAAATCTTCGTTGAAAAAACGAGAAAAAATGCTTTAGCGTATAGGAAACTTACCAGCTACAGGAGAAGCGCGCTGAGGACGAGACGAGGATTGACGGGAAGAAGAGGATTGTGAAGGAACACGCTGAGAAAGAGCAGCGGTAGAGAAGAAGGCGTTGGTTTTTTTAGCAGAGCTAGCTGCTCGCCTTGACAAACGGGCGACGGCGCCACGGGTGGTGAGCATGATGATGGAGGTGAAGAGAAGGACGAAGGTCAAAGTCAAAGACGATATACACGTCGAAATTAAATTTCACACAATATCCCGGGTTCATCCGGTTTCGTAAGCGCTTACTAAACCGTGGAGCGCCCAAAGGCGCCTACTATCGTGCCTGCCGGCTTTGAAAAGTCACCCGAGTTTGAAAATACATTTTGAAAGGTGTTCCCTTCATTTATAACTGCATGTATGTATCTATATCAAAGGAAACAGCTATGATTCATATAGTTGTGGATTTTTATTGAACAAAAATGGTTGTGACGTCGTTCCGCAAGCTTTGTAAATCGCAAAATCCAATTTTCAAACACTGGTGATTTCAGAGTCTTCATCGGCAGCATCGACATCACATTCATTGTCCACATATGTTGGGCATTATAAATGGCCAGTCAGCTTGAATACATGCTATGCTATGTGTATGCCAAATCCAAAAGCAATATGAGTCAATACAAGGTGTTTACAAAAGAATTTTCAAAGAATTTTCAAACACTGGTGGCATGATAGTAACTGAGGTAAATCTCCAAATTTCTCTGAATTTACTTCAAAGGATCACAAAATACATCATAACTTAGTTCAATGCTTGCATTAGATGGGCAGGGCATTTGCAACCTCCCTAACCCACACCTTCATCATCACACAACCAATTGACACTCACGAAGCTTCATTCTTTGTCCTGTGACGAATGCTAAATAGTAAGTATATAAACCCTGTTGACTCATGATACATGGTATCGATTGACCATGCTTCCCAACATTGATTTTGCAAAAGCCCACCATGTCCTCCAGCTGAAGGAGTATCCCTCTCAAGCTGACAAGAGCATAAATGCTCCCAAACTTCAAAATGTAGTAGGCTAGAATTGAATCCAGATTGTTTGTCTCACTCAGACTGCCGAGGACAAGCCGTGTACAATGTAGTTTTACTTTGGTCATGTAACTCATCATCGCGTGAAGAAAGCTCGCTATAAATTGTTTTCACCTTTTTCAACACTCACCATGACTCCTAAACGCAAGTCCGACGCCAAGAACACAGGGACCCAAAGTAAGAAAACCAAAATATCTACTTCATGTTTGAAATAGTCTCAATACGTTGGATGGGTATGCGATGCGTATCTTGCAACACAGGAAGAGCAAAAGAGAGAATTGAAGTCAAATGAGCAGGTAAAGCTATAGCTAGCTAGAGAAGGGACACCAATATTATATAACGAGATATAACGTGACGTGGTTCTTACATTCATTCTCATCCTTGCACTCCATAACAGCCTATTACCCCCTTATGATACGAGTTTTTCCGAGAAAAATTAAGAAATACTACGAATAACATTCTGCGCTTGATGTCAACATCAAAAGTCGGAAACTTCTGACTGAGTGCATTGTGTCAGAAAAGCTTGGCAAGGACACATTCAACAAAAAAAGTGATTTGGGGTGCAGGAAGGTGAAAGTACCGCAATTGCTCATAAAATTTGTGTCATGCCCTGACCGCAACCAGACCAACCCCAGCACCAGCCCACACACTTCCTTACACCTCCCCAAGACATTCCCGAGGTAGTATGCACCTCCCCAAGACAGTACCACTGGTAATACGCACCTCCCCAAGACAGTCCTGACAACCATCCTGACACGCGTACGAAACTCCTAACACCAGCCCCATTAAGTACCAATCTCGATCACCTGCCTCATGTCCCCTAGACTCTGATGTTCCCTTGTTCACTTCCCATACCTATTTAAGTAGCTCCGTAACGTCCCCAAGCCCCAGCTTGGTATATTTTGAACACACACCCTTTTGCATAGGTCCAGTCCCTGTCCCTTTGTACCTGCTAACCATACGGATTTCTCTTTACACTCTGTTTCTCTACCTCTGTTTCTCTTTACTCTCGTCCACTGTCGTCTATACGATCGAATATACCCTTTTACTTCAAGTCTAAGCCATCTGAGTGAGTCTCCGAGCTCCCTCGAACATTACTAAAGCTCCCCAACGCCTAAACGCTTTGGTGAGCTACCCTTCCCCAAACCTCCCAGAGTTCCCTAGCTACTTTGTAAGCTTCGGGACCTTTAAGTAACGTCGAGGCTACCCCTCACGTCAAACCACGTATCGCTTCTCCGTTACCACCTCCAACACTCGAGGACGTCCATCCTCAAGCCCAGTCCCCGGGTGTATACCTCCTCGGGAGCTTACTACCTCGAGACCCATTTCCATCTACGGCCTATTCGAACCCTATATTGACATTCTAGCAAGTACAACTCCTACTACGTGATATTACGAGGTTCCATACTTCTACCTAACCTTCCTGGACCTCCTAGGAACCCCCTCAAGGGTCACCATCTCTTCGTCCCATCCACTACTAGGTCATTCCTGTCCTCGGTCACGGTTCCCGTAGCTCCCTTCGAGCTCCAGCCTGCTCCTAGCACGCTACAACATAAACCTTCATATACCAGACCCTACCTTAAGACCTATTCTGACCCAGGTCTTACAATTTGTGGGTCGTTAGATTACACCGATCCATGGGTAATGACGTAGAAGGGTACGTGTCATCCAGTGACTTTCACAATTCTGAGCTCTGATACTTAAATCCTCGTTAAGTGGATGTGGCAACCCGCGGACCATTAGCTCAAAGACATGTCCTTACTCTCCTTTTGGACTCGGCACATTTCCCGATGTTGTATACGACTATCACCATCGGTCTATCAGAATTAGTGATTAATTTTCCTCAGTTTTCCTCCCTTCTTGTTCACTTGTGATACATAAACCGGACTACGGGATGGTTAAAGTTACCAATATGGTGAGCTAGTTATTGTACCAGTTTCTTCCTTTCTCACTAATAATATGAATAGAACAGGACCAGGGTCTCAGGCACGACCACAAGGAACTTGGAAGAGTTCAAAGTGCTTGGCGGGTCTTTGCTCAATAAAGGTGGCCTCGATGAATTCAAACTCTACCAAGAAGGGCAAAAGCCATTTTCATTATGGCGGAGGCAAAGCTGTTTGCTGAATAGCATAAGTTGAGCGAAAGAACGTGCAAATGTTTGTGTTTCTCGGTGTCTTTTACTTCTTGCAAAGCAGGTTTTGAGGCTGAGTAAGGAATAATGACATACACTCTTGAGGCATCACTGGCAATGTAGCCACACATTATTTGGTGGCGATGTTTTGAGGGATTTAGAGGGGTCATTGCTGTGTTTGAATGAGAAGAGTCCAAAATCTAACATGATACTGAAACATGGCTAAATCTTCTCATGCAGATGGCAGGCACCGATGTAAGATTTTTATAATGCGTAACCGACGGAGTGCAAGCAAAAACGAGAAGGCGCAGGTTTGCATCTGCGAAACCTGTATTTTTGGCTAAGGGTCCAAAAGCGGTCGAGAGCACTTCCCAGCAGTGAAAGCACCCAGAGCATGTTGCTTTCGGTGCTTTCAGCACTGGGATCTGCTGGGATCTGCTCTCAGCCCTTAGCCAAATATCCAGGTTTTGCAGATGTGGGATGTTACAAATAAGGATATAGATCTGATAAACCGTGGTAAAATCTTCACGCGCGCTAATCGGAGTGGTATGCCAAAGGACAAGAGGTGAGGGAGATTCAGATCGGGGATACTTATGTTGCCACGCGAAAGGCCCTGACCAAGCCCAAGCCGAGCTGCACGGCATCCTATGACGGTTCGAGAGGCCATAAAACTTGCTCAAAATCTTCGAATACCTGTGTTTGTGTCACTTATTGATGATATCCAACTACTTAGGTACAGTCTGGAAGGTATATGTGAGCTTGAAGGGCATTTGAGACAGTTCTGCAAATAGACCCTGCCTGGACTCTCTATTCATTGGGGGGGGTCGTGAGAATCGTGTACCCGATCTGAATCTCCCTCACCTCTTGCCAAAGGACCTAGACAAGCAAGGTGATTTCCAGTCAGATCCGCGCGCGTGAAGATGATCGCAAAAGAGACTCAGACTTATGGAAAGGTGTACAGCATTTCAGTGTTGTAATATCCTCAGTACAACCATCATCGACGTCGAACGCTCAACTCAATCTACCTAACGCTGTTCGGTGTGTCCTCTTCAGCATCCTGCTTTCTTCTGTATCCTGTCCTTCGCTTTACCTTCTCATTTTCTTCCGGAGACTAGACTGATACAGACTCAATATAGTTTTCACTTGTTCCAAAAGAGAAATACATACACGAGACAAGCAACGGAAGAATTCGCCGGACGAATTCTTCACACTTTTTTTGATACTGGTATGTGGTCGGTGTACATGATTCAATGCTTGCGCTAATATACATGTTTGCATCTCAGGACGTTTTGACCCTTCCTCCGTTTTGAAGCTTGATTCCCGGTAAACTTTAGGTTATCATGACTTTTGTTTTTCTCGTCGCTGATCTGATCGTCATTTCAGCGTTTTCAATCTACATTTTACCGACGTATCTCACGAAACAGCCGTCTACCATGCTTCAATCTCCAATTTCGTTTTTTCTGTCTACATTCGTTCTGGTTTTCACTTTTCTCGGGGTGTCAGCCGCCCCTGCAACAAATGGTAAGTAGCCTCACAAGCCTTTTCAAGCAGATAAACATCACTCATTCTCCATTTTACAGCAATGAAATTCGATTACCAACAGCTTGCCATCCAGCGCCAATACAAGAATAAGCTCACGTATGGCTCCTCCATGAGCGCAGACGAAACCTGGATGCTCTTTCTTGGCCAAAGATGTGCCCTCCATGCAAACGTCGCAATCGAGGAGACTCAAGCCACACTGATACCCAGTCTAGATGGACAAGCCCAACGGTACAGACCAATAAAAAGTAATGTAGGATGGTTGGGAGTATATGCCAACTTCTCAGGTGCGAAGGCTGCGTTAACTGTCAAGGAGGAAATGCTTGCCAGTAGTTTACTCCTTGGTGTTGACACAAACTTAGAGATGCTGAATCAGGCAATCAAATTCCTTCTTAAAAAAGGATTACTTTGGAAGGAGGATGAGAATGGGCAAAGAGAGCAAGTAACAGACGTACCGAGATGGAATGACCTTTATACAAAAATGAAGCTTACTAAGGGTCCAGCTGGAGCAAGCCTGGGTAAGCTATTACTATTGCCCTCGCTTCTTGGGTCCCCGCAGTGCTAACACAACCAACTAGCTCATCCGCAATCCGTCATAATGTATACGACAGTTGGCGGCAAGGAAGCCTGGATCATGTTCATCGGTGAACATTATGCTTTTAGAGCCAAAGGGGAACAGGACCAAGACACACTAGAGGCAACAGAGGTTCCGAGTCCTGAACTGCTCGAAGGTCCATTATATCCATTGGGTACTTCCGTCCATTTCAAAGATGATGCGGCTATGCAAGGTGCTTTCCGCAAGATACGCGCTATCCGTCCTCGTTCGAAGTTGGTTTTCATCAAGCAGGCTTTAGAAGTGTTGTTGGAAGAAGGGGCGCTATTTGATCTAAAAGGAAAGCAGCATAGTTCTGTGGATGCGATGTACAGTGACTTCAAAACATCAGTGGAACGAAGAAAAGCTTATCGTAAACCGACAACGAGAGGGTAGAGTCGTTTTGTTTTCGAAGGCGAATGTACCTCAGAACTAGAGTAGTGAGAACTCGAAATATTGCTCTCTTATTTTCGACTGTGTGATTGGCCAAACTTCATCCTATCCTTCTCAAAGTTGCGTCACCGCACGAGGTAGTTGTCGGGCGACATAGGAATGCAACTTACATCTGAAAAGACTACTCGTATGTTACAGATAACATTATTATCCTTTAACAAGGTGAAAAGCATGATACATGAATTTGAAAGAAAGCAAACCAATTGAAGAAGATAACCCGATCCCATAACCCGATCCTAATTCCAATCACAAGTACTCAACATGTATTACGCCTTGAAAATCCTTAGAAGCCTAGCTTCAGTGACGATCCTTGTTCGACAAAGGGGACATTCCCTCGTGGATTGCATTATGGCGTCGCAGCATGAGCGACACATTGCTAAGTGTCTATTGAAAATGAAGACATTCGTCAGCGGGCCGTTTACTCGAGTATCAGCATACGAGAGGAAATAAAATGAACGGAAGGAAAAGGAAAGGAAAAGGAAAGAAAAGAAAGGAACAATGGTAGTCCTTCGATGCTCGATACTCACCCACAATCAACAATTGCAATATTCGCTTCTTCGTCTTGACAGACGACGCACAAGCCTGTACGTTCGACAAACGCTGCAGTAGCTGGAGCTTTGGGTGGAGCTTTAGAGGGGGCAGGGGAAGTCTTAGGTGGAGTAGGAGGCGGTGGTGGTGAAGACGAAGATGTAGGATTGGGATTATGTTCGCCATTATGCGTATGTCGAGATTCGGATTCACTGTCTACCTGCATCAGGTCACTCTGGAGTCCGTCTATTCGTTCTTCTTCGCGCCGTGCTGTTTCTTCTCGCTCTCTATTGAGTTCCAGCTCTCGACTTTCCCTCTCCCTCTTTTCCCTCTCAAACGCCTCCATCATTTCATGCTGAATTCTTATTCTTTCTTGATCTTCTCTTTCTTCCCTTTCCCGTTCAATTCTCTCTGTCTCTTCTCTCTGTCTTTGCTCCTCCAACTCCCGTTCCTCATGTTCTCTCCTCTCTCTTTTCTCATCCTCTACAAGCCCCACAACCCGTCTGACCAAATCTCCTTTCTCCAGAATCATGCTGGAATTTACATGATTTGCAAATAAGATTGCCTTGAGGGAGGAAATGGATAAAGAGGACATAGACTCCGTAGTCATAGAGAGTAGTTGATCCAGTGTGGGCGGCGGAGGAGCAGACGGAGGCGTTCGTGTTGAAGGAGCGGCTGAAGATGCCCTTTGACGAGGCGGAACGGATCCCGGCCGAGGAGGAACATGACCGGGAGGAACGTGGAGGTTATGAGAAGACCTGGAAGCACCAGAGTTGGGAGTATAAGAAGCGTATGGATGGTACTGTTGCGGTCGAGGTGGAGCTGAAGGAGGATTTGAATTTTGGGGATTTTGATAGGAACTTGGATATGAAGGGTAAGAAGAATAAGAAGGTTGAGGAGGAGGAACATAGTTCGAATGAGGCCTAAATTCCGGCGAAGGTGTAGGGGCCGGTCGAGGTGCTGACGCTGTTGGTGTAGATTGCGGTCGCGTAGCGGTATTCCTACGAGGTGGAGCTCCTGCAGCAGCTGAAAACGGCTGCATCCTGGGTCGAATGGGGATTCCTCTATCTTCTCTTCCTCCATCTGGTTCCAAATCCGGTCTTGCGAACTCTGGTCTGGTATGCTGTGGTGGAGGAGGCGGCGGAGGTGCTGAGTTTGCGTTGTTGTTGGAACTGCGTAACGATGAAGAAGAGGAGAACAGGTTTTGTACTCGCGCCCGAGTTGAGCTTTGTCCCGGTCCTGCACGATTGGGGACTGAGTATCTTCTGTAATAGGATTCGTTCTGTGGCGATAGGCAGCCGTTTGGTTGCTAAGCGCCAATCATTAGGTGTAGACCATTACAATCAAACACGGAACGTACTCTAGCGGCCAATAAGGCTTCAATTACATCGTCCTTCTCTACAGCATGATCAATCCGAATGTTATACGCTCCGGCGTATTTACGCAGTTTAGCTAATGGTAAGTTTTTAAGAGCGCCTTTTCCTGACGCAGTGACTATGTAAAAGCTGCTGGTGAGTGGAGATATACCTCTATGTTGTGAGTGTCACATACTTTGTAGAAATTCAATACAAAACGCACAGACGTTCATTGGATCGTATCCAGATGACCCAGAGGAAGATTCTCGAGGCATAAGCGCTTGGTAGTCTGTACAGCTTTGGCAATACGCGTATCCTGAAGGATCGCGATAAGGATTAGTTATTAGCCTCGTACTGATTACTAGATACTTACCACAATGATTACACCTCCTTGACCTAGTAAATAGAATATTAAACTCCTTGGCACATTTTCTGCATCCCATCTCCGCTGATTCACTGGAGTCGGGTGGTGGTGGTGGTCCAGAGAGTAGAGGAAGTCCGCGTCCGTCCATTGTTAATGGTCAGGTGTTGATTCTGATATGTAGCGGGGGAAGTGATCAGGGTTCTTGTGATCTAGCTGTTACTATAATATCCTTCGTCTCCTGTGAAATTGAAGGATAGGATAGGATAGGATCTGATAGGATATATCGTCTTTGTCCTCGCTCTTGTCGTGTAACGACTGTGATTGTTGGTCTGTTATTGCTCGATGCTACCGTGCTGATCAGCGTACGAGAACAAAAAGGTTATACTTCGGGATCCGGTTAAGCCTAGAGCTTATGTGGACAACATAAAAGTGGTCGATTTATAATGCAGCGAAGCTGGTAGAAGGTTCTCCGTCCACGCCGCACGGTGCAGCAGAAAGAATTGATATTTCGACGTTTGTCAGCACCTGTCGACATATTTACTCGTCCCCAAAAGAAACTTCGTCAAATTCTCAGGTTTCTTCCTACTATAGCTATGTACATAATACTTCGAGCTCTACAGAAAGAGTCGAACGACACATGAAATTACCACCTGTAACTATTTAATTGTTTCCTCACTACGGTTTTTTACATGCTCCTTCGTAAGCTGCAGAAGATTTTGCTCTGATGGGACCTTCGAAAGTAACTTCGACTGTCCGAGAAGCAGGATCTCGTAGCAATTCGTCGATATGCACAAAATCTACGGGTGATAACTGAGTGTAGGAACGAAAGTGTAAATGCACGATGACTTGCGGATGTAATGGCCTTTCACTTTCTTCGTATATTCGAACGCGACATAACCTGTGCCCACCAATTTGAGTACACCAGTGCCTGTCAGAACGCATGTACGGTCGACAAGCTAAAGATGACTTCAGTAGTCATCGAGCATCGAGTGAGATTTTTTCAAAAATACATACGGTAGCCACGCATTCCTGCCCTGTTTGGGAAACCATGACGAGTGTACTTGTCTGCATAGTATTGTAAGTCTCAGTGAGACTGCCATACGAAGCGAGGAATAAACACAGTCTCGTTAAGTGAATGCGGAACTAGACGAGTACGAGAGATCTCAGTTCACCTGTCAGACTGCGTATTAGAGATAGTAGCGCTTGTTGTAAATCCTTGCATTACAGTGGTGATATCAGGAAAGGTCGTCATAGTGGTAAAACTTCCAAAAAGCTCAGCGCTCGTAGTCGCTACATAACGACACGTTGGAATTAATCCCGAGACTGTATGGCTTGTACTCACAACTGAGTACAAACGAAGAAGAGACAGTATAGCCTTGTCCAACAGAGATGGAGACTGTGCCACTAGTGCCGCTCAACACACCCTGGGAAGAGGCGTTGTTCGTCATACATTGAGGTTGTCCTACACAAGTAGAGGAAGGACGTGGATTGTAACAGAAGACTATCGTCAATTGGGGGTTATCTGACCTGTATATGTTACCGCAACAGTTTCGGTACTGGGAGCGCACAATAATGCAGGGTACTGAGGAAACTATACACAAGTTATCAATCAGAACAACCAGAACGACAAGGAATGAGGGAACATCCATACATGTTTGTCGTTCGTCACGACCTTGTGTTTTCCATTGCCCCACTGTTCTTTTGCATATTTAGCGATTTTGTCCCAATCGGGCACTGTATCCGAGTCATCAACGACGGAAAAATGAGCATAAGGACTGAGTCAAGGATTGAACGACGCACAGAGTTTGGGATTCGTCAAGTTCTTGCACGCACTTGAAGTATCCCGGCGCCAGATCGAACTTGGCTCTGAGGCTAAGTTTAATCTCGCTGGAAATGGGTGGTGTGATATGTCAATGGACGGAGGGACATCATCTGTGAAAACAGTGAGACTATCTGTTCCTCCGGCGACGGGTAAAGCTGAGGGGCATCTCGAAGTAACAAGAAGGATAGAAACATAGGCGAGCTACAGTGGTAAGGAATGCCGCAGTTAATGCTCTTGCCCAAGATGTCAAATGAATGAACGCACCACGCTAAAGGGTCCAAACCTAAACATAAGTGTAATAGCTCGAACAGTAGCTTCTTTACAGTGTCTCTACCAGAGAGTGTGACTAACAGGAGGAGTAAAACTCTACCAGAGAGATTTTTGAACTGGGGACCGTCGGTGGGTCGTTCCCCAGACCAATGTCTATTTAAATACTCCACGTTTCGGGTCCTCAAACAAGAGGGTCCCCAGAGTCAAATTTGCTCTCCTTGCCGGTCACACGAACAGGCACAGAAAGCTGTGCCAACCAACAATGCCGACCTTCAAATGCATGACGGAGAATCGTAAGTTGTGGAAGGACGGAGGATCAAGGCAGCTGATCGTATCACGTCTCTCGCGGTATGCGCTATGCGGTGCCAGTGAGTGCCAACGGTATGTGAGGGTCTGTGAGGGTACGTTGTGGTGCGCGCCATAACGAAAGTCTAGTCCCAAACAATCGCAGATAGGAATCTGATCAGGCAGTGCTGAGCGCGAATTCCTGAAGCGAATCCGAACGGTCACCGTTGAAGTGGCGTAGAGAATAAAGCACGACCATACACGACAGCTTGTTTCGTAACGGTTTACTGAGCAGTAAAATTTTGGTGTTTGTATTATTCGGGTTGGGTGAAAGTAGTGTGGCGAGGCATCCATCGAGATTCATAACAGTACAAGGAGTGCATGCCACAATCTTGGTTGAAAAACGCGGTTAGTAAGGCTAGTCTACTTGAAGATATAACAATACAAGGTCAGGCCCCGCCACAAATCTGAGCTCCAAATATAGTAGCTTGATGATAGCAGTTCCGATCCAGAACATCTCGAGCTTTTGTACAAGGAGAAGTTACCTGAAATTACTGATAACATCATCCAGCGTACACGATCACGCACACAGATAACAGCGATTAACCCAAACAAATCACACTTGTTGTTTCTTCCCTTAACCTCTACAAACGCGAGCCAACTACCCAGCAATGGTAAGTTGTTCTATTCTGCTGTATGCTCGATTGATGATACCGCATACTGATTGTTTTCTTGCCTTATGTCTTCAAATTCATTTGCCACCGTTATACCGCTATATAAACACGTAGTCTTCCCTCGATTTTGGACGAGATCCCCAAGAACTCACTTCAGAACTCTCTAACACTCGGTATGTAGGTTCACTCATTGTCATACACGTCAAGTGTTAATGCTCGTTTGTCCATTTAGATTACTTACTCGGTATGACCACCCCTATGTCCCCTCCTACATCCACTCCTCGCAAGCCCAGCAGTGCACCCAGATCGCATTCAGTTCCTCCTCCTGTTGAAAAGCAACTAGAACTAATCAATCTCCTCAGGATGGAGATTGGAGACCAGAAATGGCAGTTCGATGCAGGGCGTGTGGCACACATGCTTTCTCCAAAGAAACTAAAACCAGAAAGTCCTTGGTCCCATGAGAATAGTGGATACACAGCTGATCCTCTCGACCTGCCATCGACCGATGATTTCCATTATCTTATCGATGATTTGGATGTTCAGGCTGCCTTCAAGACCCGTTTCAGCAAACACAAATTCGATTACCATTCACCTTCATCGATTGGCGAACGTTCACACTACGACCCTCTCGTTTACTTTCTGAATGAATGTGTTGCAATTGGTAATCAGGTGTACATGGATGTCTTCATTGATCGTAAAAAGGCCTCGCATCATTCTCGATTTCCCATTGTAGATATCAAGGATAGGTGGTGGCCCCATCTAACATTCCATACATATGACAGGCCCACAGGTGATGGTATTGGTAATGCTTCGCCGCTCAAACCTGACCTTGTCGGGGTTGACTCGGAGAGTGCACCTATTCTCTGTTTCTGGAAACTTACGTCTGATGTTGGGAAGGCTGACAATCTGAAAGCTGAAATTGCTATTGCCACTGAAGCAAAAGATAACTGGCCGGAGATGATCTGGCAGAGTGCTACTTATGGTCGAGCCGAAATGGCAACTATCCCTCTGCGTGCATTTTCACTTGTCATCGCATTCAATTCAAAGAGCCAGATGTTGCGGTTTCTCATCTTTCACCATGGTGGTATTTCGGCAACGAAGGAATTATCAGTGAAAGATCGACTGTGTTGCAAAGATATTTGCCTTGTTATGTTGTCCATTCTCTTATGGCAATCACCGACAGATGCTGGTATTCCACCCTTCACTAATGGCATTAATTTTCTCTTACCGCCGCTTGTTGATCGCGATGAGTCCAAGGGAGGGCATGGCAAGATTACTAATGTTCTGCATCATGCCCTTTCTGTTCGTGGTCGGAGCACATGGATTGCCTCGATCAAGTTTAATAGTTCCTCGTCTACAATCTCTTCTGTCCCACAACACTCAGAGCATTTTGCTCGAAAGCGATTACATGGAAAAGTTGATGATTTCTTGCCAAAAGGTGAGTAGAGTTCTATTGATACAGATAACACCTATTAATGTTCACAATTCAGAGAGCCGGAGCGGTCCATCAGATTCACCATTTCCTGATCAAGTTACTTCTGGCCGCTATTCTTTACGGCCGAGGAAAGAGAGTGAGTGGGTTGGAGGTCAATTATCATCTCACAGTGGCTGATTCATGGTTTATAGAAAGAGCTACTAGTGGAAGTAATCAGTCACAACCGAAATCTGGACATGGATCCGAGTCTATACAGGATAAAGAATCTTCAGGTCAGTCAAATATTCAATGATAACTCTGTATATCTACATTCTCATTTAAATTATAGACAATAATCGCCTTTATTGTTTTCACAACAAGGACATCAAGTTCACTCTACCGCGTTGGAAATTAACTTCAGGTAACATACAAGACTGGTCTGAAGTTAAGGATGGAGGTGTCCTCAAGGGCTCCTGGCCTCAGGCTGCCAAAAGGAATCTTGAAGCCAGGATGTTCAGTGCATGCACTGGAAACTTTGGTTCCCCAGATCATATCATGTCTTTTGAGGCCTGTTATGAAGATGGAAGCCCTGTTTCCAACTCAATATTTTTGCCCTCAGCCAATGACAACCTCGAGAATGTATTCTGGAACTTGCATGGTGCAAAGTCTCCTCTGGTGTACCCAAAGCCTGATTTCCGTTCCTTGTGCTTTAGTCTAACTCGAGATGAGGGTGAAACTTTGGAAAACTGCACCAGTGCATTTGAACTCATGGAATGTTTGCTTCACTCAATGCTAGGTCTGAGATAATTCCTATACCTTGGCATGGATGAACACTAAAAGTTGAATTTAGGATGGTTAGACCTATACCAACATGGTTTCTTGCATAGAGATATCAGCATTGGCAACCTACTCAAATTAAAATCAGCAGCAACTTCTTTGCGAAAGGACTTCTCTGCACTCCCCGTTGGTAATTTGATTCTTCCGTCTTCGACTAGAGACATTGGTTCTTTGAACTCTTTTCCCAAACTTCTTGCCGCCGTCAAAAACGACAAGTATCGCAGATCGATTGCCGATATTGCTTGCAAAATCCACGAGCATGCGGAAGTGCTCACCTCAGGTGCTGGGTGCAAAGCAATTTGGACAGATGGGGATATGGGTGCGGATATGGCAGGATATTTTGAATCGGCACACGATGGTACTGTCTCGGTGAGTGGTTTTCCTCGATTTTGTTATTGTCTTACTATCACTGATTCTGTTGCCAAGGGGACACCTCAATTTATGTCTATGGGATTGTTAGATGCAGAATTCGACAATGAGATTCAGTCCCCTGCTGATGACATAGAGTCTTTCTTATGGGTTGGCCTCTGGTCAAGCCTAAGAAACACAAAGTTTCCACATACAGCAAAGAAGGAGATACGATGGTCCCGGAGAATTGCTGACGGCTATGCTTTTCGTGAGACCACAGCAATTAATATTCAGGGGTCTCTGGGTACAATCATAAAGGGAGTTCCAGAGCCATACAGCAATATGTTCTGCACAATGGCTCCTATTTTGAGTGAGTGGTATGATGCAATACGCCAACTACGAAAGGACTGGATACTGGACTGGAGCGAGACAAGTCATGATGATTCAAAAGATGTCAAACTGCTCTTTCACTCTTTTGCCTATCGCGGAGTCTTGGATTTTATTGAAATTTTCCAGAAGTACAAGGAGGATTTGGAGAAAACAGTATTGTAAATCCAGCAACTATACACAAGTAGATAGAATCAGTCCCAGTGTAATGATTCATGTGGGGATGCAATATATATAATGATTGTTCTCCATCGACACAACTTCAATGCAGCTGCTGCTGCAATTCGGAAACAATCCTCGATGATGGTTGGATCTGTCTTCAAAGTCATGCATGATCAGAGAGAACTTGAAGTATCAACACTACAAAAAATTATGTGTTTGTCCCTGCTTGGTCCAATCATTCCGATTGGCTAGACAAATTTTGTCTTAACATAAGTTCATGCGCGTCGTGTAGGGTTCAATTGACATATCACAGGCGAAGGAAGTGGGCGGAGCAGAGCGACGCCCCGAGCGTAATTAAGCTGTGCATCGCACGGGTTACTGCTATTCTTTCACAACGATGACTGAAGCAAGAACTCAACAATGGGCAGCACTGTATATACAGTAAAATAAAGGCGGACCGGATGGTTGAAACGCGAATTGCTTCGGAGACCAGGAGACGTGTGGAACGCACTGCCCGAGCCAGCGGCAGCGCTGGCATATCATGGGCCACAAGAACCTAGAAGGGAGTGTTGGTCTGGAATGGGTCCCCCGAATCGTAGGAATGGGATGTGGGTGACAAAAGTGCTTCAGCAGTTTTTCGGCGATCCAGAGACAGAGCTCAGATGATAGAGACAATGATCAAGTGACAGAAGCAAGTGTTGGAAATGCGACGTGCTTGCAGGGATCACTAACGAAGGAAGTTCCAGATGGTCTTGTGCAGGTCTTGTGGTAACCAAAACATTGAATGTTTGCTTCGTCTTTATCCTGCGCCCTTAATATTGACTAAATTCCATCGTTCTCATGATACTGGTAGTTGAGCAGGTTCTGGCAGAGAACGTTCGGAACTAGTTTGGTGATCGTTCGGTCATCCTGCTGCTGGGATGAGAATGTGAGGAAGCCTGGATTTCTAAACGAGAATGACAGATAACGTGCGCCGAAAATTTTTCGTAGGAAGTTGGTCTTGGGGTTCATTCAACTACGAGGTCGCTGACAAAGAAGACGTTCCCGGGAACAATGACATTACTACTCTTCTTCGAAGGACATTTGATAGTAGTAGTGTCGATTCCGAAGACCTGATAGAGACAGACCTACATAGCACCAGCTCATACATGGCAATTGTAGACCCGCTGGACGCGTCTTGCTCAAAAAGTCCTTTACAAACTCCTCGCGGGAGGATCCTTGTTTTTATTTCGTAACTTCTCGCTGCCCGGATGAGGCAAACGTTCGGATCTGACAGAGTACTGGACATTTTTTGAAATATAGTGGATCATAATTTGAGAGGCTTCAGTTCTGTAATACTGCTCCCTGATATGGCTGGATACCACAGCTAAAATTGAGATAGTAAGAAGGCTGAGCGCGTTTGAATTTGGGGGGCGCGACCGGTAGGTGCCGGTGGTATTTTCCGGCAATCATAACCCGCTCAGAGTGATGCACATGAAGGTTCACCATGAAGATACACTAGTACTGTGTTCGATGCCTGGGTCAAAATCCTTGCAAGAGTTTACCGGCGACGAACCCCTTGTCTTTCAACAAAGATAGAGGACTTTCCGATTTCTAACCTCTTGCTCAACACGCCGTGGTCCTACATGCCCAAACCCAATATGCGGCGGACGTCCGTCCTGTTTCTGATCTGTGATAAAGGCGAATCGTTCACATGCTGCGCCAACGCATGGAATCTCATGGAATGCATACTTCATTCAGTACTATAAACTAGGTCAGCCTTGACTTTAGATATAACTTAGATCGAACGCTGACCAGGATGTTTAGGGTGATTAAACCAATACCAACCACGGATTCCTGCATCAAGATGTCAGTATGAACTCAACCCTTCCAGAGCCGTCTTGTTGGAAAACCAATCAGCAGGCAAATCGGGAACTTGGGTAGAAGAGATGCATAATTTCTCGAACCTTTCTCCGAAATTCTCGCGGCTTTGCAGATCGATGAGAATCGAAGAGCTGTTTTTGATATCGCACACAAGGTCCATGAACAAGCCAGAAAGCTTATTTCGGATTCAGGTTGTCAAGCTTTCTGTGCAGACGCAGGTACAAGTACCCTGAACTTTATCTTGACCGTGTACGCCTGTACTCTCTTGGAAAGGTTCCTGTCCTGAATCTTTTCGTTTAGGTGGCAGGGCAAATGGTACATTTCCATTTATGCTTACCGTTATTGATAAGTTGACGACAGAACATTGTAGTGTCCGAGATATCCTGAGGCGGTGATATAGTCGTTGGAAGGAAGCCCAATGTGGTTTGTTTGATCACGGAATAGCGGCGAGTGGTGTCGTTGAGAGGTGGTAGTCCCGAGGTTTGGTTGACAGAAAAACAACTTTACTCGATACATCCAGGTGGATCAAGGAAGATCCTCATCTGTATGCAGAGGGACACATGGGCCAATCCCCATCCTGGCCTCTTGAATTCGACAGAATTCAACAGCATTTTGGAAATTCAGGTGATGATCGATTATCCCCGATCTATTGTTGTTGTCAGTGTCAGTGTTGAGGTGGATGCACTGTTCGGAATTCCGGTATGCCTATTTATAACAGTACTTGATCCTAGGGCCAAGTTTTATGTTCAGATGGCACGCACCCAACTCTTGTTCTGCAGCCCTTGAAAAAAAAACCAACACATCCTCAAGTACATCCAAATATTTCCTCAAATTTCCACGTTTCAAGCGTCAAACTTTACACTTCTGTAGTGTTCCAGAGTGTTCCCATAATCATGCCTGGTAACCATCTGTTTTTTGCATATGATCTCCTCTTGTTGGCCGCGACGCGAACTGCTCATGGCTGTGATTGCATTCACTACACTAGAATTCATTGGATTAGCTGGGCGCGGTCGAATCAAATGCAAGTCTGCTCAGATGCAATGAGACTGATCTACCGAGAATACCGACATACGGGCAAACTCAAATAGTACATGCCTGTTGTAGAAGCTGTTGAATTTTACTCCTTGTCCTCCTCTTATTACATTCCAGGTACTTTCGATTCCTTGTTTTTTTTGTTCATTTCGTTCAGAGCGGATCTCTCGGATCATTCACACGGCGTGTTTTGCACTTAAAAGAAAGGGGTCTTCTTTTTGTTTCTTTCTTCAGGTCTTCCAACTCCACTTTCGCGTTGACGACATTGGAACTCGGAGCTTGCCTCCTTCGTTTGCTGCGCAACTCACCCAGGTCTCCCTCCTTTCGAAATCGTCCCAGTTGATCTCCAATTTTCATCTCCTCATCGCCTGCACACGACATTATCACGACCACAATAATCAATAACGCGTAAGATGGGCATCAAATTTTATGATCACCTAGGCGCACCTCAGCCGTTCGATACACACAGAGCCTACGTTACTTCGCCATGGTTTTCTTCGATGACTCTGGCTGCGATTCGAGGGATGATCGCTCTCTATACCCTTGCGACACTTTTGGTTATTCTGATTTGGCAAGCAACTATTCTGCATGATGCAGATGGGTGCGTCTCTTGTTGCCCTTCAAAACCTTTTTCTGACGGTTCTATTCCAGGTATTTCTCCTACTTCACCGAACTCACGCATATAGGCATCTGCTCGTACTATTGGGCTTCGTTTACTCAAACTCTCTTTTATGCTCTCCGACAAAGGCACTCTATCGAACGTACGCCAGAATACCCACTGCAGAGATGGCCGAGAATTTTTCAGTTGCTTCATGTCATGCTGGGCACGACCATCATTTCTTACCGTGTGTCCAAGTTGATTCCACCTTCAATACTTCTATCAGCGTTAAATAATTTTGACGATACAGCTATCCTTGTCACCATCGTCTTCTGGGCCCTCCTCGCATCTCCAGCCGTCTTTTCAACCAAGTTCGGAAGTACGTTCAGTTGTTTGAACCTCTGAGCGATCGCTGATGCGCTCATTGTAGCCTGGTCAAATATATCCATTCACGTTCTCAACACCGCGTGGTCTCTCTTCGAAATGATCGGAACGAACTCACCTCCCCCCCGGTGGTCTATACTACCGTGCATGATCATCATATTAGCGCTCTATTTAGCATTGGCATATGTTACCCATGCGACTCAAGGATTTTATCGTACGTCTGACCATATTCTGAGAATGCTCAGTTCCTTTTTTCCCCTCCTTACTTTCATCTGTGCCCCGCCTGTGCCTTGCCTGACCTATGCCTTTTTTTCGACCAGCTTACTCATTCCTCAACCCTTCGACGTCACATTCGCTCCTCGCAGGCTATATCATAGGCATTGCCGTCGCGGCCTGCATCGTCTTCACGCTCGGCAAAACGATTATGTGGGCACGAACTAGATTCGCTTTCAAGAACGCTTCTGCAACTACCTTCGAAATCAGGGAACTTCAAAATCCAAGAAATCAATCACCAGCATTGGAGATGGCGGAGTCTTTGAAGAGCGAAAAGTTGGTTTAACCTGGTCGTTCGCATTATACTATTACTGTAGTAAACACGAAGAACAGTCTGGTTGGCTTCCTTCTACGAACTTTTTCTTGTTCTTGCTGTTTTGCTATATTGTACGCTAATTTCTCCCAAGACGAATCATTGGTTATCCCCTGCATCGTGATAACATATACATTGACAATCTTCCGCTTCACGCCGACCTGAGAGAGCCAGGTGCTTCATAAATTGCATGATGGATATCTGGTCTCCGAAACTACTTCACATCTACCGAGGCAAAGATGACGGTACTTGGTAACAATGAGCAGAATTCGAATCTCTTACCATATCTTCCATTTCCATGTCACAATTACCCAGCAATTCTTGCTTAAGTCATTTCATACCGTAACCCAGACGCGTCAGCACGTGATAACTACCTACTCACCGCTGGCGCTCTAATTATTCCCTGACAGTGAACTCGTATACCGGATCTCTACTCGTTGCTGTTCAGTAGGAAGTTGTTGGACCTCCTTGAATGCACTCAAAATGAGAGGGACTCCTTCTCATCTTGAGTGCAGTTTGTTCAAAGAATGTCTCAACATACAAACTAGAATTGGGACGGATGAATTTCTTAGTTCTAGCATGGTAGACATTCTTGGCCAGTAGCCACTGCTGGTATGTTTGTCTTCAATTCGAGCTCAATCGTGATCTCAATAAACTTATAGGAATCGGGCTCAGGACTCTCAAATGCCATCTTCTTGTCTCCAATTTTTCCCCTCCCGAATCCGGGCCAACCCACTTTCCTTGTCACTAGACAAATGACGACATAAGTGCACAACAATTTATCCGTCCCTCTGAATCAATTGCTTGCCACTGGACCCATCGTTTCCGAGAATCATCACGATACAAACCCGGGGATAACTCTGTTCAATATCGCTCTTTTCTTTACTGGCCCGCTCTGGCTTGGCACTCAAGTACTTATAATAAGTCTATGCATGTTGTGTGAATGTGATTATCAGGTTAAACAGGGAGTAAATACTTCGCTAGAACTCTGTATTGGAATAGGGATTTACTGAGTACCTAGGTTAATTGTCGGCTTGACGTCCCGGCTGCAATAATCCCTTGGGAGGACGAGGATTGATAGAGTTATATAGGGCATTCAATCTCGGAGGGAACCTTGTCTACTTCAAGTCCATCATGACCCCAAAGATATCTCTGGCCTCTTGTCTCCTGCTCTTCAGCCTCTCTAGCTTCAAGACCTTCGCACACACGATCTTCCAGGCATGTCTCTCCATCAGTCTGTTCTGAATTACAATCCTGATCTTTGCTATCAACTCTGGTAGGAGCTATACGTCAACGGCGTTGACCAAGGACATCTCAATGGAATCAGAGTTCCAGACTACGATGGTGTACGTTTAGGCTCATAGATTGGACTGGCATATTTACCGCAATTCTCGCCCGACAGCCCATCACTGATGTCACTTCTAATGGTGAGCACACGAAACCCTCTCCGTTGATCTATTCCAAGCTTGCTCCATAATAGATCTAATCTGTAACGGTGGTATCAATCCATACCATCAGCCCATCTCTCAGACTATCATCCCTGTTCCCGCCGGGGCCCAAGTCACTGCTGAATGGCACCACACACTCGATGGGTATGATCCCACAGATCCAGCGGATCCAATCGATTCAAGTCACAAAGGTCCAGTTATCTCATATCTGTGAGAGCCCTATCGCGACCTATCTGCGGTATTCTTACTCAATCTGTGTATCGGACTAGAGCCGCAATCCCTAACGCTACGCAGACCGATGTTACTGGTCTGAAATGGTTCAAGATTTGGGAAGATGGGTATATCGCTGCGAACCAGACCTGGGGTGTCGATCGGCTCATCGCGAATAAGGGCAATGTAACGTTCAATGTCCCGTCATGTATCCCCGCAGGACAGTATTTACTCAGGCATGAGATAATCGGTGAGCGGGATTCATACTACCATGGCGCAATGCTAACTCATATCCGGAAGCTCTACACGCGGCGAGTACATATCCTGGGGCTCAATTCTACGTAAGTCAGGTTTCTTGTTTGCGACATCGTTGGTTCATTCCGCGTACTTTGCCAGATGGAGTGCGCTCAACTCCAGATCACTGGCGGAGGAAGCACCCAACCGGAAACTGTAAGCTTCCCGGGTGCCTATGCTGGTGAATTGATCGTTCGATAACCTTCAAGACACCATCTCATTATACGCGTTTACCCCGTAGGGACTGATCCCGGTATCACCATCAACATCTATTACCCACCAGTCACCAACTATACCGTCCCAGGTTCGCATTATGAGTTTTTTCAATCTCTCGACTTTCAAATAATTCTTCGTCACTAGGACCCGACGTTTTTACATGCTAATTTATAAATACTTCCCTTTGCGTGTTCGTAATATCAGAATACAAAACAATGTCTGAGGCCATGATCAGCAGCACTTTTTAAGACGATATCGATCATGTTTGCCCCCGAGTGCAAATAATCTGTGCTACTAGCGCTGCTTCTCCACACGAATGTAAGCTTTCTATTTTAGTGTTTAGTATGCAAGGGTACTGTCCTTCAACGGCCTTTGGCGATCGAAGGATCCTGCGGTGAGTACCCTGGCCGGGTGTTACTATAATCCGGTATATCTTTTGTCAATCAGTCGAGGCATTTCTGGGACGGGGAGGGAGTGTCTTCACCGCTTACAGCTCCACAGTGCTACTTGATCTTTCGAGCCTATGTTTCTGAAACAATCTCAAATTTTGGTGATAACATCCCGCTCGCAAGTATTGCAATTACCTGAACAGGGTTACATCATGATTCGCTGATCCTACTACTAGATATCGTTATCTCGACGAACTTCCCTATATAATGGCCTGGTTCCAACCATTAATGTCATCGTCGCCTTGAAGCCAATTCGGTTCGGTAAGCTATCCTTCTGATTTTTCTCCTCCAACTTTTGTCTCTCATCGCTTCTCACTGCATCATCCATATTTCATAGACGTCAACGCTAGACTAACTTTACACACGCACCTTTAGGATTTTGGGTCATCTCAGAGGCGAATTCGCTGGTCGAATCTTGCCACACTCGTAGGTGCGTATTCACCCCATCTCTCCAAGTTATTTGACACCTAATAACTTTACGTGTTCAAGTTTTAGTAACTCCCCTTCAACATACAATTGTCCTCATATCGCCATCCGTCTCTGTATAGAGAATGACGACTATGCACCTCATGTCCTCTTTGTGCTTGTTGTGGGCATTCCTCTTTACTTTGAACTTCCTCAGAGCTGGTGTTGTGGCGATTCCAACGCCTCTCGAGTCTCCTTTGAACAGCCCAAAGACTCGTGGACCACACCGTAAGTCTTTGGTTGATATATACGATGCATCTTTGACAAATTTTGCATCAGCCGGCTGCACTAGACTCAGAACCGTCCTCGATAGCGGACTGCACCCTGCAGCGTACACCGAAGCCGATAAACTTGTGAATGAACGTTGGTCCCTGTTCGTAGGCCATTCATACGGTTATCAATCGCAGAGTGGTCAAACTACCGCTACAAGAATCATGATTACTAATAAGAAAGGCGAGATTGTACCCAATCATTCAAATCCCTCGACGCCAAGGAACACGTACTCCAAGTGACTCTCCCCGGGATTGAAGGTCTGACGAAGCTGTTGTGGATCAATAACGCGCTGGAAAAAATGAAAGAGTTGTTTCGTTTGAGAGATGAGGTAACACACTTGGATTTGAATGAGAAATTGTGGCACAACGCGTTCTGGGGAATGATCAAAGCAAACGGTACTGGGGATGGAAGCTCCGTCATAGGAACGGAAGCAGAAAAAATATACACAAAATTGGAGGAAGAGGAACTTGAACGCCAACGTCTTCTTTCATTGGAGTTGACTACCAAGGATATCCAAGACATTGTGGACGGGAAACTGGTTGTTATTCATGAATAAATCTGTACCATGGTGTGCTTATTTTTAAAGTAGGACTCTCTGTCAATGCTCCGTACAGTACTCTACGAGGTCGGGACAATTAGTATTTCCATCTGACATCGATGCATTTGAGCCAAACTACCTGAGTTCGCATTTGCGGAAGTTGGACGCGAATGTGTGATACCGCCTACATCGGTCGTCGTGTCCACAGGCTATGTGGCAAATATTATTTCGCACCCATGTACATAAATTAAAAGAGGACCAGGGGTGTAACTGAACATCAGGGTCCGGACCGGACTGCTCCGAGATGAAATTTCTCTTATCAATCGACATCCTGATTCCTCATGGCCTTGGATTCATCCCGAGTCTGGCTTATAACAGGTAAGCCAATAACATCGATACATTTGATTATCTTCTCTCAAAATATTGTCTAGGGACCTCCTCTGGTTTTGGCCGTCGTCTTGTACCTTCTATTCTTCGTCGAGGTGACAAAGTAATCGCTACAGCAAGAAAAATCGACTCAATTCAGCACATATTTACACCTACGGACAGCCTTCACCTGTTGGAACTGGACACTAGCGCTGAAGAAGCGACGATAAAGCTTAAAGCTCAGGAGGCATTGAATCTCTGGGGAAAGGTCGATGTCCTAATTAACAATGCTGGTTACTCGCTGAAGATACTTGCTGAGGATGCTACGTGCGCGCGTCTTGTTTTAATCTGCTCACTTGTCATGTATTCTGATCAAGGATTGGTATTGGCAGGTTATCTGACTTTCAAGCGCAGTTCCAAACGAATTTTTACGGTCCAGCAGCTTTAACGAACGCTCTATTGCCCCAAATGCGTAGCAGAAGGGAAGGAACTATTGTGATGATTGGAAGTAGAAGTAGTTGGAATCCGATTCCAGTGCGTGTTTTCTTGTTTTCTATATTTCTAGTATCTCATTCATCTTCGTCTGACAGGCTTTGTGTAAGTCTAACGACGATTATACGCCATCTCTCCGCTCACTAGCGTCCATGTTTTCGTGACGGAAAGCTATCTACGCTGCATCAAAAGCAGCACTACGAGGTCGTATCTTCTCTACATTCAAATTTCCTCGTATCTGATCATCATCATATGCTTATTAGTATACAGCGAAACTCTTGCCCAAGAACTTTCCTCCTCCGGATTTCCGAATATCCGCATCGTGATCGTCGAGCCTAGTGGGTTTCGTACCGAGCAGAACGTTCTTGGGTATCCAATGCAAGTTCCTACGGACCCAGATCCGGCATACGATTCGCTTCGAGCGCGCATTCAGGCCAACTTGGAGGCTCTAGATTTGAATCAAAGTGGTGACCCGGATAAAGCCGTGGAGGTCATCGTAGATGCTGTTAGAGGCGAGGGACGGGCGGAAGGTAAGGAGTGGCCGTTGTATCTACCGTTGGGGAGGGATGCGAATAAGGATATAGAGACAAAGTGCGTGAAGATGTTGACGGCGGTGAAAGATTGGAAAGAGGTTACAGATTATCTCGATATCAATGAAAGTCAAGCGAAAGCAGAACTTATCTAAACCAACATATCTTATAGCTTCACAGGGCGTTACAATATATCGTGTTGTGAATGATCTGATCAACCTCGCGGTGTGCCTTTGGCCATTGCATTGCGTGCATCAAATTCGAGCTGGCTGAGTTGGTTGCGTCTTCATTCTCTTGCCGATATTTTCTTGTCGACAGTTTGAGAAATGTTTGGTAGCATACAGAGCATGAACGGCAACTTATGTTTGTGCTGTGATTCATTTAATTACCAATGTAAAAACCCTAGACTTACGATTTCGTTGAGATATAACTAGATATAGCGAAACATGAATTTGTACATGAAAAATGGTACACGATGATACGTTATTAGTTGCTCTCGTCTACACTATACCTTCACTGGCACTCAAGTCTGATCTCTGTTCAATTGCCAATTCATTAAAATCATGTTCAACACTCCTCTCAATGATGATCCCAAATGTTTTCTGTGGGGGCGGTATCATGTA